AAAAAAAAAAAAAAAAAAAAAAAAAAAAAAAAAAAAAAAAAACAACTTGAATAGAGCTAATAGGCGTCTAGTCAACCCCCACGGCAAGACCCACGGCGCCCCCGACGACTCCGACCGTCACGTCGGTGATCTGGGCAACTTCCAGACCAACGCCGAGGGTAACGCCGTCGGCTCCAAGGATGACAAGTTCGTGAAGCTGTTCGGTGCTGAGAGCGTTCTTGGCCGTACTCTGGTCGTCCACTCCGGTACTGACGACCTTGGCCGTGGTGGTAACGAGGAGTCCAAGAAGACTGGTAACGCCGGTACTCGTCCTGCTTGTGGTGTTATTGGTATTTCTGCATAAACATCTTATCTAGGGGACTAGATGAGTAGTATGATAGCATGATAGCAAAATGTGAATGATTGGGTGGATTTGCATAATTAGTAATGAATGCACAAGTGAGCATAATTGAATGCAGAGCATAGACCCCTGTCTGGCCAGATTGTATCCAGATTGTCCCCACATACAACAGCTGTCTTCTCCCCAAATATTATCGTTGTTTCCGTCTTCATCGTCTTGCACGCTTCTCTTTTTCTTCCCATTGTGTACTATTACCGTTGGTTCTTTTCTTTTTTATTCCATTCTCCTTTATTCCCTTTAATTGAAAATGCCCCTCGAGGCCCGTGTCAAGGCCGTTCTCTCCGGCGACACCGTGGTCCTGTCCCATATCGCCAACCCCGGCCAGGAACGTGTCCTCAGTTTGGCCTATGTGTCTGCTCCTAGACTGCGGCGAGAAGGCGATGAGGTGAGTCTACTTCCTTTAAAGCTCCATTGAGCCGTGGTTTTGGTTTTGGTCCGGTGCCGGTGAAAGGTGGCCTTTCAGGTTGACGGACCTGCTGGTCAACTGTTGAGCTATGCTAATGATAATAAACAGGCATATGGTTTCCACTCCCGCGAATTCCTCCGCGAACTCCTCGTTGGCAAAGTAGTCGAATTCACCCCCCTGTACACCATCCCCACCGGTGCAAGACGTGAATACGGTATCATCAAGCTCCCCAGCTTCGACGCCGCTCTCCCCGACATCAGCGTCCAGGAGGGATGGTCCCGCGTTCGTGAAGAAGCTGGAAAGCGCTCCGACGACTCTGAGGATACTGCCGCTCTGATTGAGCGTCTGCGCGCGCTGGAAGATCATGCCCGCGATGCTGAGAAGGGTATCTGGGCTGGATTAGCACAGGGACAGGTCGACACGAGCTACGAATTGACTGACGCCAAGGCGCTGGTCGAGGAATACAAGGGGAAGGATTTGCAGGGTATTGTTGAGCGGGTGTTGAACGGGGATCGTCTGGTTCTGCGTTTGCTGCTCGCACCGGCAGAGCATCTGCAGACTATTGTCGCGTTGGCGGGTATCCGTGCGCCTGCTGCTAAGCGTGTTACGGCCGATGGCAGGGAGCAGGCTGCGGAGCCGTACGGCGACGAGGCAAATGCGTTTGTCGAGTCGCGGTTGCTGCAGCGCAAGGTCCAGGTGTCGTTGCTTGGTGTTACGCCACAGGGCCAGCTCATTGCTACCGTTCTGCACCCCAATGGCAACGTTGCCAAGTTCCTGCTCGAGGGTGGTCTGGCGCGGTGCCATGACCACCACTCGCCCTTGTTGGGTGCTCATATGGCTGCCTTCCGGCATGCAGAGAAAGCTGCCAAGGATGGCCGGAAGGGTCTGTTTACCAACCTGGTTGCCAAGGGTCCTGCTGGCGGGGCTGCGGAAGACTACACTGTTAGTCGTGTGTTGAACGCGGATACTATCTTTGTGCGCAGCAAGGCTGGACAGGAGAAGAAGATTAGTCTTAGTAGTATCCGTCAGCCCAAGCCGTCGGATCCCAACCAGGCTCTGTTCAGTGCGGATGCAAAGGAGTTCCTGCGGAAGAAGCTTATTGGCAAGCATGTCAAGGTGACGGTTAACGGCAAGAAGCCTGCTAACGAGGGTTACGAGGAGCGCGACGTTGCTACCGTTGTTCAAAACAATGCTAACGTTGCTTTGTCGCTCGTTGAGGCTGGTTACGCTTCTGTTATCCGTCACCGTGCGGATGATGACGACCGCTCGCCCGACTACGACTCTTTGTTGGTTGCTGAGGCGGACGCCCAGAAGGACGGCAAGGGCATGTGGTCGCCCAAGCCGCCCCGGACCAAGCAGTACCAGGACTACTCGGAGAACGTGCAAAAGGCCAAGATGGAGGTCTCCATCCTTCAGCGCCAGAAGCGTGTCCCCGCCGTTGTCGACTTTGTCAAGTCCGGTTCTCGTTTCACCGTCCTCGTGCCCCGGGAGAATGCCAAGTTGACCCTTGTTCTGTCTGGTATCCGCGCGCCCCGTTCGGCCCGTGGCCCTGGTGAAGCTGGTGAGCCGTTCGGCCAGGAGGCGCACGATCTGGCTAACCGCAGGTGCATGCAGAGAGATGTGGAGATCGACGTTGAGACCATTGACAAAATCGGTGGATTCATCGGTACTTTGTACGTGAACAAGGAGAACTTCACCAAGGTTTTGCTGGAGGAGGGTCTTGCTACCGTGCACGCCTACTCTGCTGAACAGTCTGGCAACGCAACCGAGTACTTCGCCGCTGAGCAAAAGGCCAAGGAGGCCCGTCGGGGACTCTGGCACGACTGGGATCCTGCCAAGGAGGCTGCTGAGGCAGAGGAGGAAGAAGAAGCTGCCGCTGCCGCTGCTACCAACGGTCAGAACGGTGCCGATGAGGTTTCGCAACGTCGCAAGGACTACCGCGATGTTATGGTGACCTACGTCGATCCCACCACCTGCAAGCTCAAGCTGCAGCAGGTTGGCTCTGGCACCTCCGCTCTGACTGAGTTGATGAGCGCATTCCGCTCGTTCCACATCAACAAAGCCAACGACACCCCTCTCTCTGGCCCCCCCAAGGCCGGTGACTTCGTGGCGGCCAAGTTCAGCGAAGACAATGAGTGGTACCGGGCCAGAGTCCGCCGTAACGACCGCGAGAAGCAGCAGGCCGAGATCCTCTACATCGACTTTGGTAACTCCGAGACCCTCCCGTGGTCCCGCCTCCGCGCACTCAGCCCACAGTTCTCTGCCCAGAAGCTGCGTCCCCAGGCGGCGGATGCCGTTCTGTCATTCCTCCAGTTCCCGGTTGCGGCGGACTACCTCGAAGACGCCGTCGGCTTCATCGGCGACCAGGCCTTTGACCGCCAACTCGTCGCCAACGTCGACTACATCTCCACCGAGGGAACCATGCACGTGACGCTCCTGGACCCCTCGCAGTCCAAGAGTCTGGATGAGAGTCTTAATGCCGAGGTCGTCCGTGAGGGTTTAGCTATGGTGCCGAAGAAGTTGAAGGCGTGGGAGCGCGGTGCTGGTGATACATTGGCTAGCTTGCGGGAGTTGGAGAGTGAGGCTAAGGAGGAGAGACGGGGGATGTGGGAGTATGGTGATTTGACGGAAGACTAAATGTGCACTGGATTCGGGATTGGCATGTAACTTTACATCTTGTTCTATTTTGTTGTTTGGTGATGATATATGCATATTTACACCAAAAGTCACATCTTTTTAACATGTAAATGTAGTTACACTGCGTAACGCTGACATAAGCGGTTATGTGCATAGCAACGTGTCATATCTCACTCCAGCTCTATACGGAGTAATAATAGACTTATTGTCCAAACTATTTATTCCTCTTCTGAACTATCGAGTCCTGTATAACTGAAATTACCCAACTGGGCCCAAATAAAAGAAAATCTAACAAACAACCCGGAACCCCAACATCCCGACATCCCGACATCCGCCCCCCGGAGTTCGGCCGGAGCTGAGCTCCAATCTCTCAACTCAATTCTCACCTTCACTTCCAAGCACCTATTACCAATAAACCTAGAATCCTCTGTACACAGAGAAACGACGAAAATGCCCCTCTTCGGCTCTTCCAAACCCACCACCTCCGACACCGCCGACCAGCCGCAAAACGACCCCGTCGCATCTGCGTCCGCCGCCGCCGGGACGGAATGGCTCGCCGGCCATTTGCACCATTTGACTGATGAGCAGCAGGGGAAGTTGGAGGAGTTTAAGAAGTTGTGTGCGGAGAAGGGGTATTATAAGGCTGCTGGTGAGGATGGGGGGAAGGCTAGTCATGATGATGCGACGGTGTTGTATGTTTTCTACCCACCGCTTACTTGGTATTGGGTATTGGGGGTTTGGAAGAGAGCTGTGCTAATGGGACAAGGCGGTTTCTCCGCGCACGCAAGTTTGATGTGAACGCTGCTTGGGGCCAGTTCAAAGACACCGAGGACTGGCGCAAGGATAATGCGATTGAGAAGTTATATGAGAACATCGACGTTGATTCCTACGAGTCTGCACGCCGGATGGTACGCCCCTGCCCTGCCCTCCCCCCTCCCCATGCTCTACATCAAGCGCAATCCGAACACAGCTGATAAAGAACAGTATCCCCAATGGACCGGCCGGCGCGACCGCCGCGGCATCCCCATCTACGTCTTCGAAATCAAACACCTCAACACCAAGCACATGGCCGCGTACAACGAGACAATGACTACCTCGAACCTGCCCGCGGAAGCCCAGAAATCGTCAACCGTGCCGGAGCGGTTGTTGAGATTGTTTGCGCTGTATGAGAATCTGCTGCGGTTTGTGATGCCGGTTTGCTCGAAGCTGCCGAGGCCAAACCCCGAGACGCCGATTGTCGCGAGCACGAATATTGTTGATGTTAGTGGGGTGGGACTGAAGCAGTTCTGGAATCTCAAGGGACATATGCAGGATGCTAGTGTGCTTGCTACGGCGCATTACCCGGAGACGTTGGATCGGATTTTTGTACGTCCCCTGCCCCTCTCCCCTAGTATTCAGGTGTAAAACGCATCTACTAACAAGTGGTAGATAACCGGCGCCCCCAGCTTCTTCCCCACAGTCTGGAGCTGGATTAAACGCTGGTTCGACCCGGGCACAACATCCAAGATTTTCATCCTCTCGTCCGCAGAGGTAAAACCAACCCTAACCTCCTTCATGGACCCCTCCAGCATCCCCAAGCAATACGGCGGCGACCTCGACTGGAAATGGGGTGATATGCCGAACCTTGACCAACCTGCTAAGGATCTTATTGGTGGTGCTGAGTCTGGGTCTGGGGAAGGTGGGAAGAAGGAGTTTTTGAAGGGGCCGATGTTGTTTGATGGGGAGGGAATTCGGGTGCTTGGGCGGGAGGAGAAGAAGGGTGGGGAAGGGGGTGAGAGGAGGTGGGATATTCCTGCAGCTTCCAACGGTGCTGCTGCTGGTGATGGCGAGAAGGCTAGTGAAACTGCTACTGCTGCTGCTCCGGCGCCTGCCCAGGAACAAGCCTCTTAAGCAGGGCTGCCCCGTCCCGCCCGTCCTCGATAAAACATGCGTTGATTTCTGGCTTGGTCTGCGGTAAGAAAGATGCATCATACACTACACTACAATAGATAACGTCCAGATAGACTGCCCTTCTTTTTGTCATATTGATTGGTTACATAGTGCAAAATCATAATATCTAATCATTGGTTTTATTACCGAGCTATGTAGTCCAACATGACACATTCCGAAACATAACAGGAAGCATAAAGTACTTGTACATCAACACCTAAGAACCAGTCTTCCAAATCGTGTTGATTTGCTTTTTCCGCACCTGTAATGATCAGTTAGCATGCCATCTAGCATAAAACAAGGCAAAAGAGGGAGAAAACTTACAATAGGCGCAAGAACAGTAACACCAATCCCCAACGCAACAACAGTCAACACTAACTGGATCTTCGAGAATCCCTTGCCCAGCACGTCAAATGCCTGGCTGGGCATCACTCTCGTTCCATATACATCACTGCCAAAAGCAATGACCAATCCCGTACTCTCCAGCAAGGTATCCCTGACAAGCACATTGTTGATACCAGCAACATCCCGCGAATGTGTCAAGAACCAGCGTCCATCAAACTCGAGGAATGGGTTATATTTGAACAATCCCTCCTCGGCTTCTGTGGAGCTAGGATCGCGGTTGACAGGACGGCGGGGGTCGAGGATTTGTCTCGGGATGCCGACGATCGAGTTCGAGGAGGGAAGCGTGCAGAGGAGTTGGCGGCTTGTGATGCCTTGCCTTGTTTGGGTGACGGCCATGTGCGATATGGGTTCGGGGATTACGAAAGATTGGGCGATGACGTGAGGGGGTGCAGGAGCGTCAACATCGTGGAGGGTTGAGTAGTTGGTTGCAGAGTTGAGGGGGCCGCGGTCGTTGGGGATGAAGGATTCGTAGAGTTCTGAGATTACCAGTTGGTAGCCCTTTGCCTCGGAGGCGTCGGCGGTGTCGCCGAAGAAAGAGTAGGCGATCCAGTTCTCGGAGATGGTCGAGGCGATGGGCTGGCTTGTGTCCACGTTTTCTTGTGTGCTCGAGTGCAGGACAGTGCCGGACACGGCGTCGAGGAGGTAGAAGCTGGCGGAGTTGTCGCCGACGGCGGTGATGAGGGCCAAGTTCGGGTTCAGGTATTTGTACAGAACGGACCGGTCACCCAGGACCTTTCCAATCGAGGCCACGGGGTCATGCGCTGGGCGAGAGGTAGCGCGGATGATCTTCTGGCCTTGCGCAGGGATGAATTCCCACACCGGGATTTTGTTGTCTTGGGAGCTCCATCCGAAGACTTTGCCGTCGGCACTGAGGGTGACAAGGAATCCAGATCCGTCGAATGTTTCCACGGGAGTGCCGTCTTCCTTGATGCTGACGATGACCGGGGTTCCGTTGTTGACAACAGCAATGGAATGGACCTTACTAGATGGAGCAGTGCGTCCAACGATCTCTCCAGAGGAAACCTTTAGCGTGACAGAGCTTCCGTCATCCGCATACACTGTGGCAAGTCCTGGCTGCGTGATTATCGCCTTGACATTCCAAGTCTCAGTCTCCGCGGCCTTTACGTTCCAAGAGACAGCGCCGTGGTTTCCACTGTCAAGAGCGAACACACGGCCATTCTCCGTAGCAATGATGATTGGCTTGGAAATTCCAAAGCTGTCGAGGTTCGACACTTCATCAGTCAAGATGCTCGTCAGGATACGCTTGGGCAACTCCTTGAGCCACTCAGGGAGATACTCCAGATCCTTGATGTGACGCTTGACGCGGTGAATGTAAGCACCGTGCAAGCTCTCGTGACCTTCGACTTCAAGTTGATGGGCCAGTTCCTCCTGCTCATCAGTTTCAGCCCAAGCAGCCGCAGATGCACTAGTCAATCCCTCATGTCTGGTCCACTCAGCCTGGCCATTTCGGATCAACTGCCAATCACCAGAAGCCAGAAGAGCAGCGGATCGCACAGCAACGGTGTCGCCCTTGTCAACGACTTCCGAAACGGCATGCAAAGCCTGTTCGGTCGAAGGGTTCTTCTGAGCCCATCTACCCAGAACTCCGTGAGAAGCAGACGAGATGACGGTAGTCTCCGACTCCGTGATACGAGTGAAGTACACGTTTGCGTCCCTGTTGCTAGTTGCAAAAATAGACCGTTCCTGCACCCGAGGCAAATCATACCCCTTGGACACGGTTCCCAGCTTCATATCAGTGTAGTACACCTCCGCCCAGGAGCTGGATTCCGTCTCATAACCGACCAAGAAATGCGGCAGGGAATTGAGCTTCTTTGGAGCGTGGACCTTGATCGACTTGATTTCCTCGCCTTTGTTATCGATGTTGATGGTCGAGACTTGCTTCGTGCCGATAACATTGACCTTCAATACCTTCCGGGCCTTATCGGTCCAGACAATTATAGGTGCGGCGGTGTTGGCACCCACGAAAATAATCGAGTCGGGTCCGGTCACATCGTTCTCTGAGTTCAAGGTCTGCTGATAAGTCTGTTTACCAGTAACGGAGTCCAATGATGTAGCCTTGATCTTGGACCCCTTGAGCAAAGCCGACTGCAGAGAAATGTAGAACACTTCGGTAGGCGAGGATGAGACTTGGAAGGGAACGTCACCACTAGATGCGTACAACATCATTAGCCAGAATCCATAGACATCTTGACAATAACCAACCTTTCATCCTTGTATTCCCACTTGACATGTCCCGTCTGCCCATCAATTCGTTTGACAACACCCGCTTCACCAGCGTTGACAAGCGCGATCGTATCTCTAAACGTCCCAGCCGCGCTGGCATCTTCCAGCTCCAGCAATTCCAAATCCGCCACAGACCCCTCACCCGCAAACCAGTTCTCCCAAATCAATTTCCCATCCAGGGCACTCCATGACGAAACGTAGTCACCCGTCGCACTAACCACGGCGTTGATCCCATCCGAGGCGCGCAAGAGGCCACCTCCCGCGGCGGCGGAGTTGGGGAGCAACGACCGCGACACGTTCTGTCTCCAGACCAATGAACCATCTCGCGGGTTTACCGCACCCAGGATCGATTTCTCCGATAGCGTGTAGAGTAAGGAGGCGTTGGAGGCGGAGGAAGGCTTGAGGAAGAAGGTGGATTGGGACGAGGGAAGGCCGAGGAGCGCATGGTGGAAGTCGATGTGGTTGACCTCGTCGGCGTAGATTGCTAGCGTTGAAGGAACGCAGAAGGCGAGCAAAGAAAGTGCCGCCTGGAGCCGCATGATTATAACTGATGCTTTGGTCGGAGCATTGAGGTCGGAGAGTTCGTGGATAAGACGATGGAGCTGTCGGAGTAGCGTAGGCGGTGATGAGATCGCCGGTGGACGTCACGTCTACAGCAAACTACATCTATATCTGCACTTACATCCAATTCTACACTGCTTTTAGTTCTTCCCATATTCATTTTCTAATAGCAATGCTGTTTTCGCCTTGTTACTGGTGCCGGACGGTACGGTATGGTATCCACCATACTAGCCAGGCGATAACTTGGCGTTCTCAGTTCGATCTTGATCCGTCTTTCTCTCATGGTTGAAAAACAGTATTCGAAATGCTACGAAATCTACCAAATGAACACCTCCTCCTGATCGCAAGCAGCTTGGTAGAAGTAGATATCAACGCCTTCTCCCGCATCAACCACCGCTTCCACGCCGTCCTAACCCCGTACCTCTATGAGCGCGATGCCAAAACCACCAGGATGCCTCCATGCTTTGACGGGACGACCATACGATCCAATGACTGTCAAATGTGGCTCTTCAAATCCACTGCGGATGACCCATCGAATAGGTCTGGCTTGGTGTCCAGAATGCCCGGGACGAAAAAGCGCAAATTCGCAAAGAGTATATCCTGTTCGTGCGGTACATGATCCTTTCTGAGGATTAACAGAAAAAGGGCAGTGATGATTTTCGCCTCGCCAAGGACTGCATCTGCTTTCATTGTAATATTGCTCTGTGCATTCAACTGGGTCGCTCAACATCGCCTTCAATTCTTTTCAGTTGTCGGGTTTTGGCAGTGTGTCGGAGTTCTTGTTGTAAGCATTGGCTCTCCTTTCTGTCCTGTGCTCAAACTGCTGCTTTTTGGATGGCATATTTGCGTACTATGGAGAGTTAAAGAAACAGTGAACGGTAAAGGAAGAAGCTAGGGCAGCATACTCCCGGACAGGTTGAGGCCTCCTGTTTCGATGTGTTTTCATCTGTCGATACCGAGTTAGTCCTTGGGAGCTTGTTGACATAATAGGTTGAGAAAGGGCTGAACGCCTTGAACGGGATTTGCAGGTCAGCGTGTTGAAGTCTTTCAAAGCCTGCTCCTTGAGACAATTTGCCGCAAGTTTCTTGTATGGCAATCGATATTTTTTTCCGTCTTACGGTATCTTGGAGACAAGAAATCTGTAATTATTGTGTTATGTTTTTTTGGGGGAGAAGGAGGATCGAAGGGCAGTGAATATGGAAATGCGACAGAGACAGTGAATACGATTGAAGCTACGGGCCGATGGCTTCCTGGTAAGTGACAAACTATTGACTCAATTCATTACCGATATTTATAACATGATGAGACATGGCCAGAGCGTGTTGAACAGAAGGTTAATCACCCGGCAGCAGTTCAATGCAGCGTCCCATAAAAAGCACTTCGAGATCTTATAACCACCTTTGATTTGTTTGACACTTCGACTTTATTCGGCCCTAACCCCTTGAATTGACCGACAAACACCCCTGTACCAAGTCTGCGTCACCCTCGCCTTAAGCAATCCCTCAGCCCTCCAATCCATATTCAAAACTGCAAAATCAGCATTCAATCCCTTCTTCAAGCCCCCCGTCCATCCCTCCGCAAACCGCGAATACGCCGCCCCGGTTGTAGCAGCCTCGACAGCCTTTGCCAACTCCAGTCCAAAATGCTCATTCACCGTCTCCTCAGACTCAGGCTCAATAGCAGACTTCCGCGTCGTAGCATTATATAGATTTGGCAATGCCAAATGCGCAGCTGTAGGCGCGTCTGATCCGAATGCCACTCTCGCACCGCCTTCTAGGAACTCCTTATACGCAAATGCGCGTCCGCAGCGATGCTGACCGATGAGACTTGGCCATGCGCGGAACAGGACCGGGTCTGAGTGGACTGGTTGCACGGAGGCAGTGATGCCGAGCTGACCAAGCCGCTTTGCATCTTCGGGGGAGGTGAGTTCGAGGTGTTCGATGCGGTGGCGTGGGGGTCCGTTGGGCTGGACTTGCGATGATAATGATAGAGTGTCGATTGCTTGTTTTACAGCGGCATCTCCAATGGCATGGACTGCACATTGGAGGCCGGCAGCGGTGGCTTTTTGGGTTACCGCTTGAAGTGCCGGCGTAGGCCAGATGGTAGCAACCGGGTCCGCAGTGTTTGTGTATGGCTGGCTTAGGGCCGCGGTGCAGCCGTCTACAACTCCATCGGCTATTAGTTTGATACCTACAACACAAAATGTGGGAGACATCGACGGATGGAACTCGCGATGGAGCGCGATGGCACGATCAACATATCCAAACACAACATCCATGTCCCCCGAGTACGGAACGAGCCAATGTGCTGCAATATGGAACGGCAATTCACCAGCATATCGTTGTCGGAAGAGCTTCAAGACTTCCCAGTCCTCCTCATTCATAGCCATATCAATCATCCCCGTGTAGCCTGCAGCGGTATACGCCTTGGCTGCATCCTCCAATGCAGTGAGTTTCTCCTCGATGGAAACCACGCTCGTCAAGAATGGAAGCGCAACTGACAAATGCGCAGATTCACTGAGTAAACCTGACGGTTTTCCATTTTCATCACGGTGAATCGTGCCTCCTGGAGGGTCACTCATATTCTCCGCTCCTAGCTCATGTAACGCAGCGGTGTTGCACCAGATGGAATGGAGGTCATTTGCTTGGATATATATCGGTCTTTTATCCAGATCATCCAGCATACTCGCCAACGCCAATCCCCCCGTGCTCGACTGCACCCATCCCTTACAAACGACCCGTTCCAATTCCGGATACTCTTGCGCATATGCTTTGATCGTCTCCCGAATACTCAAACGCGATTTGCAGGACAAGAGATTCAATCGACGCTGCGACAAAGCAAAGTCGAGAATATGTACGTGGCTATCGATGAAGCCGGGGACGATGATGTGGTTGTCGAGGTCGATCTCACGAGCACCGGATGATTTGGCACAGAGGATGGCGGGGTCATCTTCTGGGCCGACATAGAGTATTTGGTGGCCAAGGATCATCATGGTGTTTTGGAAGGTGTTGCCGCTGCCCGTGAAGATGCGGGCGTTTGTGAAGATTGTTGTAGTCATAGTATCCAGCAAGTAGTGCAGTTGAAATGGGTGATTGGACTGGGTTGAATCGTAATTGCATTAATCTGGGGATATATGAATTTATATTCAAAAGAGTAGGGAAAGTAGAATGGCGTTCCGTTAGCCGAGAGGTGCCATTGTATAAATAAAAATGGATCATCGCGGAAATTGACGCTATTCGTCAATAGGGCTGATAATCGATATCTATGAGGGAAATGGAAAATCTAAAGCATATCTATCAGGCTTCTCATGTACCAAAGTAGAGTTTAATTCAGGCAATTTTGCGTCCCGAAAATATCCACGCCCATATATCCATCTCCCCAATACCTTGTCAATATATCCACCAACCGCCTCATTGTCCCATTCCTAGTTGCTTTCCAAAATGCCATGATCTGTGATAACAGACACTCTCGGTCGAGCTGATCAACAGTCGACATACCCACCACCAGAATCGGCCAGCAGTAATACTCGGCGTAGTAGTCTTTAGATGGTTGCAATTGAGTGATAAAGAAAACCCCATCGGAGACTAGCGATGAAATGTGTGTATCTGTGTGTATTTTTATACTGGTTGGGCTGGATGAGAGATTTATCAAGCATTTAAGAAGGATTCTTGATGCCAAGATGTAGAGCTTAGGACCTAGTGATAGGGTTCCAGGACTTGCCTCGTGATACGACAGAATACGAGGCAGCGAAGTTTGGTTCCCATCCCAGTAGTCGAGGATGAGTTCCAGTTCGTAACATCGCAATATATCAACACCCTCAACTGAATGCCGCTGATGCATCAAGACTATTTCGCGAATGTATCCAAACAACTTCGGCGGGACTCCAATGATCGAAGAAGCATAGAGACATGTTTCAGAACGGCAGGACGACTCCTCCAACGCGTGCTCAGCTAGTGGAAAGGTGGAATCGATAACTGCGGACTGCACCAAAGGCTGCTGGAATGGGATGCTGGTTGTAGCGTGGAATATGAAAGCCTCGAGCATGAGATGGAGCATGGTCGTGTCTGATTTTGAAAGTACACATGCTTTGTCCCGCTTGAGGTGCAGCTGGATTAACTGGGCTGCCCCGAGAAGATGGACGTCAACGCCTCTGGAGAGACGAGGTTTTGATCGCTGGGCAATTTCAGCAATTGGCCTCAAGAAACATTGTCGACACAATGCTTACCTCGTATATGCAAAGCACAATGACAGCCATCAAGAGCACAATCGGTCTCACCATCGATTCAGTGCCACTGTCCAAATGCTCCCGCAACCCACCAATAGCCTTCGCATAGTGCCCCTCCGCAATCCTGCGATAGCGTATATCATCCGCCGGGAATTCCGCTCCGCAGCATGCTAGAAGGGCGTGCATGAGGAATGGGGTGCTGAAGGCTGATTGTAACTTTTCTTGCTTGACGAATTCGATCGTGGTCGGGTGGGACATTGGGTGTATGAGAGTGGGTAAGAATGCGGTTCTCAGGAATTCGAATAAGGGAATACTTTCGCGAGATATGATGGAATTATATGGAGTGAATGGGCTTGGTGTATAGATGCATAGATTAGCCATGCCCATGTTTGTCTGCCCATGATTGTCATTTTCATTGGACTCGATATGCGATATAACTTCAATAGTAGAAGGTGACAAGGATAATTTCCCCGGACTGGCTCCTTGGTTGGACACCTCTGTCGAGCTCGAGACGTGTCTTAGTCTACTAGGCCCACCACGGCTGGACTCGGATGGCCATGCACATGTATGGTTTCCCCGAGAACAGTTCTTGCAAGTCACTGGTGTCTCGTCACATTTCTTCTTTCTTTTCCTGCCTTTCAACCGTCAGTACGTGCGGGGATAGCGCGGGTTGGAGGAACCTACAAGTCAAACATCCAGTCTTGGTGCGCAACTGCGCTGGTCGCCTGCGTGGCCGACGGTAATGCTTCTTCTGGTTATCCATCCTTGAATTGATTCGAGGTTGTCTTGCGGAGGTGGATGTCATGGTCGTTCTCCGCATTGTCGTTAATGTTCTGATATCTAATCTCTGACCAATGGCGTCAATTTGCGCGGTGGGTTATATATCACGTTCCGTATGCCCTAGAAAATTTGGACAAAAGGGAGATATCATTCAATTTCTTTGGAGCCTAGAATGCTGTGACGATAAGCACTATACTCTCCATCTGGGGAAGGAGTACCAGAGAGTGTTATCTACCGATATGTCCGTATCGGTTATCTCTACCATACACCAGCAGTGGCACACACAGCAGTAATGGTGCATCAATGGGACATCTATATTCCTACACCCCAAAGTATCATGGGGTTGATGCTGTGATTGCATGTATTGAAGGCAAAAGGCCATGGCAGACAGCAGTTGGGAGATACCCCCGGGTACTGTATACTTGGGAAATGGTATTCATCCACCAATCACTATCAATATCGATCCCCTTGCTAATTATTGATGCTCAGGACACTCTGGTATCTCCGGCTCTGACCGTGATGTCAACGGACGGGTCGTCCTCCACCCGCAACCATCGAATGACCCTAATGAACCATTGGTAAGCATTGCACAGCCGTTAGGTCTGGGAACATGCTGACAGCACTGGTAGAACTGGCCCATACATGAGAAAGCAATCAACTTCTCTATCGCCTGTCTATTTACCCTAATGGTATTTGAAACGTATGCTTTACTTGTCCACAGCCCGTCTTACAACCTTCCAACAAACTAAGACTAAAGGCCAAACAGACTTGATGTCGGCACAGTTACCTGGAATGCCATGGAAGCGGAGCTTGGTTTTGGATATGACTTTCTTAATGCCAGCTACGCAGCCGCTTTGGCTGGACTCGCTGTCGGCTGTATCCTCTTCGCTCCGGCAGCTTTGGTCTTTGGACGCAAGCCGGTTTGTCTATGCGCCGACGCTAACAATGGTTCTGGTCAATGTTGGACAAGCCATTTTTGAGACGAGGGCTCAATATATTGTGCTTCAGGTTTTGGCCGGACTAGCGGGGTCGACCAACGATACCATTATCCAGATATCGGTTGGTTCTCCTACGCCAAACAAATTCCAACTACTCACTTGGTAGAGATATCGGATCTCTTCTTCGTTCGTCAACGTGCGACGTTGACAGGTGTCTATACCATAATGGTGGTCATTGGCGTATGTCACTTTACTCTTTTTTGTGTATCTGAGCTGACCTGATCTTCGCAGACCTACCTCAGTATGATCCCAGCAGGCTATATTGTAATGAATCAAGGCTGGCGCTGGGTGTGGTGGTGGTACGCAACCCTCAACACTGTCATCATAATACTGTTTGTATTTGCCTATGGGGAAACACGGTATCGCAAGTCCGGGAACTGCTTTATTGGCGAGGAGCCTTCGACTCCAACACCTCCTCACGAAGATGACACAGAGAAGAAAACTGATTCTGCGACACCTTGCCCTGAGGCCCAGCAGACAGTCCCAGTCCCATTCGAACACCCAACAACACCAACACCAACCCGAAAGACATATATCCAACGCATGACCGTCTTCGGTAGCTTCTCAGACTTCAGCATCCACTCCTACTGGCAACACATGTGGCGGCCTTTTATTCTCTTCTTCCGCATCCCAGCCGTCGCGTTTATAGCAATCGAATACTCCTTAATCCTGTGCTGGGTTGCTGTCCTCGCAACGACCCAACCGATCCTCTTCGCACAACCGCCATACAACTTCTCCATTGGAGTGGGGAATAGAAATATTGCGCCTTTTATCGGGGCAATAGTCGGTTCAGCTTATGGTGGACCGTTGAATGACCTTTACGTTGTATTCATGGCTCGACGGCGAGAGGGCATTTATCATCCCGAGACACGGTTGCATATGCTTGTTATGCCGATGCTGCTGACGCCGTTGGGCCTATTTCTGTATGGGATTAGCATTTCCAAGGTGAGACCCTTTCTCCTATGGTACTCGGCCCCAGATAGTTGATAGCTCAGTCACAACCATGTATTGTGCCCCTAATAGGATCAGGACTTGCCGGATTCGGAGTTGGTGCTGTCCCTGCGATTTCCCTAAGTTACTTTGCAGATAGTTACCGCGAGGTATGGGGTTGATTCACCCTATTGTATCCGAAAATAAACTAATGTATAATGACCAGATCATCGCCTTGGGGATCTAGATCCGCGATAAGATAACAGCGCAAAGTGACGCCATTGGCCATCACCGTATGCGATGATTCCCAAAGGGGTAACATGAGCCTGTTTCGCTTTGCTTCGGCGACGCTCCGTGGTATCCTGAGAGAAGACCCTGCTTCCGAATTAAGCATGTCCACCCGAATGCTTCAACTTGAGATGATATAAATACAACCATGCGATCTTGCAATGGAAGTCGATCACCAAGATAAACACATTCTACCGTTAAAACCGTCAACATGACTTCCATGCCTCACGATAACGCTGGGACCGGTAGATGTTGCGCTCCTCCCCGGTCTTCACTTGTTTCCTCTCACCCACTAGGTAGGTGATAGCCTTTCGATATCTGAAACTAGACTAACTGAATGATTAGATCCCCTGTCTATCGAGGAAATCCCCCTAGCAGCCAATATTATCCGGCAACATGCCTCCTCAGACCGCCTCAAATTCAACTGTATTACACTCCACGAGCCCACAAAGGCCGAATACACAGCATTCCGCTCCCACACCGGCCCTCGCCCGGACCGGCGCGCCTTTTCCATCGTCATCCAAGGGAAGCAGTCGCCCCAGGTCTCAGAAGTTGTTGTCAACCTAACCTCCCGCCGGGTTGAATCCTGGAAAGATCTCGCCAATGTCATGCCCACCTTGACCCTCGATGATCTGGATGTCACGGAGCAGATCGCCCGGAATGACCCACGTGTCATCGAAGCTTGTCGGGAGATTGGAATCACCGATATGTCCAAGGTGTACTTCGATGCGTGGGCAATCGGAATCGATGAGAGATGGGGCTTTGAACGACGACTGCAGCAGGCGCTTCCGTATTACCGGAGCTCAAGATATGACAACCAATATGCGCATCCGCTGGACTTTGCTGTCGTGACGGATACAGAAGCGCAGGAGATCCTCAGCGTCGATATCCGGCGGGTTAATGGAGAGCGCACAGCTGTGCCTCGTGATGAGCATAACTATCTGCCCCGGTTCATTGGGAATTCTTATCGCCATGAACGACTCAAGCCGATTGACATCACCCAGCCGCAGGGTGTTTCGTTCAGAATGAACGGGAATGAGATTGACTGGGCTGGATTCAAGATGCATATCGGGTTCAACTACCGCGAGGGACTCGTCTTATCGGATATCCGTGCTCACGATCCCTATGAGCAGCGGGAGCGTATGCTGTTTAACCGGATCAGCGTCGTGGAAATGGTGGTGCCGTATGGATGTCCCAAGCCCCCGCACCACAAGAAACACGCCTTTGATGTCGGAGAATACGGCAGCGGACTGATGACCAACTCGCTCAAACTGGGCTGTGACTGCAAAGGCGCTATACACTACCTTGACGCCGTTCTTCCGACTGCCACCGGCGAAGCCTTCATCATCGAAAACGCAGTCTGCATTCATGAAGAAGACAACGGCCTTCTCTACAAACACACAGACTTCCGTGACGGAAACGTCATTTCAGCCCGGGATCGCAAGCTAGTCATCTCTCAGATAATCACGGCCGCCAACTATGAATACGCCTTCTACCACACCTTCACCCTGGACGGAACGTACAAGCTCGAGATCAAGCTAACCGGAATGCTGAACACATATCCCCTGCACTCCAGCGAACAAGCTGCTCCCTACGGAACCGAAGTAGCCCGTGGCATCGACGCCCAAAACCACCAACACATATTCTCCCTCCGCGTGGATCCCGAGATCGACGGCCCAACAAACACAGTCGTGCAAAGCGATGCAGTCCCGTCAGACGAACCCGTTGGTTCAGAAGGCAACCCATATGGTAACGGCTTCTATGCGAAGAAGACTCCCCTCCGCACAGCGAAAGAAGGTGCCACACATTATTGCCACGAAACCGGTCGCACATGGGACATCACCAACCCTAATTGCCTCAACCCCATCTCCAAAAAACCCGTTTCTTACAAGATCCTGAACAATAACTGCCCACCCCTGCTCGCAAAACCAGGTAGCACCGTCTACAACCGTGCCGCATTCGCACGCAAGTCCCTCTGGGTCGTTCCCTACCGCGATGACGAGCTCTTCCCCGCGGGACGGTATGTATGTCAGTCAACAGGGGAGGAAGGGCATCAAGACAATGGGACGGTTGTTGATTGGGTAAACCGAGACGAAGGGATCGAGAACACGGATATCGTTTGCTATGTGCAGTTTGGGTTGACGCATTTCCCGCGCACGGAGGATTTCCCGATAATGCCTGCGGAGCCTGTGAGTGTTATGCTGCGGGCTGCGAACTTCTGGCAGAAGAATCCGGCGCTTTGGGTGCCGGCTTCGGATGTGGTGAGGGATGTTTCATCGCGGGATGCGTTTGAGAAGGTTGTGGATGGTGGTCGGAGGCTGGAGAACGCGAAGCTGTAGGCTTTCTTTCATTCTTGTGTTGTGGTATTTATGCCGATATGGTGGGTTTAGCTATGAGAAATCTGTACATGATATCTTCGCTCTACAACGATGTATAAACCAGTTTTGTCGGAGCAAAGCCCTCGCGCTCAACCTTCTCATACCACCCCGGTGGGTAATTTGGCATTGGAGGAGGTACAGGCGTAAAATTCATCGAATGTCGTAATGATCTCCTCACCTCTTCGGACTGGCTGGAAGGATATGAGTTTTGGTCAACAAGAAGTTGAAGTCCCGTGCACTTACAATGGATTTTTATGGATATTTTTCCAAGCACACAACATGGCCTCCTTCTGAGCCATCTCTTGATCCGAGAGAGGTTTCATTGAGCTCAAGAGAATGGAGTTGAAGCTGCCGTCTTTTCCTTCAATAATCCACTGCGAACAAAACTCGAACAACCTGGGATAGTAGCCGGAAGATGCCCAATCAACAAGACAGAGAGACCCATCTTCCTGCCACAGAATGTCCCGGGGTGCTATATCCAAATGGCAAAACACGAGCTCGCAGCCCTGGAGAGTCAGGTTTGGATTATGCGCGAAAAGTCGACTATTGAATCATTCCTCTATCCCGTCCATTCTGTCGAAGACCAGATCTCCAGTCTCGTGAAAAAGAAGCCCGTGACAAAACCCTCTACAAAGAGACCCAGGAATTCTGTGCCGGAATGTTGCGAAATAATCAAGCACGCCCGCAACCTTTTCGATGGCAGAAATGTCCTCTAATGGTTCGATGACCTTGCCCTCTATAAACTCCATTACTATATAGCCCCAGCCCTAAACATTAGAAAAGAAAGCATACGCACGAGGTATGCGAACAATGCGACTATCGACAAGTTCGTAGGCTATCCTCTGGGCTTCGGCTTCCTCCTTTGTTACATCTGGGCCCCATTTGACGACATGTTGATCAGATATTCTGATAATGCGCTTGCCATATTGGCTGAAAATAATACCAGGCAACGGGTTCTCGCAACAAGCGATTATTGTGGCTTGTTGGAAGTCTTCGGGAAGCGTCATGTTCCTCTGCAAATGGGTTGCGGTATGAAAGGGCTGTTTAAAGACACATCTTTGCAAAGATTGGATATAGAGCAAAAGCAAGTGGGAACAGACCAGCCAGAAATGCATTGCGAGAAGGAGGGAGAGATACGAGTTTCAGTGTCGAGCGGTGTGCATAGGCGCTAACACAAGCGACAATCATTGGCCAATCATCCCCTGGAAGCTGAACAAGCTGCTGGATAAGGTCATCGAGGACAGACCTCCATATTCGTTACTATGAAAGAAAGCAGTCACAGCCAATCCCGATGTTCAGCCCGACCAACGTGATTACCTTCACTGCCCCTTGCCCATTCATCAGTCAGCTTAGCCACATGGTATTTTGTTGTCCACCCGAGATCTCTTTCAATTCCAAGAAGTATTTCGAGGACCGCATCCTGCTCACGGGGTTCCTGGAAGACTTGTCCAGCGACAAACAAGGCTTGCACGGAATTTACCCGAACCGAATCTCCCGAATTCCCAAGGCTTATACCACAGATCTCCCTGGCGTGATAGACAACCTCTCGGAGAGCATGTCGATAAGATCTCAAGCGCGCTGATACGGTTGACCGGATGGCTGTAGACTCTTGCGGCTCGTTTGCTAATAATAAGATCTTTGCTTGGTGATAGCTTTGCATTGTTGCCGCGCATAATGGCAAATCAAACCAAATCTGTTCGAAGACATCCAAGCTTAATGTGTGCTGTAAATTAGCACAGCCCCATGCCCGTATACGAGCAGTCGCATTGAAGGATGGCGGAAGGGAGTCATGCCAGTTATCCAACTCGGTTATCAACATGTTCCATCGGCTTAAAAGATACTCCTGGTTTAACCCGATTGGAAGCCGTTGTCCAGGGGGTAGTGCGAAGTCCTCAGGAACCAGAGCATCTCCAGCGGACAGGTGGTTTGCAATTTTACCAAGAATCCACGTGAGCTCATTGCTTTTCATATCTTCTTCGACGCCGGAAGAATTGTGGATATCTGTCATACTAAAGGGGCTGCACGGTAGGAGAGCTCCGTGCTCATCAGTTGCTAGGCCTGCATTCTGCCAGAGACGCATGTCCTTTAGATCCAGTCGAGTCTGAGTCTCGCTTATGACTGAGATGGTCAGCCGCCACAAAAAGTCAAATCAGTAAAGTGTTCCGAAGCTTACAGGCACACAGCAAGTCCTGTCTTGCGAGGCTCCAGAATATTGGCCCCTTTATAGCCGTTTGAGGAATTACGATGGTTGATTGGGCTGGTATAGAAGTTGCGTTATCGTTGAAGAGGGGTAATGCGCCCAAATGAGCTCTCCACGCACTGCCAGGAGCGTCCATCAATTCGAAGGTGCAGAGTATCGCAACGGCAGCGAGCATCTCTTCCTTGTCGGCGGGGTTATCAACATATGTTTCCAAGTCGATGGCTGTCTTCACACGGCCAAGGGCTTGATCGTAATATTTTGTTGATTGATACTGCCATGTCTCCTCGCCTGCCATAGGAAGACCGAAGTTGTTGCGTAAAGGTGCACAAGTCTGATAGAGATGTCGTAGATGTTTCGCAGAAAGAGCACACACGGCCGATTTCAATAGTGGCCTCGATGCTGCGAGTACGGGGACTTTTGAAGAGAAGTAGGCCGTTGTATCGAAGAGATCCATCCTGGATCGTTGTTAGCAAATAAAATTGGATTTAATTCAATTCATACGTACCACCGGCCTGGGCCTTGCTGAAAATGTCGCAACAAGTGTGAAGCTATAACCCTATTAAAGGGATCAAGATCGAAGTTTTCAGGAGGGTAAACCGGGGGAGTATTTTCCTGAGGTGCATCTAGAGTCGGTGCATGTTGGAGAGAGTGAGGTTGGATAGAGCCATAGTCTGACATTTCATGACGGCCAGAGTCGGCATTTTCCACGCCAATATCTGTCCCTTTATCCATATCACCTTCTTTTGTATCTGCAATGGTATCATTATCAGGTGCCCAAGGATCTTCGACTTGGACAAAGGTGACTGGTCTGTTGTGAGCGGAATGAAATGCACTCAGGTTATGACACTTACGCTTGCTTGGAACCTCAACCCATCTGTGATCTTCGTCGAACACATCGGGCTGTTGTTTTCCTGACCAGCTGACTCTGTTTGTTTGTTTACGTCTTGGTGTTCGACTACGGAATATAGATTGATCTGCATAAGTGCAATCTCGAGAAGCTTTCATGCAATTACCACATGCTGGTTGAGCCTCATCACATTTGAGCTTTCGGCCCTTGCAAATCAAACTGCAACAAGATATGAGCCATTATGTACCGATAAAGCTCCGGAGCACATACCAGCCGAAGTAGGAGCGCATTCCCGAGGTTTTGGCAATCAGTCAGAGCCAGCTCAGAGTGTAGGTCCAACAAGCACCCGATGAGAGGAATCACAACCAAGTAACTCATTGATGAGAGACCTTCATTGACGAAAATTCTTGACAGACGTTCCCACATTATCACGTGGAATCGCCGCAGATTTGAAGCGGGGTCTCTCGGATCGTAGCTCAGAGGGGAAATCGGGAGTCGATTATTCCGGACTAACGAGGTCTATATGGAGAGGACTAGCTGGACGAAAGAGGTATATTGCCTAACGAACGTATGTGCATGTACGCAGCTGATTGAGTGCTTTTTCTACCTAAAGGTGCGCACACGTTGGCCTATATCATCGGACCGGCGGAACTTGCCTGATCGGTCCGACATTATTCCTTATCAAGATTTTCCAAAAATGGTCACGTGCTGTTCGCCTTAAGAAGGCACTATGATCTCTTTTTGACGCTAGGACAGGCCGATTCATCTCCTATAATCCCCTGGTGCCTCTCGATTTTTACTATCTGCACTCTCTATTCGGTAAGTCTCGGGGGATTTCGAAGTTCGAAACGTAGCATACTTCCAGACATTTGTTGTCCAAACCGCCACTTTTTTCAAGTGATTCAGAAAAATACCGTATTCGGGGCAGACAAGTACGAGTAGAAATGGGATCATAGGCCCTGGAGTATCTCTGTTAGTACGTCCATATCTCGCCGAATCTTTATGCGTGAAATAAAAGAGTGATACTTACATCGCGCGTCCCCACCAAGGATGGGAGTTCAAAACATGTCCCTCCAATATCGGACGTCTTCTCGATCATTTCAAAGTTTCTGTTATTGAAATTTCAGATAAACTGAATGGTTATGTCAATTCCCGACATGCCGACCCAATGGTGAGAACATCTGTGTCAAGGGACATGATGCGACGAGGTGCTATAGTGTTAACAACAATTGGTCTTGGACGTTGCTACATGGAACCGTTCTACTACTTATAAGGTCGTCAATGACATGCACTCATGTTGATATTCGTTTATACAACACTCTTCCGCGGCTTCTACTTTGTATGGCGGCTTTTCCAAAAAGAGAAATATACCCGAGTTTACCACTCGCAGCATACCCGAAAGACCCGTCTCGGGTTTCCACTTTGGGCCAGCAAATTATTCGATTTTGGTGTTTTCGTGAAAGGCTATTGAGCCGAGCATTCTGTCCTAATGTGGTACATGTGCCCCCCCACATTGCCAATTGACAACTCGGATACTTTGCCCTACTATGTATGCTTGTGAGGGGTTCGGGGATGTCGAGGAATGTATATAATAAAGGTAGATTAGTTTTGGAATAATTTTGCACATCTACTCACCCTGTCTTTCTCTGTCAAATATCGTTTATCCACTCATTCAACGTTCCCATGTCTTCTGCATTACGCCTCCAGGATAAAGTCGCCATTGTTACTGGCGCATCCTCTGGACTTGGGAGGGCAATTTCGCTGCGATATGCTCGCGAAGGGGCCAAAGTGGTCTGTGCCGACCTCTCTGCTACAGCGCGCTCTCAAGTCACCGAAGAGTTGGACCTCACAACGCACGATCTGATCACTCGAGATGGAGGCCATGCAATTTTTGTCCAAACCGACGTTGGCGATGCGGGCCAAATGAAAAGCCTAGTTCAAGTTGCAGTGGACAGACTTGGTCGACTAGACATGTAAGTTTAACTGGTTGAGCGGACCCATTCATACAGTTCCATTGACTTTCGCGGATGACAGTTTAGTCAACAATGCCGGCGTAGCGCTGGAAGCCAGAACACCAGCGGTGTGCCATTTGACAGACGAGGATGTCTGGGACACTACAATGCGCGTCAATGTCAAGTCAGTCTTTTTGGGTTGTAAGTATGCCACTGCCCAGATGTTGAAGCAGCCCCCGCATGCCTCCGGAGACCGTGGCTGGATAATCAACATGTCTTCAATCATGGGTATCGTGGCTGGGCTTGATAATCGTAAGTACGACCGGTGAATTGCGCCTCAATAATCCATGTACGATACTGACTTGAGTCTTCCTTCTCCCGCGGAAAAGCGTCTTACTGCGCGTCGAAAGGTGCTGTCAGCAACCTGACCAAACAAGTCGCGCTGGACTACGCACCTCATCGTATCCATGTCAATGCCATCTGCCCCGGCTGTATGTTTCCGCTTCTCCAAGCCTCTTAGCACTTTGATGCTGATTGTCCAAATAGATACACAAACAGCCATTTTCAAGGAGACAACCTCTTACATGACCCCATGGGATGACCTTAAGCGGAGACACCCATTCAACGGACCTGGATGGCCGGATGATATTGCTAGGCTCGCTGTTGTACTAGCTAGTGATGATGCCAATTGGGTCACTGGTATTCTCCTCCCTGTGGACGGTGGATATACTGCTCGGTAAACCGTTTGGGCTTCAAGCAGCTTCGCGGGTTGCGCTTGAGTTGAGAGGGATTCGAATTATTTAACCACGATTATTAAAGCTGTTAGCACATATAATGATGCTTTTCGTAAAGACAATACGATAGTAATGCCGGGTTTACAAATTGAGCTATAGCTGGACTCCATATCGCTTTTTAAACCCACTCGGCTAGCTTTCCACATCGGGGATCTATCACTGAAGGGCACGTCCACGAATGTTTCCCGATCGGTTCCTCATCCCGAGCATAAAAAAACAAATCCGAAGAAATACATCCGGCATATAGCCGGAGCCGAGCATAATTAAAAGGCCAGATGTGCCCAAGTACATACTTGCGGGTTATGGAAAAGTGGGTCTCGGGAAGATTTCCTTGACATACAAACCCGCGACCATGTAAGGACTAACACCCGAGCCCTAAAACGATGATCTTCGGATTCTTTGTCTGCAAGATACCCGGGTCGCTTACTCCTTCTATGGTATAAGAACACTCTTAATATTCAATCCCTGCGATGTATTCTATTGACAGCGCACAACATATGCTCGCCCCAACTTGTACAGAAACATTTTTTAGTAGGTTACTTACAGCCCGGGCGTACAAACCAAAAGAAAGCAAATGATACTTCATTCTCTCCCGTCCAGCATGCCTCCAATTCTATATCTCGTGCGCCACGGCCAAGGCGAACACAACGTCAACGTAAGTTCACCCGCCTACATCGATTATCATCAACTCACTCTCCCAGAACTCCCATCATATCCGAGATCCCCTCCTCACCGAGCACGGCAAGAAACAGTGTCAAGATCTGCGAGATCAGTTTAAACATCACGAAGACATCTTACTCGTGCTTGCATCTCCCTTGCAACGCGCCATTCAAACCGCAGCTCATGCGTTCTCCCCCGTGTTGGAGAAGCGCCAGGTACCATTCGTTTTAGTACCGTTGGCGCAGGAAATTAGTCATCTTACTTGCGATCTCGGGGCTGATCGGGAGAGTCTTGCGAGAGATGCACCCGGGCTGATTGCCCAAGGGGCTCCTGGTTATAATGTCGATGATTTGGATATGTCCTTGGTTGACGAGGATTGGAATTCCAAGGTATGGACCCTTCACTCTACTTTCCTTGTCTGCTGGTAAATTAAACTAAATAATGACGATATGCAGGCAGGAATCTACGCCCCTACCCTGTATGCAGTTCGCAAGCGAGCCGCAGCACAACGAAGCTGGCTCTGGCAACGACCCGAAGAGTGCATCGTTCTGGTCTCACATGGTGCCTTCTTACATTATCTGACTGAAGACTGGACAGGTTATGATAGAGCCCGTGGTAAGATCGCCCACTGTTAAAAACCACCAAGCATTGAATCTTTTCTAATAGTCTGCATAGGTACTGGTTACATGAATTGCGAATACCGACAATATGAATTCAGCAAAGATTCAACAGAAGCAGATGCGCATTTGATTGAGATTGGTGTTTGTCGGGAAAAGGTCAGTCGGCCTGCTGGTCTGGATGCGCATGTTATACATGAGATTGAGGAGGTCGAGAAGGCATCTCACTGAGACTTTTATTGGATTTCTTTGTTATTCAACTTGGGATTTGAAGGAGCGAGTGACTTGATACAAGTTGGATTGGTGCATGCGAAGCTATTGCCAAATGTTTCACAATAACATGATCAATATAAGGGAGAGCAGACATGTGCTGACACAAAAATGTGGTGTATTTTATTGAGGATACATGAGACAAACGCAGAGCACTCAAGCGAAAAGAATAAGATGGCAACGGCCCGAGCAGGTCAAGTTCGTATATTGTAGAACGCTGAACGGATCCAAAGAAGCACCCAAAACCTCTAAACTACTCTAAGCCACCTTCCAGGAACCCACATCGACAATCATCATGGCAGTAAGTATCACCCGAGGGCTACACAAAACCCTCATCAAATTGCCTCTGCACCCTCCCCCAAATCCTTTCCCCAAATTGCCACACCATCCACCAATCCCCCTTCGCATCCTTTCAAATAATATGTGTGATGCTCGCCATTGGCATCTTCATCTTTGGCATCCCCGGGACAACCAACGCCGGCTTCCCAACCGGACTAACCCTCTCCCCCTTACGCTCCACCACAGCGGGCGAGAAATCCACATCAAAGTACCGCGACTGGTGCCAATTGGTGCACACGAAGATAAGCATATTCGGTGATCCTATGATGGCCGGTTGGCCGGATCGTTGGAATGACTGCCGTTCGATGGCGGCGAAGACTTCGACTTGTTCTCTTGTGCGCTGGGTAACGATTGACTGGCATATTTGGCTGGCCGTGGTGCCTAGGGGGGTTGTTGTTGATGGAGGCAAATGGGAGATACGTAAAAGCGAGCATTATCGCGTTACCCATGTATGCTGCGTTTGTTGGGAAAAGGTCTGGGAGGATGGGGCGGATGTTGAGGGTGTTGAGAATGGATATTGATTTTTGGGGGGAGGGGTTTATGGCGCGGTTGATGGTTCTGGCTTTCCAGGCTAGGAGGATGTCGCTTTCGCTGATGAACGGCTTCTCTCCCTTGTCATCGGACTTGGACTCGGTCAATTCGTTCATAGCCGTCTCGCGCAACTTGGACACGAACCAGCCTGGCACGCAGACAAGGCGAATATCCGACGTTGGCATCCTTGGTGGGTAGTGCAGATCTCTCGGGGTGGGATTCAATATCCATCTCGTGCTCGACAACTGTCCACGTGAACCCTGGCGTTTCACATCATACTGTTCCGGGACATGGTATTCCAGTTTCGCATCCTAAACGTGTATTAGAATAAGGTCATAAAAAATCGTGAGAAGAACATGCACTCCTCAACCGCAATCTCGCCCCGGATTTCCTCTACTCGCCGAGTTCCAATAATCGCTCCAATGCGTGACGCAGTCGCTCCGCGTCCAAGACATCCTCGAACTTCAAGATGCAGTCAATGGCTAGAGACCGGTAAATTTGGATGTCATCTCTGAAATGAAGTGGAATAATTGTATCCGTGGGCACTGTCGGTAGTGCTTTTTCATTGGTGAAGAGGCCCATCGCGGTGTGCTCTGTTCTGTCTTGTCCTGGAGACAGTAGAGTGCGCTAGTTAGTTAGCTAACTAGTTAGTTATGTATTGTTGATTATGTCAGGGTACGAGAAGGATTGAACGCGTCATCTTATACTGGAATTGAAGATAGGAGGCGGGGTTAAAAGGACATCACACTGATTGGTACCTTTGTGATTGACTTTTGTTAGTGTTGTCGATAACGGCGTCTCCTATATTAACAATATTGATGGATATGCTTTGAGTGGTTGGATGATGAATCATATCGATACGAGATGCAGTGTATTGGTTCCATTAAAAGCCCTGGAAATAAACAATGAACAATGTAAGAGATCGGAATATGTATATTATAGCCTAAGCTCCGGGTGCGCCTGCGCTATGCTGAAAATAACAAACCCACCCACCAAATACCCACCAAGATGCCAAACGTAAAATATGAAATAATATAAAAGAAATCACTCGTCATCACTCGTATCCTGCCCGTCGAAATCAAGGTCCTCATCCGAGTCACTTCCCCCAAACACATCGTCGTCCACATCACTGTCGGCCCAGAAGTCCTCATCGTCTATTTTGTCCACGGAATTCTTTCGCATAGTCGACTCATGTGTAGGCATAACAAAGCCCTCTGGAATATCCTTCTTTGACTCTTCGACTTGGCGGCGGACAATGGCTTTGTATGTTTCGGGTTCTTTGCGGAGTAGGACGCCAGCATCGACATTGGCAGGGGAGGAGACTTCTGCGTCGTCGAGCAGAGATAGAATGGAGATTAAAACAGATTCGACGCGTTGTGCGGGGGACCATCGTTCAGAAGCGAGTTCACCGGACATTTCGTCTTCGCCGGGCGGGTGGAGGATGGAGATGCAGAGCTTGCCGTCGGAGTAGATATTGGGGTGGCAGAGGGGCCGGAGGAAGCGGAATTCTATCATGCCATCGTTAGTAAAGATATGAGAGAGACAGTTAAAGAACGAGCGTACCAGGCGGGGAATAGGGGTAGTTTCTGGGGAACTTCATAGTAGCCGTGAAGTAACCGCGGTAGTACATGGATTCGGGATTGAGGACGATCAGGCCGATTTTCCAATTGAACATGTCTTCATTTTGAAGCTGACAGGATTAGTATTTGTAGTATAGCAGGGGTACCAGGGTGGTGTATAGAGCGTACATCGATGTTGACCCAGTCTTCCTGCGACAGGGATTTATATTCGTTCATGAGAATGCGCTCCGCCATGATTCCCTGCACTGCTCTGTGTAACAGAGAATCTAGACTGGACTACCCTGGTGGAAAAAGAAGAGAAAGAAGGTGGTGGTGGCAGTAGTGGCAAAGGCAGAGTGGTGGTAATGGTGGTGGCCGATAACGATAACGGAGGGAATCAGTCAGCCTTACCCTTTTGAGTAGGAATGGCCGATAGTGGCGATGGGACAGATTTTTATACGGAGTATAAGCATAGCGCTTAGAATACCATAGGATATCTGCAGTACCTATGCAGTACTCCGTACAGGGATATATGACTCTTAGTATACAAAACCCGATAAGCAGAGTGTATCAGAAGTGTTGTTTGCGACATTCTACTTACTATCTGACTCGTTTAATTAAATAACGGCGAAGATCGGATTTCCAGCTAGTACTCCGGAGTACAGTGTATGGTGTCATAGCTTTTCCGTTAAGCCTCTTCTTTTCCTCTTTTGGTTTTTCCTCAGGCGGTGACTCTCTCTCTCTCTCTCCCCCCTCCTCTCAGCTCTTCACACCTGTTTTCCCTCTTTTCTTCTTCTTTTCTCCTTCAGCTCTCCTCAGTCTTACCTCCTTCATTCCCTAATTACCTCAAAATCCACCAACCGGCGCCCTTCCGGCTTCTTCCAGTCGCGAGGATTGCCATGACCATCTTTCTCCGCCGATAAAAACCGCGACCACTGCTACCACCACACCTCACATCTATTGATTCCTTTCTAACCCGAATGAGAACCATATTTTGTTCCAGTCTGCAATGACCTTACAATGTCATGGCCCGATTTGGGCCATCGATGATGTTTCTCGCTGTTTCCAGCGCAAGTATGTTAGACAACCTCTGGAAGACCTGGGTGTCGCTACTAACACAGCACCAATAGCTATCTCCAATTCATCTTACCATTAACTGCCTGCGGTCTTTCTCTCCTATTGATCCTCCTTCGTATCGCCTACCAACTGGTCGTGTCCCGTCAACGTGCGGCTTACAAGATTTTACCCAACCATGCGGTGGATGACGATACTCCCAATGGCCAGGCTGTACAACCCGTGGAGAATGAGAACCCCGACGAGTCGGATCCCATGCTCTCCAAGGCGACCCAAAGTGAACAGCTGTCGGTGGAAATTGATCGCCCTCGTGGTCAGATCGCGCTGATTGTCTTCGAAATTGTCGCCCTGGTGGCTCAGGTCGTTCTCTTCGTCGTCGTGCTCTCTACCGATGGCTGGGGTCATCATGGTTCGCTTCCTGCGATCGGAAGATTGGTCTCTTGGGGATATATTCTGTTCCTGGTGTTGGTCCGACTGGTCCTGTCGACTCTGGACCTCGACTCGCTGCCTAGAATTTGGAACCATACGGCCGTTCTATATGGCTTACAGTGGATCTTCACCGTCCTCATTTTCCGATCGGCACTCATCCACCCCATGTCGAAACGAGCCATGACGTTCAACGTGGTCGAGTTCGCGTTATCCTCGGTGCTGTTGTCCGTTACACTGCTGTCTCGTCGAGGAAACAAGCCGGTCTGGGTTCCGCGCGAAGATGGTTTGGAGCCCCCGAGACACCCAATGGCAAGCTTGTTTTCATTGGCCACTTTCTCGTGGTTGAGCCCCCTGATCTACAAGGGTTACCGGCAGCCTTTGGAGCTCCATGATATCTGGAACCTGACCACGTCGCAGAAGGCTGCAGCCGTCCTTCAAGATTTCCGTCACAAACAGCCCGAGGGCAAGTTGGTGTGGAGGCTTGGTCGTTATTTTTACGGTACTCTATTGCTACAGGGCGCGTGGACCGTCTTCTCGAATCTCTTCACCTTTTTGCCAACGGTGCTCCTTCGCGTTATCTTGCAGTATGTCGAAGACCCTCGGTCCACCACGCCAAACGCAGCCTGGCTCTTTGCCATCCTGTTGTTCTGCTCGAGCTCCATCCAGGGAATTGCCGATGGACAGTCTCTCTGGATTGGTCGTAAGCTGGGAGTGAAACTGCGTGCGATCATCATTGGTGAAATCTACACCAAAGCGCTGAGGCGCAAAGCGGGCGCGTCCACAGATTCGGCCCCAAAGAAGCCCCAGGAACCAGCCAAGAGCAATAAGAAGAATAGCAAGTTCTTTTCTTTTGGTCGTAAGAAGAAGCAACAGCAGCAGTCTAACGGCACCGCCGACCCCGAAACCGCCTCCGCGAACAAAGACGATGACAAACCAGATCAGGTGGCCAACATTGGAACCATCATTAACCTAATGGCCATCGACTCCTTCAAGGTCAGTGAAGTGGGTGCTTATCTACACTTCCTGTGGGCCAGCGTGCCGGTTCAGGTCATTATTGCCGTCACTCTGCTCTACCAGATCATGGGCTTCAGTTCATTTGCAGGCATTGCGCTCATGGTCCTCATGCTGCCGGTGAACCTGTTGATCGCCAAACAATTTACCAAAGTCCAGAAGCAGATTCTCGCCGGTACGGACGCTCGAATCCACGCGACAAACGAGATTCTTCAGAACATCCGCATTATCAAGTACTTCGCCTGGGAGCAACGATTCCAAGACATCGTGGACGAGAAGCGTCGGGCAGAGCTCAAGGCCCTCCGCTTCCGCTACATCATCTGGTCAACTGCGGCTACTGTCTGGTATGGAACACCAATCCTCATCACGTTCACGTCGTTCCTGCTGTACACGGCTGTAGAGCACAAGCGCTTGACCCCCTCGATTGCGTTCCCGGCTTTGTCGATGTTCTCTCTGCTCCGAGTGCCGCTGGACCAGCTGGCTGATATGGTCGCGCACGTCCAAGAGTCCAAGGTCTCCTTGGATCGTGTGGACGAATACTTGAACGAAGAGGAGACAGAAAAGTTTACTCAGCTCCACGATACCAATGTTACTGGGGAACCACCAAAAATTGCCATGGAGAAGATGACCTGCTCTTGGGCCTCTTCCAATGGACGCACACAGGGTGACGTCGCCAATGACACGGACGCATTCCGCTTGATCAACATGGACATCGATTTTCACGTCGGGAAACTCAATATCATCGCGGGTGCCACTGGTTCCGGTAAGACGTCTTTGCTTATGGCCCTTCTGGGTGAGATGAACCTCGTAGACGGCACCATCTATCTGCCCGGTGGATCGGCCAACCGAACTGAGCTTCCTGTCAACCCTCAAACTGGACTCATCGAGAGTGTGGCTTATTGCGCGCAGGAGGCGTGGCTGGTCAACGATACGGTCAAGGGCAACATCGTCTTTGCTTCGCCATGGGACCAGCGCCGCTACAATGCGGTCATCAAGGCTTGTGCGTTGGAACGCGACCTGGCCATCCTTGACGCGGGTGATCAGACCTTGGTCGGTGAAAAGGGTATCAGTCTTTCGGGGGGGCAGAAACAACGAATTTCTTTGGCGCGTGCCATCTACAGCAAAGCCCGACACCTCTTGCTGGATGACTGTCTCAGTGCTGTCGACTCGCACACAGCCAAGCATATCTTCAGCGAAGCGCTAATGGGTCCGCTGATGATGCAACGGACGTGTATTCTGGTGACGCACAATGTGGCTTTGACCATCCCGCAAGCATCGCATGTTGTTGTCCTCGAGAACGGCAAGATCGCGTCCCAAGGCCACCCGGATAAGGTTGCAGCGTCCGGTGCTCTGGGTGAAGAGATGCTCAAGTCGCGACCGACCTCTCGCTCAGGTTCCCAGCGTATCTCCCGCGTGCCTTCGGACCTGGAACGACACCGCGACGAGGAGCCACCGTCTGCTAATGGTACGGCAAATGGCAATTCTACTGGCCAGGCTGATAAGGGTCAGGGCGAAGATGCCAAGCCCAACCTTGTCGAAAAGAAAGCCGTCGGCAGTGTTAAATCGTCGACCATTGTCATGTACCTTCGCGCGATGGGACCCTGGTACTTCTGGATTGCCGCCTTGCTGGTTTTCTGTCTGGAGCAGTTTGGATCTGTGTCGACTAATCTCTGGATCCGGGAGTGGGCCAACGCTTATCAGAGTGAGGATTCCGCTCCGAACGATGACACTGGTCGTTTGGCGGCCATAACCGACCTTAAGATGCCATCTTTCAATGCTGGGAGTGTTCCTCGCACGACAATCACACGTGTTCCTCATCTTGGCGCGCAGTCTGCCGGCGTCCAAGGTGCGAATGAAGTCAACGTTTCTTACTATCTCGGAATCTATCTTCTGCTCGGTTTTGGCTACCTGGCTATCGCTCTGGTTAGAGAAGCGATCCTTTTCTGGGGTTCCCTGAATGCGTCGTCCAAGATCCACAAACGTCTCCTGAAGACTGTCATGCATGCCAAGTTCCGTTTCTTTGACTCCACGCCCTTGGGTCAGCTCATGAACCGATTCTCCAAGGATGTCGAGGCTGTCGACCAGGAAGTGGCTCCCGTGGCAATCGGTATGGCACACTGTCTTGCGTCTGTGGTGATGATCGTGGTTTTGATTTCCGTGATCACGCCCGGTTTCCTAATTGCCGGTATTTTCGTGACCATGCTTTATGTCGCTCTGGGTGCTGTGTACGTGAACTCGTCTCGTGATCTCAAGCGACTCGAGTCGGTTCAGCGGAGTCCTCTGTACCAGCAGTTTGGCGAAACTTTGAACGGTATCGTTACCATCCGTGCCTATGGCGATGGCCCGCGGTTCATCGTCGACAACCACATCCGCATCAATTCCTACAACCGCCCTCATCTCTACCTCTGGGCTAGTAACAGATGGCTGGCGCTCCGAGTTGACATCGCGGGTGCTTTGGTTTCCTTCTTCTCGGCTGCTTTTGTGCTGATCAACAGCAAAACTATCGACGCCGGTGCGGCTGGTTTGTCGTTGACGTATGCCGTCACCTTTACCGAAAATGTGCTGTGGCTCGTCCGTCTGTACTCTGAGGTGCAGCAGAGCATGAACTCGGTCGAGCGAGTGAAGGAGTACCTCGACGTTGACCAAGAAGCGGATGCAGTCCTTGCTGAGTCGAGACCTCCAGCGAACTGGCCGGACAAGGGTGCTGTGGAATTCTCCGAGTACACCACGCGGTACCGCCCTGATCTCGAACCCGTTTTGCGTGAGGTGTCGTTCTCAGTGCGACCGGGTGAGAAGGTCGGCATTGTGGGTCGCACCGGAGCTGGAAAGAGTTCTCTGGCATTGGCACTCTTCCGCGGTCTCGAGGCAGAGAAAGGACGGATTGCCATTGACGGCGTGGACACTGGCGCCATTGGCTTGCGAGACCTGCGCGAGGCCATTACTATCGTCCCACAAGATCCAACTCTTTTCACTGGAACAATCCGGAGCAACCTCGACCCGTTCGGCTTGTTCACTGACGAGCAAGTCTTTACGGCGCTCCGTCGTGTGCACCTGATTGGCTCCAGCACGTCTGGCTCCGTGACCCCGTTGACCACGCAAACCGCTAGCACCGCTTCATCCACCGTGGCGCCGTCGAACGGTCCACAGGAAACCGGTACTGCCGACAACAAGAACATCTTCTACAACCTGGAGAGTCCAGTGTCAGAGTCCGGTTCCAACCTGTCACAGGGACAGCGCCAGCTCCTCTGCCTGGCTCGTGCACTTCTTAAAAATTCCCGCGTTCTCATGATGGATGAAGCGACGGCGTCCATCGACTACAGCACAGATGCCAAGATCCAGGAGACGCTCCGTGAACTGCGAAACAGCACCATCATCACGATCGCGCACAGACTCCAGACCATCATTGACTACGACAAGGTCCTGGTGCTGGATCACGGAAAGGTGATTGAGTACGACCACCCGTGGGCACTTATCACCAAGGAAGACGGACTCTTCCAGAGTATGTGTCAGAACAGTGGGAATATGGATGGCTTGGTGGAGGGTGCGAAGAGGGCGTGGGAGCACAAGCGGCTGGTTGATGATTCTTGATTGCTTTTGCTAAGGATTTATGTTGACTAGTTGATTCTGGTTTCTTATTCTTAGTAGTAATCTTTTATTTGTGGTTTATGCGAGGTATAAAAAAAAAATAATGTTATGATTCAGATGTTCATGTGTATATTTTTATGGCATGCATTAATGTTAGAATTGTTGTGAATTACTTGGGCTACTAGATTCGAACTTCGGACACGGCCTCTTGTATATCCTTTGGATATTACTTCAAGCAGGATAGCATCTATACCAACATAGAGGATCTAGAACCGCTCAGCATAACTACTTTTCTATGCATACCAATACCACGCAAATATGAGCACCCCAAAAATAATCCGACCACGAATTCGTCTCTGCCAAAAGTCGACTCATCTATTAATGTCAATTATCCATGGGAAAACCCCTCTGATAATTGAGTTAATCCTTGGTCTGTTTCGAATCGACTCGCACCCCAATTCGTTCCCATTCTTAGGTCTCGGTTAGCATACTCCGGGGGGGGGGGGGGTCTCGTTTCAAGTTAAAACCACTAACTGTTCTCAAAAATGAGCCGCCATATATTAATCCTATATTCTTTAATATACTAAATTCTCCACACTCAGATCTCAATCCCGAACGCCTGTTCGCACATTTTCTAGGAGACTATTTTCGGGCCACTCACAGACACCGGCGATCCGTCTCAGCGTGGAACTCGGGGTGCCAAAAATGATGGCATCCGATGTTTACACGAGTTAGTCGTTTCAATTGGTTTATTTTTGGTAATGGTTCCTGAGCTTTGAGCTCGAGAATGGGGTATAAAAGGGTCGATGTTGACCTGCGTTTTTGTCTATCATCCTCATCAACAAGTCACTCGTTCTAAACACATTCGTTCTCTCTACGTCTCTCGTTAAACACTCATTCCTACTAAATACTTAGTATCAATACTCATTCCTCTATCAAGTACGAACCCCCCCCCCCCTTGCTACCATACTAGCAAGTTCGCATACTAACCGCCACCGCTATAGAATGCAGTTCACCGTTCTCTCCACCCTTCTCTTCGCCATCACCGCCATGGCCGCTCCCACCCTGGTTGTCGGTTCTGCCCCCGCCGCTGGTGCCGGCGCGGGTGCCGGCGTTGGCGGTGGTGTCAGCGGCGGTGTTGATCTCGATGCTAGTGTTGGCGGTGGTGTTGGTGGTGGTGCCGGTGCCGGTGTTGGCGTCGGTATCTAAACGCCTTAATACAAACTGCGAAATTCAGGTGAGTAGTTTGCATTATTGGTGATGGTGGGATGGTTGCTGATGATGATGGTAGATGCATGGGTTGGAATCTTTGATTCTTGAATGGAAGGAACACTGCTTGAAAGACTGGCTGGCTGACTAACTGGTGTCAACTTCCCTGGTGTCTCTGTTTAATGTTTTATTTTCTGTGTCTCTGTTTGATCTGACTGGATATATCGATGTTGGAGCTGAGTAATTGAGTCTCGTTTGTATGCATGTCTTGATGTGGGCAAAGAAATAGCCCTACTTCGCTATAAATGTGAGCTATCGAGTTGGATACTTGCATCGGAGTACCCGTAGGGAAAAGCAATAGTAATATGAGTTTAGGTGGTGAGGAAAATCTCTTCCAGGAGTTTCGTTCTTATTCACTCCCGCTTAAGTCTGATGAACATGTTTTCTTTTCTTCCCGCCATTCTTCATACTTCACCCTCTACTTTATACTACCCCATGTCTTTTTCCTTTTCTTAATTTGCTCTCTATATATTATCTCTCGTATATATATTCCCTACCAGCAAGGTTACTATATTGGCCAACAAAAATCCTCAGGAATCTCGTGGCACCCAAAAAATTTCAGCAAAGCTCTTATGTCCAGAACAGACAGACGTCTGCGCTGCGCCTGATGAAGCGAAAGTGAACACAGCTTGCTCTGTTCCTTGTTTTTCGGTAATTCGTTTTGTCCTTGACCACATCGTACCGTTCGCTTATAACTCGATATATCCAAATAAGCGCGTGAGTCTCTTGCTTTGACTGGAACGCAATGTTCGTATAGCGTCAAGCAGCGCGTTGCAGCACTTAAATGTGCTGCAGACTTACAGCCCATGGAATATGGTTGTTGCTGGACTGTTCGCAATGAGTATTGTTGATTTCAATGGAAGAATAGAGACTAATAAGCTGGCATTGGTACTGCATTTAGATACTCCTTGACACAACAGTCCTCATGGTATATAGTATGACCATAACACACTGGCTTGTGTCTTTTTTACGGGTCATACACTGCTGGCCATGATTTTGTTCGGAATTTTTGTTTGTCTCCCATCCCCCATTACTAACCCTGATTGGAAGTGTGAGCTGACTGGTCTAGGATATATGTGTCATCCTTTTCAACGACGACGATCGAAAAAGCAGGATAACGAAAGCCAAATCGCGCGGTATATGAAAGCGACTAACTGGATATAGATATAGGACCCCCGTTTCGTGGACATCACGTATCATATCTCTCGGTCAGATCGCAAGCTACATGAGAGAGAGATTTTCCAACTACACAATATTCTTGCATTGGGATTCTGTAATAACGAATGGCGAATGACGCTTGCAGTAATCGTGTTGGTGTTCAGCATGATTCAGCAGCCTGCGCGAGACCAGGTCGGAAATATTACCACAACGACGAACGATACACCTTACCTATTACACTGAATTCCTCAGGTCTCTGGTGGAAACAACATCCCGCGCATGTCATCTTTATGCGTTTTGCGGCCCTGGTCGCTTTGCTGTCCTTCCGCGTGGCGAAGATGAAGTACGGGGCTTTGATCAAAATGTCGGCCAGACGATGACCACACTGTGCCCTGCCGCTGGTGTGAACATGAGAATTGGGGACCGAGAGTTCTTTGCAAATCGTTCCTTGAATCTGGCTAGATGCCACTGCTTGGACGGATCAAACAACCTATACATGAACCGGCATAACAGAGCCTGTGGGCTTCGGGGCTCGCCATATAATGTCAGTTAGGCTTGTTCTTCTATTTTTCTGCACTGGAATGCGCTGTGGCTAATGATTGGGTATGGTGTTATAGTCTACAGACAATTGATGTGAGCGTAAATTTGAATGTATATTATACTCCAAGGATATATTACGCCCCCACTTTGAAAATTTCCGAAACGAACAGGACCTATGGTGCCCTGTTGGATATCCTTTGGTGAGTTGACATCATTAATGACCTCTCAGGTAAGTTCCTCGAGCTATATAGACTGCTTCAGTACCTTAACAAGATGTATATAGATCGGTTACATTACGAGAGATTGCTCGTGCTTCTGCTTGGACTTCATCGTTAGATTCAGACAGTCTCCAAATGCCTGGTCTCTCTTGCTTCGCCTGATGCATCGGTTGTTTCTGTATTTTGTTATAAGCCAATAATCTGGTGCGCCTGAGAACTCAATAACCACGGCTATTCCGCGCTGATTCTATTGGTTTCAATCCTTTTCAAACGCGGCCTACACCTACCATGACGTCGACCTTTTTGAAAAAAAGGGAGCTAGGTAAGCTCACTTAAGTGGTTATGCTTGGGTGCGTGCTGATCTCTTTTTTATGGCTTTGGTGTCTCCTGCTTCACCCATGACGCCCTTGGTTATAAAATGCTATAGTGGTTTGAGGATATTGCGGAGTTTCATCAGCGTCAAGCAATGGACTAGACTGGAATAATAGTCAATCGCATGTCAGCTATTGTTCATTATCGCATCACTGTGACTGAGGAAAACCAGTGATGCCGTTTGCACAGTCTATGGTAGATTTTGGATGTTATCAAACTACCAGTCCCATGATGATGGAATCCTGGCTACATGCAAAACACAATACTATATCGTATCAATAAGTTGATGTCTTCTACAGGCTCTGAAAAAAAAAAAAAAAAAAAAAAAAAAAAAAAAAAAAAAACGATTCCCTGCCTGCCATGGTTCACCGTGTAGGTGACGAGCTGCAGAAATGACAGAACTCCCGCGATACTCAAAGCGACTCGCCGCGAAGAAAATCATTATCGCCTTCATACGCTTCCAGCAGACTTCCAACTGTATAACGCCATTGCCGTTTCCTAAGTCCTGGTGGATGTGAACGCAATTGGGTTTGGATAAGCAGAAGTCGTTTCCCTGAAGATGGAGAGTATCCTGAGAAGAAGATATATCACCCCCATTCCAAACCTCCGCTACTACCATACTTCCAGGTGGCGCGCCGTCAAAAATCTTGTAATATGAGGAAGTGAGAGAATGGGCATCGACTTGGATCCTGAGAATGGGGACGACTCAGCCCGCCGTCGCCCTTCATGGCTTTAATCATGAGGCGCAAGCATCATCCTGCAGCGCGAGGTGTTCTCGCAGATAAATGTTTCTGGAAGATGCTTGACTATCACTCCATGAAAGTATATCACCCATTCATGCCGTCTGTATTCCCCTGTGGCAGTTTCAAAAGGTTATATCTACCGACTATAACTATAGCCACCACAAGACAAAGTCTGGGGCTCCGCTGTTGTTCTGGAAATGTCGCTTTGAGGGAGGTTTCTAATTCTTAATTGAAGAGCAACCGGATGGATAATCCAGCGTTGTAGCATTCCTCTCCTCGCGACGCCATAATTGATTTGCTCTCATGTCATTTCCGCTCGCCATGGACATTTGTGTACTATTATATCTACGTGATAAGTCGGCTCTCAAATCCCGTACCTGATGACGATCCATATGTGGCAGTGCATCTAGCTGGTACAAAATCACTCGCTTTATTCCAGGGAACTATCAATCAATTGCAAAAATTCCAACCATCTCGGCTACATCTCCCACTTGTCCATTCCATGTAACCATTTGAGTTTTTCGAAGAAAACTCCAAGCACGTAGTGGAAAGCACATCACAGCCACCCAGCCCATAGCCAATAATATCCTTCATAACCAAGTCCTGACACTTTGACAGCCGGAAATAGCTAGATTAAGAGAGGCAATGTGCGGAAGCGGACCGGGCTTGCGTGGCTGCCAGGCCAGGGCAGTCTTGGTACCGACGTTACTGATTCATAACAGCAAGAAGAAAATTATGGCAATCCATAGGTGAAACTGAGTGGTTCCGCGATGGTGGCGTTGACGAGTACAAGTAGTGTCTTTGCCGATGTTCGGAATGTCCGGGTGTATGCCGTGTGTAGTACCCGGCGATCTCTGGCTGGTATTCTTAGCTGAGGCCATGAGTCAAATGACTTATATATACTAGTCACAGATTTTGTCGTGGCTTTTATTTCCCTTGTGGCTGGATATGTCCTGAATAAGTTGTCAATGACACCCTCCAATAAGGTAAATTGATACGATTTCCATGCGGCAAAATAAGGTTATTTTAGCGGCTTGGCATAAATATCCCAGCCAATCAATCCCGGTGTATGACATCTTACATTTGCCGATCGCTGGCACATCAAGATCCGCCCAAATCGTCGGGAATTGAATCAGATAGAAAAAGTCAGTGAGTCTACCGCACAACGATTAGAGAAGCAGTTTCAGGAGGGTGTTCAAGTAGGGAATTCTGTAGTCATTCATTACGTGTCTGGTGTACACGTACGCGGTTCACTATTCTCACTTGTTCGTCTAAGCGATTCGGAAATGAGATCATACACCCGATAACCTGTCATAAATTAGCCAATGACCTCATACGGATCCCGTGGAACTGTCAAAATGTAAAACTTGAAGGAGAAAAATCTCTACCTGTTGACCGGTACAGAGGATACGGTGTGCATCGAGCATGAAGTGTTCATAAATAGAATGCATGACGGGATCACGGTCATAATAAACTTCCTACCAAAATAGTCATTGCAGGTGATGATGCAAGATTCCCGGGAACAAGGTTCTGGCATTATAGCAAATTTCACACGGCATATGGTTGCATTCGAGCTCGGACATTGCCGCGATGGCTGGCATGGCTGCATATAAATGGGCTCCAATTTCAGGTTTTCTGGCTCTGTTCTCTTCTATCTCACTAGACAGAAATCAATCGCTTCAAACTGTCCATTCGTTGAACGAAAAAAGAAAAAATTACGAGCAAAATGCACTTCCTTTCTACCCTTGCCAGCCTGCTCCTCATCGGGGTCACCACCACGGCGGCCCAAGACCAATGCTCGACCTCCGTTGGCTCCAGCGATAACACCATCGTGCAGTTCGCCTGGTACCTCCAGGTCTTCATCGAGCGCTTCTACTCCTCGGTCCAAATCGACCAGAGCTTCATCTCCAGCCTCCCCGGCGGCTCCCCCTCCAGCTACTCCAACCTCCAAGGCCTGCAGCAGCAGAACCGCCTGGGCCTTTCCGCCGTCCAACAGGTCGGCTCCAAAGTCCCCGGCTTCGAGACCCCAGGCTGTGAATTCACTTTCCCCCGCGTCTCCAGTGGCATTTCGTACATCCAGAACGCCGCGAAGCTCGAAGCCGATGTCGCGGGTGCCTTAATCGGCCTGACGGCCTACACCCAGAAGCCCGAGCTGGCCTTCCTCTTCTCCCGTCTCGGGAGTGAGCACAGCGCCCACGCTGCGTGGCTGGGCGGCTACACTGGCTCCAACTCCACCGTCTTCCCGGGCAACAGCACCTCCCTGGTCCCCGCGTACACCCCCGACCACGTCCTCAAGTCCGGTAACCGCCCCGGGCAGCTGGGCCAGTACATCCACGCATGTGCGAGCGCTCCTTCTGGTCCCGGTGGTCAGGCAGTCGTTATCGGTAACTTGGGCGCGACGCTAGTTGCGCCGTCTGCTAGTAGCTCTCTCGTTGCTGCTACTTCGAGCGCGAAGCCCAGCGGTCCTTTCGCTAGCGGTGTCTTCAGTGGCTCGCTTGCCACGCCTGCTTCTAGTACTTCTGTTCCTGGCTTCACCTCTTCCAGCGGTGCTGCTGCTTTGTCTAGCGGTGGTGGTGTCGGTGGTGCCGGTGGTTCGTCGAGCACCCCGGCTTCTAGCTCTGCTAGCCCTTCGAGCTCCTAAGCGTACTCTATGGATCATGGCAAGCCTACGCGCTGTTGTCAAGCATCCAGTTTGCAGCGCATGCTCACATTGAAAACTCTGTTTCTCGATGGACATGGATCTGAATGAGGACATGTATACTTGATGATAATATGTAATTTGCTACTATCCATTAATAATACTAGTTTAATGAATGGTTTTTATTGTGTTCTTGATTGTAAATTGTGGTGGTAGCTATAAGCTTAACGTTCAATTTGATTCAATGACTTTTTTTTTTTAAAAGAGACTAGCCATCAAGTTAGTCCATCACCATCACTTCTCTTTGAGTAACATCATCAGTATTCAGAATTTCTCAATCGTTTATTCTATTCTCTATATTTCAGAATATCGACACCGGTAACTAATCTATTTACTGGAGGTAGTTAGTGGTCCAAGAGACTATGCTTTCGCTTTCTTAGTCCGAGATAGCGACCACTACCCGTGGCATTCCCCGATTAAGCAGCATATAGTAAGACCCACGCCTAAGAACGTTATCCATTTAGTCAGGAAGCAGCTGTGTATCGTCCCCTGCCTTCTCAACTCTGCCCCGAGCGGTTGGTAGGATAAGACCAACGTATGTGGCGCATCTCTAGTTTTGAAAAACCTATTTTGGGAAACTGACTCGCAAATCAAGGGCAATAAGCCCCATGCGAGACCTGCGCCGACAGTGCAGTAGAGAAAATTTGTTCAACAATAGTTCAATCGAGTACAAGCACGAACTCAACCCGGAAGCATAGCCAAATACTGTTTCAAGCTTTCCCCGAGAAGATTGATAAACCGCCACTGCGTATTCTTCCGGAACAGACGAGACCAGACCCTGATGACCGCTAAGCCAAGGGTCGCGGGTTCCAGATTCGGGAGGATATCATCGTCTTCCGTATCCATTGAATCGTATGCTTCTTGTACGATGCAGCGGGTCCAGTGGAGGATACGGCTTTCGTTCTCTGTACAGGATTAACGTTAGTAGAGTCATAGATGTGAGGGTGGATGAATCATACCACTCAGGTTGTGTCCATTTCCCGGCTCTGCTAAAGAAAGTAGCCATTTACTCAATAAAATCGCGCATTCAAAACCGGCGATCGAGTGTCGGACACTCCAGAAGAAAGCCTGGCTACGGGCGACATGGTCTATACCAAGCCGCACGGGTATGCTCAATGCGTGAGCTGAGTAGATAAGTGCGGGTGTTAGACGGTAGTTTCGTCCGGGGCGTGGAGATCTGTGTAATGTCGCAGCGATTAGATACGGGTCTCTTGTTTCTAATTGTCGGTATGGGCCTAGGTTAAGAGAAAGTCGGACGTAGGCCATGCCCAGTAGTGCACTCGATGTGAATGGAATGGGGCCGTTTTCGTTGTGAGGGTCAAGGCTTGACTCTGGGGCTTGCTGCCATGCTGATGTCCATGCACGAAGCGCTCTCCTAATAGGTCTTAGCATCTACCAATTGAGTAAATAGGGAAAACTTACTCGAGTCTATTCAATTCCTCCGTTGGCAGTGATGAGGCATGATCCCCTGTCGGGAGAGAAAGCTCGCTGACAAGGTGGATTCTTTGAAGAAGACCATGGAGAAGAATATAATTACCCAACGGCGTAGGAATCGGATCAGGGACAATGGTTGTTCGTGATGGCTGTAGAAGAATAGCGAGCGCTTCCTGAAAAAACAGTGGCGGAGGACTAGGTTCTCTCTGAGTATCCTCCCATTCGCTGGCAGTGGTTGCCTTCCACTCTTTAGTAGCACACGGCAGGCGTAGGTGAATCTCACTACTCCGGAGCGTTGGATAGACGTTGTATGCTATGCTGTGTATATGAACGAAGCAGAAGGATATGATTCTCGTCCGTCGGATGGATTCTTCTTCCGCCCACTCGTGCCATTGCAGAGGGGTGTGCCTTGGGGCAACAGTCACATTTTCTGCTAATCCAAAGTCGCGAAGGCTTCGTACGAGCATACTTTGTAGGCTAAAAGCTTCCTGTATAAGCTCCTGCTTTGGCTCCCATGAGGCATACGCCATGAGAGCAAGCAATGTTCGGATGCTTTCGATCTGCCTCCACGCACTGGCTCCTGCTGCGGCCTCTGGTGGTAGGATGCCTTCGGTACTGTGAAATGAGTGCGAAATCGGAACCTGTACAGTGATATTGCTATATCCTGTGAGAGGGATGTGTGGCTCTCGGGCCATTCTCTCGAGCAAGACGGTGCGTCCAGTGTAGAAAAGCCTTTCAGCATTGTGGTGTTCCTGTCGATACTGAGCTCCAACAGTACATATCCCCAAGATCAACTCAGGAGCATGGTCATTGATCCGCAGTGTCGGGGCATGCATGAACGGAAGATGTGAGTGAAATCCTTGGAAAAAGGATGCCAGGTATCTCGATAATGTATGCCTGGACGGTAGGACGAAATCCGGAATGACATTACGGAACTCTTCCAATGAATATGCGAACCGTTGTCTTTGCTCTTCGGTTATTTTCAATGGCGAAGGATTTCTGGATTCTTGAGGAGGTTCTACAAAACCATTAGATGCCGCATATCCTCTACCGGAAAGTGTCCAACGTACCATAATCGGAGACTGACCCCAAGCTCTGATCTCCCGGGGGCACTGATGGCAACCAGGACCTAAACGGAGAATCACCGCGCGACCTATCCGATACTTTACGAGAAGAACTTGGCTGCTCACGAATGGCGGTATCATTGGGAACAGCACCATGGATCGGCGGGGTTATGTCCGTCGTCGTCGGAAGCCACTCTACCGGCAACCCAATCGAGTCCAAGAAGTGTGTAAACTCCTGAAAATGATTAAGCTCCTCAGGGAAATACGGCATTGGCTGCGCAGGCGGTGGAGGACCCAGATAGCCACCGGGAAGAAGCAACTGCGCGGCTTCTAGAATCTCCGCGTCATGCGTGACCACGGGATGTGCACCCAACGCTGCATGACTAGTATCCGGGTTCATCATTTGCTGACTCTGCGGTATGTACGTCCCATGCTGCGGTGGTCCCGGCCATTGTGCGACAGCCGGGGATGTGACAGGAATCGGCACGTTCGCTCTGGGCGCTGGCTGTGGTGGTGCGTCATACGGGGGTCGTTGTTGGATGACGGGGTTCTCTTCGTGATCTGGCTGCGAATTGGGTGAGATAAGACCGCCTGTATTCGGAGGATTGTTCTCCTCATGCGTGATGCGGGTATGTCGCTTCAACAAGTCCCGCCGCGTGAATGCAGCACCGCAGAAACAAGTAAACGGCTTTTCCTTGGTATCTAACTGCCAATCAGCCAAGAATCCACAAGCAACAGACAAGAACTAAAGACATACGAGTGCGAACGTGACGCTCCAGATGCTCCGTCCTCCGAAAGGAGCGACCACAGTGCACGCAGACACGGGGTTTTGCTCCGACGCTGGAGCGACGAGCCCCGCGGGGACTATGGGACGACTGCGGCAGCATCAAGGCATTGGAGAGCGCCAATATAAGTGTATATCACCAGAGAAATTGCTTTTTCCCCCACTCTTTGGAGATGGCCGTTGAACAGGTGAAAAGATGTGGGAGAAAGTGGAAGCACTCCAACCGGTCGGGGCCGAAGACGGAATAGTGTCATTTATTAGGGGCTGGTCACTCGCCCCACTGTCTCCAACAACGGACTGATGATGTTATCGACCGAGATAACTAGTTATACTAATTGTTCGAGAATCCGTCAGAGTTCTCTTGATTTCTGGTTAGGTTGCGGATCGGAAATACGACATTACGAACATGTCACAGAAGTCGTTGTTTCCTGGTGTTGCTATTGTGACGGGGGCTGGAGGAACAGGTCAGTACTCTAATATATAGTACAAAGAGCTGCGCTGAATGAAGGTGACCAGGAATCGGTGCAGCCACGGTAAAAGCATTCGCTGCTGCCGGGTGCAAGCGGATTGCTATCACTGATCTCAATGAAGTCTCATTAGAACAGACTCGGGACGCAATTGTCTCCGTCTATCCCGAAACCCAGCTACTGATAAGGCCCGGGAATATCGCGGACGAAGCCTTTGTCGAGTCTTATATGCAAGAAGTCATAGATACATTCAAACGCATCGATTATGCCGTCAACTGCGCCGGAGTCCTAGGAGGAGGCCAACGCTCCACAGAAACAACCTCCGAAACCTTCGACCGTATCAACAGCGTCAACTACAAAGGCTGCTGGCTCTGCTCTCGAGCAGAACTAAAACACATGCTTAAGCAAGATCCATTACCCAGCCACGATCCAGATCGTGAACCTCAACGTGGATCTATTGTCAATGTCGCAAGTCAGCTCGGAATAGTCGGGCGTCCGGAGGCTCGTAAGTCATCATTCGCCCCCTCAATATATCTTACTGCATCCGGATCTCTAAACTCTGTTTACTTCCCCTCAGCTGCGTACTGTGGTTCCAAGGCTGCCGTGATTGGAATGACCCGCTCAGATGCGATCGATTATTCCAAGGACGGAATAAGAGTAAACTGTGTCTGTCCGGGTCTTGTTGAAACGCCCATGACCGTACAGTCTGAGGAGTCGCGTGAGAGATTCAGACCGGCTGTGGAAATCGCTCCGATGAAGAGGATGGGGAAGCCGGCTGAGATTGCTGATTCTATTCTGTTCCTATGTTCTACGCAGGCTTCATTCGTTCAAGGACATGCTCTTGTTGTGGATGGAGGATATGTCATTAATTAGTTTTCCTTCGATAGAGTACATCTCTAGGTCTAGTACCATATTTATGCATTTTATCTCGAAATTCCATTTCTTATCAGTCCTGGTCGTTAGACGCCATCTCTTTCCAATTGAAATGAGTCTCCCACGCATGCCCGGCCCTCAGAACCTTCGATTCTTGCCACAACCCTCCAACAATTTCCATTCCCACGGGTAAGCGTACCTTTCCATCTTCCTTAGCCGGAGCAAATCCCACCGGGATAGACATCGCAGGGTGACCCGTAAGATTGAAGACGGCCGTGTTAATCGTAAGCCCCATACTGGGCTTAATCGACTCCATAGGAAGACCACGCGTACCATGCTTTGGCGCAACAATAGGCGTAGTAGGCATGACCACGACATCATATTTCTCAAAGGTCTCTTCGTACATGTCACGAAGTTTCCGGCCAATGTTGTTTGCCTTCGCATAAAGTTCCGGGAATCGAGACATGAGATAAAGACCGTTGATCATCACGTTCTGGGTCGTGGGAAACGCTCGCTGGAAACTTTCTTTGGTCCAGGGAAGTCTTTCGCGTTCCAGTTCTGTCAGACCAAGGCCTCTTCTTCCATGCGCTTGTCCGAGAAGGTTCATTGAACCTGAGACTCTGGACTGGATGGTCCAGACGGCGGGTCCGTTCAAGTGATCGGGGAGTGAAATCTCTTCGACAGTCGCTCCTAGCTCTTCGAATTTGCGTGCGGCACTCATCACTGTCGATCTGACTGCAGGGTCCACGATACTGTGCCCGAATCCCTCCGTCAAAATCCCGACTTTGAATTCCTCAAGTTTTGTGGGTGCTGCTTGAAGAGTGGCAGCATAGGTAGTTGAACCGCGCTTTGGGCTCCCCAACGATCTATCATCCATGCCATCATAGCCGCTAATCGCATCTAGGCAGTGTCCAATATCCAGCACTGTTCTTGCAAGCGGCCCTGCGTGGTCGTCCATGGCATCACCACTCGCGATTCCGCTATACGGGACTAAGCCAAATGTAGGTTTGAGTCCGACGCCTAGTATAGCATTAGCAATCTCGTAACTAACCCTTGATAACAGGGCAAATACATCCACTTAGCGATGAAGGCACTCTGATACTCCCCGCCTGGTCACCGCCGATAGTGATATCCACTAACCCAGCGGCAACCAGAGCCGCACCGCCAGATGTACTCCCACCAGCAGAATACCCAGCAGCATACGGATTATCCACAATTCCCTGGACACTCGTAAACGACGACGTGGAATGGCACAAGTTCTCGCACGCTGTGGTCCCCACAATATCAGCACCCGCATCGAGCACCCGCGTCACAACAGTCGCGTCTGTGTTCGGCGTCCAGGACGAAATCACATCGCTTCCCTGAAATTGAGGCACTCCAGCAACTGCAATCACATCTTTCAGGCTGACAGTTTTACCCGCCAGAGGTGCTCCGTCCGGATTTCCCTTGATAAGGAACTTATGCACCCAGGCATTTCCTAGCACCTGCTCTTCTTCCGACGGACGTCGCACATTCTGGCGTGGATACCTATCAAAGTCTGGTTTTGGCTGGTAATCTGGCATATCCGCGACTGTCTCTGCGCAGTCGTGCACTGCTCCCAGGAGCATGTGAAAGTCATCTTCCTCGCTGGGGTCAATTGAGACGCCCACTTTCTCCAGAAGATCATGCGCATCAGTTTTTTTCACCGGATTATCCCTGAATCGACATTTTTGTTAATTGCAAATTCAATTGTATATTCTTATCTGTGGCCACTCACGGTGATATGGAGGTGAACAAGACCGACATGGCGGCCCGTTTTGAAGATGTTGAACTGAGCCGGCAATTCAACTTTTATCATTTTCCCATATTCCCAAGATACCAAGAGACCATTTTATACAATTCCCAATCCCATTTCTTTTATATAAAAGAAACCTGACAGCGGAAACATCCGGTTCTCCATCGGGCTCTGCTCGGCCGTACTCCAATTTCCAAGATTATCTCTTGGGGTAAGGAGGACTCCATCGGTGCCAATAATGGGGTTATTGTTATTCCTTTCCAAATCGGTTAGTTTGTCATATTTCTGATATCGGGGATAGAATAAGATGGCCAGTGATGTTATTGTAGATAAGAGCTCATGATAGCCGAATCCGTAGATGAGGGGTTGTCGCGCGGATTCCCCCACCTTCGACACTGACTTAAAGTCAATTGATAACCTTCTTCTTTCAATTCCTCAAGATACACAGACTCTTTTACCCAAATCACAGCTCACACAACATCACAATGGGAAAGAAGCGCGTTCTTGTCACATACGGCGTTGACGTTGATGCCGTTGCGGGATGGCTGGGCTCGTACGGTGGTGAAGACTCGACCAGTGATATCAGTCGCGGTATGCTACACTCAATCTCCTTTCTTCCTCTTCAATCGACAGGGAATCTAACGAATATCCACAAACAGGCGTCTGGGCAGCCACCGTGGGAACCCAGCGAGTACTCAAGTTCTTCGACAAGTACGACATCAAAGCGACCTGGTTCATCCCAGGACACTCGCTGGAGTCGTTTCCCAAGGAAATGGCCGCCGTTCGCGACGCAGGACACGAGATCGGACTTCATGGATACTCTCACGAAAACCCCAAGGACATGACAATCGAGCAGCAACGGGACGTCCTTGATAAGACATACAAGATGTTGACTGAGTTTGCGGGCAAGCCGCCTCGAGGAAGCGTTGCGCCATGGTAGCCCTTATCCACCCTTTCAGAGACCCTACGAAAATGTTTTGCTGATATAGGTGCAGGTGGGAAACAAGCAAAGAAGGCGCCCAACTCCTCCTCGACTACGGCATCGAATACGACCACAGCATGTCCCACGAAGACTGCCAGCCCTATTACCTGCGCACCGGCGACACCTGGACCAAAATCGACTACACCAAAAAGGCACACGAGTGGATGAAACCCATGGTCAACGGCGAAGAAACAGGTCTCGTGGAGATCCCGGCGAACTGGTACATTGATGATCTACCGCCGATGATGTTCATCAAGGGCTCGCCGAATAGTCATGGGTTTATGAATGCGAGGGATATTGAAGATATCTGGAGGGATCATTTTGATTATTTCTATCGGGAGTATGATGAGTTTATTTTCCCGATTACGATTCATCCGGATGTTAGTGGGAGGCCGCATGTGGTTTTGATGCATGAGAGGTATGTTCCTTCGAGCATATTGCCATTGACCTTGAGCTGACGTGCGTGGCTAGACTCATTGAGCACTTCAAGAAGCACGATGGCGTAGAGTTCGTCACTATGGAGCAGCTGTCGGATGATTTCAAGAAACGAGTTGCTCCCGCCGCGGGAGCGGTTCTGCCAGCGAAACCAGGCGCAATTCTGGAAAAGAGCTAGTTAGCTTGATCTATCATATAGTATTGGGCTGTCCCTATCATGATTGAATGTTTTATCATATTTTCTGGTAATTTTCGGCTCAACTGCTCGGCATAGTTGTACATACCCCAACGAGCATTACTCCAACTGCTCCGATTCTCGACTCCAACGGGTTACCCCGCGTCGTAGCGATTTGTGGAGGTACCCCGATTGCTGCTCGATTCATGCCGATGAAACCGGTGGGACGAATATGAATCTATCAAGTCTCAAAGCGCTTTACTCTGGAGTACTAGTACATAGCAGGAGAGTGCTATCACATTGAGGTATGAATCCAAGCTTATGATTTGCGCTGCATCCACTGCGGAAACTAGCTGTATTAGGCTAGATAAGGGATCTCTACCTGTACAGTATGCACATAATTGATACAATAGCGACATAAAGATTCAAAAGGCCGATTGACAAGGAACGAGGGCGTCTATGACTACAGAAAAAGCATCACCGCTTTCGGATATCGGATCTACCTTTCCCGGACCAGACTGACGGAATCAAGCCCTCCCGGCCGGTAACTCGAAATCCGATGATGTACTCGTATATATATATCTGGTAGCATAGTAAAGCTCTTTCCTGGTCAAATATTATGCATCATGGTCACACTTCCACAAGTCCATTTGTCCAACGACATCATCGCCGCATCTCTATTCAATTTGGTTGCTGTCTTTGTCGGCGCAACTAGCGGCATTGGTGAAGCTGCCCTGAAGGAATTCGTCAGAAAATCAAAGAACTCAAAATGTTATCTTGTTGGAAGATCAGAGCAAGCTGCAACTCGCATCATTAAAGAGTGTAAATCATTCAACCCAGATACTTGTGTCATTTTCATTCAAGAAGATGTCAGTCTGGTTAGCGGGGCTGACAGGTTATGTGAAAAAATCAAGAGCTTGGAAGATACCATCAACATCCTCTTCTTATCAGCCGGGGCTGCTATATTTGACCGTAGCAGTATGTTTGCTATCAGTCATTCTTTATTTGACTGACCTTCGGCTGATTTGTGTCAAACTTCTAGAAACACCCGAAGGTCTACACGCCCTCACGGCACTAGCCTTCTATACACGCCTGCGCATTACCCAACTCCTCCTCCCCCTTCTCAAACGCTCTACAAGTCTCTCTCGGGTGATAAACATCGCCGGCGGAACCAAAGAAGGCACTCTCTACCCCTCCGACATGCAAGCCCTGACTACCCCTCTGTATGCAATCCGCGGCCATCTAACCACTCTGATCACTCTCGGCCATGAAGCGCTTGCCGCCAGAGCTCCAGGTGTGAGTTTCTTACAAGTCTTCCCTGGTGCAGTACAGACGGCTCTTTTTGACCGCATGCCAGCTCCTGTGGGGCTGGTGATGCGGTGCTTTATTGCATTGGCTGGGAGATGGGTTCTGGTACCAGTTCAGGAGAGTGGGGAGAGGAATGTTTTTCTCGCGACGAGTGCCGCGTTTCCTGGCCGAGATGATGGGGGTGAGAGGTATGGGATTGGGTTGGTGGAGGGTTTGATTGTTGCTAAGGGTGTCGATGGGAAACCTGGGAGCGGTGTATATTCGCTCGATTATGATGGGGCAGAGGCTGGACAGGGTGTTATAGATTTGCTGGAAGGGTATCGGAAAGAAGGGATGGTTGAGAGGGTGTGGGAGCATGCACAGGCTGAGTTTGAGAGGATAACAGAGGAAGATAGCCATAGAAGATAGTACTGCTGCGCAGGGGAAAAAAGCGAAAACAGCAAGGCACTTTGTCCGATTCCTATAGGTTCTCAAAACGCTAGTACCAGGTCCCGCAACGCTTCTTCTAAAATCCATGGTGGTTGGTAACTATACAATAATATTCGTTATTCCTATGGCAATAAAATACCTAAATCTATGGTCGACAGTCTGAGAACAATCAAATGCAACACAAGTGGATAAGGATAAAGGATTTGGCATCAGCCTATAACTCAGACCAATCCCGTTACAATGTTTCGTGCACGATTTTAGTCCAAAAGACTCCATTGCGGCGTTGAGCTAGATCCTCGCATCTCGTGCTCACCAACCCCATTTTCGCGAGGCTTAACATTCTCTTTGTTGTCAGGCTTCAAGTAATTCACGATTTCAGGCATGTCCTCTCCAAGCAAGTCTCCAATAGCGACTTTGTGGGCCTTCTGCTTCTTGCTCCGTTGCTTTGTAGATGCGTTCGCAAGAATCGTATCATGTTCCTGGGCTCCACCATTGGCGTAGGCGTGGTATTCGCTGACCAGTCTCCGACGCATAAGCTCCTTCTCCGATATTTTTGGTTTGACAACTGGTAAAAGAGCTGGCTGAGGAGTAGGCTCAGGAGCAGGCTCAGAAATCAAGTTTCCTTCCATTATCGCGGCGGCGGCGATTTCAGCGGCCAGTCTGCATGAGCAAACGCAAATGTGACTGTTCGAGCAAGCCTTATCGCAGGTGTGTCCACAGCACATCTTCTTGTCACAAATCTGGTTGCAAAGGACTTCTTTGTGGGGGAAACTAATGGCGTACAGGTATTAGCATGTGGGAAATCGCTGTGTCAAGATGTCTCACCTGTGGCATTTTAGGGTACACTTGTGTCCGCAAGGCAGGGTTCCGTTACAGCTCCAATCGCAGCCACCGTTTATCTTTTCCCAGTCAGAAGGCTCTGTCGTCGGTTAGCAAGCTCCCCAAAGAATCACAATATAGGAATAGCCGCACCTGATATGAGCGTCTTCCTGCCGTGAGCCGAGCATTTCAAGGGCAAGACGGATCCGACACCACGAGATTCACCTTCACCCTCGCCCATAATGGAAATCACCCGAAACCAGAGATAGTTCGCAGATCCAAGCGCATGCGCATTTCCAAAGATGTAGAATCCTTGTTTCGCGCGCGAAAGTGCCACACAGACTCTGTTCTCCGTCGCAAGAAAACCAATTTTCTTTCCACCACTTCTCACAAGAGACAAAATCACAACATTATTTTCCTCACCTTGGTACGAGTCAACCGTGGCAACCTTTATGTAGCGTCCCTGAAGATCACGATGACCTCTCAACAGTTTTAGCAGTCTCTTCCTCTGGCCGTTGTAGAACGTCAGCACCGTGATATCATTGGGCGAGACACCATTGAGTACGAGGTGGACGAAGAAGCCTGCCACCATCTGCGCCTCCATATCGTTGAACTTCGACGACAAACTATCGCTGTTCTCCGGCCAGCTATGACTGAAAAAGAACGACCTGCGATTCACCATGCCAGGGACCTCGGGTCGTTCCTCCACTGATGGGTGGTCCTGCAACTCGCCGTAGATAGGTCCCAGCAAGCGACGTATCTCTGGCGCCATTCGTCTCTGTCGTCTGAGAGTCACGTATTTTATTTCATTTCGAATAAGTCGCTCAAACATCGACACATCAAGATAGAAAGGCTCTCCCCCAAGATCTTGAACAGAGCAATGGCCCCTCAACTGCTTATGGTCGCCGACAAGGATAAGCTGTTGAAGGGAGTTGAAGCAAGAAACAGAAATTGGCGCTTCGATAGCTTCAGCGGCTTCTTCTATCAACACAGTTCTGGGGTTCAAGCTCGACAAGAGCGCTCGGTACTTGCTCAAACCGGTCGCTGTCATCCCAATAACCTTGGCGTTTCGAAGAATCGTATGGTCTCTTTCCCACTTTCCAATCTGCAAATCTTCACAATTGGCGTTGTACAGTGCTAGTAGGGTGCGAAACTTGGACAAGATCTTTTCTTTGGTAAGTTTTCGGAGGACGTTGTAAACAGCACCTCGTGCTTTAGGCGGGATCTTCCACATATCAAAGCATTTGAGATAGTCTAGGGCCGCTGCTTCAGAGATGGAGCCGACGTCACGTCCACGGAACTCATCGCGAATGGTTGTGTACTGGCCTCTGAGACCACCATAGCAATCTTCCTCAAGCCCCTGCTCTGCCTCCAATTCTTTCAGTTGCTCGTACTCGAGATCCACTTCGTCCTCAGAAAATCCAAATCTTTCTTTCGTATACTTGACCTGGAATTTCTTTCCTTCATCTCCAATCCAAGCAACCATCGGGTCGACATCTTCGTCCTCTGTTCCAGGACGAATCCACCCACTGGCACCTTGCTCAAGTGATTCGTATTGTTCCTGGGTCAAAGTCTCATACTTTAGGAAAAGAGACGATGGTAATGGTGAAGAGCCATCCTCCTGAATAAAAGGTTGCAAGATATCGGAGATGGTCGCGATGAAATTCTGGGACCTTTTCCTAGCCGATCCAAAAACGCTTCCCTGGATGGTAGCAGCGGGTTCCCTTTGTCTGACAACAAAAAGAGTTCGCTTTTTGATTTCGAGATCACTGCTTCTCGCTCCCAAACGGATGTAGTTCGTCTCGAAACTTGAAATGTGGGTCAGAAGCTGGTCCAACGCATGATTTGTCTGGGCTGCAATAAATATAGGCGGATCCCCTTCCTTCATGTTCGACAACAAAATCCTCAGGGCAACTACCGAGACGAATGTTTTTCCAGTTCCCGGGGGGCCTTGGATTATCGACAGCTTCTTCGTGAGGATTTGTTCAAGGGCTGCCCACTGTGCTGCGTCTAGATCACCGGTTGGGGACTTGGGCCAGGCATCGAGGACGTTCACTTTGCCCTCTTCCTCGGATCTGGTGAGACCTGAATGTATGTCAAGAATGGGGCGGTCTTTGATGTACTCCGGAGGCTCGATGTTTGGTTCCAAGGAACATATATGCTCCGCTAGAGGGAAACTAATTGACGTTAAAGATATACTGGAAAACGTTGACGTGGGAGCACTAACCTTTCCTTGCGCATCTTCTGAAGAGCCATCATAGTATGCCTCAGCGATTCATAGTAGCCGGTTTTTGCCTCCACCATAATCCACTCCTGATGAGGGTCGAAGTCGGCTTGTTCAGGTCGGGCAAAGAAAATATCGATCTCGGGTGGCTGTTGCTTGACTCCCTCTACAGGCCTGGCAGCCACGACACCAACAACACATTCACTTCGAAAGCAGTCATTGGCTGGAGAAAGTGCAATGGTGGTTCCGGAGATCAGGCGCTTTGAGTATTCCCAGACGATATTCTTGCCGGCGCGATGAGTCGAGAATCGAACGCGGAAAGCCAGGCCTCTCTGCGAAAAAGTAACCCCAATGATATAAACCTATAGTTGTATTTCAGTTAGATGTGAGCTGGTATGCTGGTCAGGAATTACTAACCTTCTCGTAGATAGACACCGCCGGGGAATCCTTCATTTGAGGATCATCTCTCACGTAAGCCACGGCATCTCTCAGGGGAGCAACAGCATCCTCTCGTAAAAGTTCGTAATGGGCTCTAAGATAAGAGTCCTTGGATGACCACGGACCACTGATGCGATTTGGCATGAGCTCGACGCAATCCTCGTCATCCTCTAGCAAGTCAGTTCCCAGGATCTCGTCCGACGATGGAAGCTCTGGCTTCATGGTCCATGCTTCGCCCTCAGTAGCATCATCCTCTCTAGCCTGAATGCAGTAGTTCTTTATGTCCGGGTTGACCTGAACAGTATTTCCCATGTGAAGGTTCATCAACCGCACCTGAACCTCTGGGATAAACGACGAGGACGACTGCTCAACCTCTTCTGACGGCCCCATCTTTCAATTGATAAAAGTGAGTAGGAGAGTCAGACAGAAATGAGGGTTAGTAGTTGGAGAGTCTTGGGATGGCAATGGAGAGGATGAAGAGAGAGAGAGAGAGAGAGAGAGAGGGAAGTTGGGGGAAAGTTGGAGATGGGGGCTGTCAGGACTGTCGTCATTCAATTGGAATGGGGTAGTTCTTAAGCAAGAGACTCAAAAGTTATCACTGGTACTTCTATTCATTGTCCTCAATTAAAGCAAACAAGACGCAAATAATTCGTCCAATTCACTGATTGCGGATATCTTTGCTTGTTCTTTGTTTGCTTGTAGCGTTGATTATACATCCAAGGCATGGTTGGTAGCAATGTACTCTGTACAGGTATCAGCTATGGAGAGCATACAAAGCATTCTTTCTGGTACGACTCGCGGTTATTTATGTCTGAAAATAATCCTAGTAACCTAGTAACGGTACATAGTGCTATGTACAAGTGCCCGACTATGAACATGGATTTGATATTCACGCAGTCAGCTGTGACTCGCGAGCAACTGAATAGACGCACATAGCCAGCCCAAATATCAAGTTAATAGTCTCAAATCCAAGGACAAAGAAATCCATTGACCATTTCTACAAGGCGAAAAGAAACAATCTTCCCTTTCTGGTAATGTCAATCACGCTAACCCAATACAGGATTCTATTGCCTCAGGCACAATGTGGGAAACGTCCGGGGAAATCCATCGCGAGCTTCATTACTCGACCCTGCGCGCCGGAGCTCAACTCAGAGTCATTCTTTCTATTCTTCCTATTCTTTCTTTAAAAATTTCAAATAATTTTGATTGCCAGATCCTGTCATCTTCTGCGACCACCAAACGCGGAGGCTGATGAGAGCTGTGGACCTCTGAATCGACTTGAATTGCGGCCTCTCCCCGCCGTACAAAGTGCAGAACGATTTTGGTTTCGATATATATACCTGAAATATTGACAAGCCTTAGATATTGGAGGTGCGAAGTATTCGTTAATTTTGGAGCGCCTCCGTCGTCGCCATGGCTTCGATTGAGGACGATGATGATCGGGATCTCGCAGGTGAGTTCACTATTCAAACGCTAGGACCGAACGGTGAAGCTGACTTTCGTAATCCCCTAGGCTCGCAGGACGGAAGCTCAGACAACGAGGATGAGACACTCAGAGACGCAGACGACGGAGACAACGACAACGAGCATGACGCCGACGCCGACGCCGACGGAGACCAAGATGCAGACAGCCCTTCCAACACTAGCCATATCTCTGAAGGCGCCGGAATGGCATCACAACAAAATCCTGATACAGATGCTCATATGACCTCCCCTGAAGCAGCTGCACATGCTGCGACCGACCCTATATCTGCCTTTCATCCCAGTGTGCGCTCGGAATGTCTGACGTGTTCTACCTACGATATCGTTCCTACCACTGCGGCACCACATAGTACCTCGATCAATGCTGTGACGGCGACGGCAGACATGCGATGGGTATTCAGCGGAGGGTCTGATGGATATGTGCGGAAATTCAACTGGGTGGACTCCATCAACAGCAAATTGATGCTGACAGTGGCGCAAAGGCATCCGTTTGTCGACAGTGTAGTAAAAGCGGGCGTGGTGATGACATACTGGGAGAATATGGATGCTAATGCTCTGTCGCCTGTCTACTCTTTGGCCAGCCACAGTGAGGGTCTCTGGTTGCTGTCTGGCTTGGAATCGGGCGCTATCCGTCTCCAGTCAGTACGACATGAAGAGGGCAGGGAAATTGCATCTCTTCAACGACATACTTCTGCGGTATCTGTATTGAATCTGACGTCCGACGAGAAGTCACTGCTTTCCGGGGGTTGGGACAAACGCGTGTTCGATTGGGATCTGAATACCGGGCAAGCCAGGCGCCCTTTTGGCCCCAGTGCTGGACAAATCTCAGCGATTGACATCCGGCCAGAGTCCAGTCTACCTGTCCCCAGAGATACCACCGATCGACAGCAAATAAATGGGACATATTCATCGAACTACCAGGCTAACAACGGTGCGAACTTCAATTTTGAAAATACCCCCAACGAGCAGGGCGATTTCGGCGGTGCGAACCCGCAGGCGGGTTCACCGGCAGATTCGCTCTTTGGTGGGGCTGACTCGCTATTTGGCGATGGGGATAATGGCGGTAGTGATGGCAACAATCCCTCGGGAAATGCCTTTGGCATGGACAACGACGACGATGAGTTCGGCAATCTCGCTGGCAGCATGCTTCCTGATGCGGATGCCCCTGGCGAACAAGACCATGAAATGACTGGCCAGCAAAACGGTGTGGCAGAAGCACCAAAAGACACCAGCAATGAAAATACAAACGCAAATACGACAACCCAAAAACCAGATTCACACGGGGCAGAGCTTCCAAATGGGACACAACCTGAAGTCAACGGGCTACCTCATGCAGAGGAACTAGAGCCCCCTTCTCAAAGCCAGGAGTTCTCGCAGCAGAAAACCCAGTCCGAGTCAAATGCGGACAATGTGTTCCTCTCTGCATCAATCGACGGTACTATCCGAGTGTGGGATAGGCGACAACCCGACGCGATTGCTCGTATCACATCTCGCAATGCTCCACCATGGTGTATGAATGCTTGCTGGTCTCCAGACGGAAATTATATATACGCCGGTCGACGGAACGGCACAGTCGAGGAATTCAGTCTTCACAGGGGTCTACGGGAAACGGAGCGCATTTTCAAATTCCCTCAGGGCAGTGGACCGGTGACGGCTGTCAAGGCTATGCCTAATGGAAGGCATATTGTTTGGTATGTCTTTTTCTTATTCATCTCATTGAAATCTATACTAACCAGTGACCATAGTGCTTCCCATGATATCCTTCGACTTTACGACTTGAAGCATGAACATGTCACCCGTCACTCGACTGTGCCCTTCCTTATTATCCCGGGTCACCGCACAGGAACAATATCTCAGCTATACGTTGACCCAGCATGTCGGTTTATGATTTCGACGAGCGGCAATCGTGGCTGGGAAGGCAACACCACTGAAGTGCTGCTAGGATATGAGATTGGCGTTCCGCGGTGATTTCCCCTTGCTCTTGGTTGTATATTGAAGTATATTTCTGTGGCTACGGAGCTATGGGGCATTGCTATTTGTAGAGAAGAGATATTTGACTTGTTGGAGTAAGGCTTGCATATTGGTGGTGATTTGCTTTATGGAACTATGCTACAGATACCTCTTTGGATACTAGATTTTCATGAATGATTTATATCTCTTTCTTATTCCACAACAATGCAAAATGTATGTGCAAATCAAGAGGTTATATCAAACGCCATGTGAAGAGTGTATGTACCCTAACCAAACCCAACCCAAAATAAATCGCAATGCAAATAAAACAAATCATCATAGGTCATCATCATGGATATTATCATCAAGATCAAGCCCATCACATACATCATACAGTCCTGCTCTCCAAGTCCCGTAAAACGGGTTCCCGGCCCACCGAACATGTCCGTCACGATCATGCTCGAAAAATACATACCCCGGTCGTTCATTTTCATCATAGCCATCATCCCTAGTTGCCTGAACAGCCTCCGGACCCGCCGCAAGCTGTTCAAATCCAGGGAGTTTCATATTAGGAACATGTCCTCGTGCCTCAACCTGTCCAGCCCCAACATTACTAACCGTGACCAGGTACACAGGCGGGAGCGCATTATTCCGCTCGGCTTTCAGCGGCATAGAAGTCCAAGCTTCATTATCCCACGATTCCCGTCGATTCTGGTCATACCGTTGCGGCAGCGGTCTTGACAAGAACAAATCATCCAACTTCCCCGTATCAAGCAGTAACCCCGGTGTCTGCACATATAACACACTATCATACTGCATGAACTGAATCTGTCCCAGACGGAGCAGCTTCGTATCTGTCGGTGCATAACCCGCCGACGTCGCAGCTGTCATGTCGATAGGCAATAACCATATGTTATATTTGATGCTTGCGGAGCGGAGGAGGAAGAGAGCTTTTGCGACGGGCTTCGAGAGTTTCTTGTTCTTGGACGAGGGTTGGTCCCATTCTTGCGGGTACATGAAGAGACGGTCTTGAACTGCTGTGCCGTTTTTGAAGAGATGGTGGAAGAAGAGGATTGCGGAGCAGATGTTCGCGGGGTCGGGGGTGGAGAGGAGTTGAACGTATGCGTAGTTGCCATTGTTGTCTTGCTGTCTGTCATTGCTGCTGTCGTGGTAGGATTGGTCATAACTGGTATCCCTCCTAGCATTCCGATATGTCGATCCCGATCCATGCCTGGCGAGGGGGTATTCGGAGTCTAGGGGAGGCTTGAGGGCTTGTTGGATGCTTCGGACGGATTGCTGCTGGAGGACGTAGCCGGATAGAAATAAGAGGAATGTGAATATGAAGATGACTCCCATGGATATGATGGAGGAGACGGTCGAGGGAGTTAAGAGCACCATGGTTGCGACGAGGTATCAGATACCCGCATGGGTATCGAAGTATATCTGTCCAGAAAGAGTGCCTGGCCACGCGACGCAGCCCGCAACTCAACCACGGGAGAGATCATTATGAGAATCAAATTGGACCCTTGGATCGACAGCCTTACGATCTCCCACCCGATGCCAATTCGGGGTTGTTTACCTCCCGCGACCGTTGGCCGTGAGACTATCGATAACGCCCGGTCTTGGCGATCTTGGCAACGGAAGTCCGGAACAACTCTCTCTCCGGCGGCGCGAGCTTTCATCTTCAAGTCTGTCGCGTTGATTGAGGACGAGCTTAATTCCAGCACTCTCGAGTCTGCAAGCAGCATGTCGACCCATCGCGCAGACGCCAGCACCTTCCTCGATAATCGCGGCTATTCCGGCCCCCTAGTCCGTGGCGTCAACCCAGCCACGCTCTTCGAAAAAGCCGTCCGCGATCGCATCACGGACTCCTACTACTGGAAAGAACAATGCTTCGGATTAAACGCTGCGACTCTTTGCGACCGCGCCATCGAACTGTCCTCTATCGGTGGTACCTACGGTGTCTCCGAGAAACCGACAGCTTTTCTCTGCCTCGCGTTCAAGATGCTCCAGCTAAACCCGACTCGCGATATCGTGCTTGAATATTTAAATTTCTCGGATCCGGGGAGTGACGATGAGGACCAGGAGAACGGGGTGCTTCAGGATCGTGGCGACTTTAAATACCTGCGTGCTCTGGCGGCGTTTTATGTCCGGTTGACTTTCGATGCGGTGGATGTGTACAAAACGCTTGAGCCACTGCTACTCGACTACCGGAAAATCAAGCGGCGTGTGCGGGACTCATTTGTGCTTACGTATATGGATCAATTCGTCGATGACCTTCTTACGAAAGACCGGATGTGTGGTACGAGTTTGTGGAAGTTGCCGTCGAGGCAGCAGTTGGAAGATTTGGAGTTGTTAGATGAGAGGATTAGTCCGCTGGCGGATGAATTGGAGGAATTGGACCAGGATAGCGATGATGGGGAGGTGAAGGAGAGTCGTTCCGGCTCTTCGGATCATACAGGAGAGGATTGAGTCGGCCGTCATGCGTCGTTATGATCCCTATTTCGAGGTTGTCTGTCAATTCAGAACCCCGTCACCAAAGACGCTGCCTCCGCCTGACAGACAATGCCTCCCTCCATTGCCGTCACAAATTGAGGCTTCCATCATCCGGTCTCGCCACTTGCGCCAAAGACAACGCGCAAGTTGAAAGATACCGGGCATCGTCGCAATCCTCTGGGGCGTGACTGGATCCCACGGGCCCGCTCGACCGACATGGATGTGGTGTGTGCTGTACTATATGGTTTGAATGTACATAATAGATCTCAGGACGAGCCTGCTCATTCGTCTTAAATATTTCCAATTGAGCATGAAATCAACCCATGAATTAAACGAACCAAAACACCTGGGCATCATATGAACAGGACCGAAAGCATTAGAACCCCTGCTGATGATGCCACTTCTCCTCCCACCCCCTAAAATATGGACTCTCATCCAGCGTCCCAACCTCCCAATCCCTCTCCACAAGCCCATTGCTCCTCTGCTCCTCTGCCCACTCCTCCATCGCCGGTAAAACCACATGCTCAACATGCCAAGTCCCCTTATACTCCAACAAATTCTTCTTGCCCTCCTTAATATTCTTGGCCACGAGTGCCGGGATACCCGGCTCATCGCGGAACTCCGTCACCAGCGTGAATAGAGCTTTGAAATTGAAGACGACGGCTGCGGAGAGGGGGGGGCGGCGTAGGGTTTGCCAGTCGACACGGAGGTGGCAGTCGGAGAGTTGTAGGGTATGAGATTGGTCCGTGCGGTGGATTTCGAGGGGGGAGCCTTTTGGCATCCAGAGGGGTTGGCCGACTTCAAGGCTCCAGGAGCCGCGTTGGATGGGTTTGTCGGTTGGTAGCTTCGTGAAGAAGCTGTGGTAGTTAGTCTTGAGGTGTCTATGAACTGAAGCGCGTACCTACCGCTCCATAGAAGTCTGCATCTTCTTCTTGTAGTCTGGGACAGGCTTGTGTATCAAATGAAGTGGAAGCCCCATTTTCTCGTTAATACTCCAGCCAATTGAGGAGCAAATGACTCCAGCACGGAGTATATAGCAACCAGTCTTATCATCTCGCAGCGTGATACCGAAGTCCTCGGGGATATTGTCGAGCAGGATCTCCAGAGGATGCTTAGACCTAACGTCCTGTTCCGTGCCTAGGATTCTATTCTGGAAGACCCTTTTGTCGACTAGAGAAAAGTAGTGTGGATACCTGGCACAGACGTTTTGAAGGACCATTTCCATGAGCTCTTTGCAGGCTAGTTCGGAGCCGGGGAGGTAGCCAAGGACCCCGTTTCTGTGTTTGGCGTATAGTTCTTTGCGCTGGGCGATTCGTTGCTTGTAGGTGTTTTCGAGCTCGATCCACCAGTCTGTTTCCATTTTTGAGATTGCTAAACCATGTTTGTAAGATGACCTTCAATTCGAGGTTCTGCAGCTAGGGACATACACATAGTTTGATGGTAAACCCATCTGAACGGTCGATAAAGCCTGGCCAATGCCTTGTCGATATCAAATTCGTGATAGGGCTGGGGCAATGGTACTCCACTGAGCTCAGTGTAGTCGGGGAAATCCCCTAGCTCTCGAACTTCTTGAACCGAGAATCCAGTCGGAGTATATCTCTGCTCCTTGCAAGTCTCATAGTTTGTATCCATGGGCAATATGTGTCGAAGGACCTCTTCCTCCTTAACTTCCGGCACTCCAGATTTGAAAATCCTATTGAGTGCCTCTCGACGCTGTGGCGGTAGGACATTCGCATAATCTGGTGATTCAAGTCTCTTCTCCGGTGATACCGATCGGGGAGGTGTTTCGGCTGTCGATGGCCTGCGATGCCTCATTCGACTTAAGATCGACTTTCCTTGCGCTCTATCTGTGGCAAGATATAACCCCGTCAGTACCACCATTAGAGCGCCAGTCCACCAAATATTGTCCGAGATAGTCGATACATCCATGACGTCGTATGTTCAATCACGGTAGAAGTGAGATTCGAAAGTCGCATCAAACAGATCTGTATACCATATATCAAAGGACAAGAATCCGTGCAAGCCGGCGGACTGGCAGCCCAAGTATTTATCAACCCATCCCAACAACCATCCAAGTCCCTGGACCATTGCTGTGTTGATATCAACCCGGTGTGACACGAATAGGTTTACCCTCTTTGGCGAGGCGATGCTGATAAGAGATAACAGCTCGCATGTCAGATCCAATGGACTGGGATACCTCGCATCGAATCGAGGATCCTTGCGGGTTTGATGGTGGTTGATGAGAGTGATCCGGAGTCCCCATATTCTCTCTCAACTTTTATATTACTTTCCGTGGAAACATTTCCTCCACTTTCTCGACGTAACGGAAATGTCATTCTTTTATTTTGAATCTCCATTCAGACTACTTAGTGCCATATCAATGCAAAGCAACACCCCACAGTACAAACCATATGCAGATACCAGACCTCCTCGCAAAACGTTACCAATTGCGCATGGCGATGCGATCCCTGATAGCACAAGCAACAATAACCAGTTGAATTGGCTTGACTGACGAGGAAAATACAAATAGTGAGGTTGCATTGCCCGAAAGGGTAAAACTATCCAGGTCATGTGCCCTGAGGCTCATTCAACGTCACTTCTTTAACCACTACTTCTATAATGGTTTTCTCCGAAATTCTGCCAAAGGTATGAACATGTTGGATATCTGATGAATACTGTCTTGAAAATAGCAGGAATGTTCAATATTCCGGACAAAGAACCCCAGACGCTTTACCAATGCCATTGTCTTCTTGACGGTCTTTATCCTTGTAATCTATGGGTATTCCAATGGAGACAACCCATCTCTTTGATCTTAGAGACAATGGCGTTGTCCGTCTCCTTTGGCGGATTTATCTACATAAAAATCTCAGCAGCCTTTCATCGGGCTGAGGAACACAAAGCCCTGTTCACGGAATAGTCCCTTTGGCATACAAAGTGACTCTCTGACCTTTCATCTGTTGTCTCATGGGATATTCAACTTCCAGATGAATCTAAATGCAAAGATGTCTCATATCCATCTATATAATGTCCAGAAATCCCAGCCAATTCATGATCCATCCATCACCAATCTACAGCAACAACTGCAGATACAATCCCACCAATCTCAACAGAACAAACTACTCAAAATCCATTCCACTATGGAATCAACCAGCATCAGCAGTCTTCCTCCCGAGCTTATCGCCAAGATCGCGGGTAACCTCGGCGCCAAAGATATATCCAACTTCTCCAAGACCAACGGAGGTCTAAATCTCACCCTCCATAACCAGCTCAAAGATGCTGCCCTAAGCCATGCCTTCGCCCCGCCCGAATTCTATGCCAACGCCTTCGTCTTCGAAAATGGCCACGCGGTCCTAGACGAGAAAATGGCGTTCCGGACACCCGACGAACCCATGGTCAAGGCCATTTGGGAAGACAATGCCGATGCAGTCAGAGGCTTCTTGGACGCCGGTGTCCGCGTCGACGAGTACTCGATCCATGGTGAGAGATTGCTTTATACCGCAGTGAAATATAGGGCTTACAAAGTGACCCAGCTCCTGTTTGACCGAAACGCAAATCCCAACATCTACAATATCGCGTCCCAGAATGCCCCGCTGGTCGCGGCGGCGGCTATCAACGACGAGTATCTTATGCGAGCCCTCATTAAGCACGGCGCGGATATCAACGCCCCCAACACCGTCGCCACGATCCTCCAGAACTGCAGCCTCGACATGCTCCGCTTCATCATCCGCAAGAACGCTATCCTCGCGGAGATCGATGAAGGAGACATCCAATTCCCTGTGCGCGGAATTCCCCCTTTCCACCACGCCGCCTTCAACAAGTCCAACCCGGATGTCCTACGCTTCCTTATTGGCTACCTCCCCGAAGCCCTAAACGACACGGACACCTTCGGCCGCAACGCCCTCTGGATCGCCGCGCAACAACGTAACCACGATGCAGTCGTCGACCTAGTCACCGCAGGGATCAACATCAACCAGCTCGACCACGTCGGCGAGACCCCCCTGCACGGCTGCCTGCAGTACATCAAAGACACCGAGATCCCAGCCTTCCTGCTTGAAAACGGCATCGACGTCGGTATCCCCGGCCAGTCCGGAATGACGGAGCTGCACTATGCGGCGGAGCTGGGTGCCGAGCATGTGGTTGAGATGCTGATTGAGGAGGAGGTTCATGTGGACGCGCAGGATGCGCAGAACCGCACGGCGTTGCATTGGGCTGTGCGCGGTAACCATGAGCGTGTTGTTCGTCTTCTTGTGAACCATGGATGGGCGTATTTGAATACTCGCGATGTGTGGAACAGTACGCCGATGGATATTGCGAAGGCCAGGGGATACAGTGAGATTTGGACTTATCTTTCCATCAAGTTGCAGGAGTTTACCATGCCGTCGTAGGTGGACTCGGATCTCCGAATCGTGGGTGTGCTAACTGCTAACTGCTACCAGATTATTTGCTTTATGGAATGTCAAATTTATGTTCAAGGTGGGTGGGTTTAGGGTTGTGGTTTGAGATCATGTCTTGCTTCAGGTTGACGTGTGAGATAGCTAAGTTTGTTTTTATGCTTTTGGGTGTTTATAGAAGGTCATCAAAGTGAGTTTGAATATATCAGTGTATGTGAATCCCTTCCTACGCACTCGTAGTTTTGTAAATATGTGACATGCAATTAACAAACTACCTCCCAGTACCGGTGACAGTAAATATCTATCTGTAAATGTAAATGCAAACAAAAGAGACGCCGATAAGCAGACATAACACAAAGCAAACAAAAAGCAGTCTAATAATCCCGTGTGTTCTCATGTGCTGACACACAGAGATCGATAAATAAGGCAAAATGTATTATCGTGACACATCTCGTAAGTCGGCCTACCTTACTGCATGGAAGCTTCAGGTATGCCTCTTCTTTTTTTTTTTAGTCCCGGAGGGATGTTAATCGAGTCCGTGATCTCTGCATGCTTAGATTAAAAGGAATCGAATGAAAGATTATGTGACAATTGGGTATCATAACACCGCTGTTCGCCGAACCGAGCAAAGAATGACGACAATGAGATGCGAGATGCGAGGATGCGACAGAAAGCAAGCACAAAACAAATATAGAGAAAGTAGATTATCAAACATAAGGGATCCACGTTTAATCGGGGTTCGTCGCCTGCATTACTGTCAGTCACGCATTGATTACACGATTATAGGTTAGATGCTTACCCGTAGCACAGGTCTTGAGTAGTCCTCATTGTCCTGAAGCGATACACTGCTATCCCGGGGACCGTTTGGATAGAGCACGGTGTTCGTCTTCATACGATTATCGATAAAGGTTGCGTTCGGGTTGCGTGTGGCAGTAGGTGACCCTCCAAGAGTGGTGTTGTCGGAAAAGACGGACCTCATAAAGCTCATTTGGGAGCCCTTGCTGTTGCGACCATCCAATAATTGCATGCTGGGGTCAGGACTGTTTGCGCGTTGGCGTTTCTTCGAACAGTACCAGATGAGGATCAGAGCCAAGATTGCAAGGAAACCTGCGACGGAACCAACAGCAACACCAGCCACGGCGCCACTACTTAGCCCAGAGTCGCTGTCTTTGCTGCTAGTCGATGAAGTATCTGCAGCAGCGGTCGCGCCTGACCCGCCAACCGTAACCGTTTGGACCTGGCCTCCGATTGTCTCAACTTTACTGCCTCCTGAAGTCGTCGTGCTCGCTCCTGTGGTCTCTGTTGGGGTGCCTGTCTGTGAGAAGTCAGCATGCTTGAACCCAAGATAACACTCAGCAAGGTACAAGATTACTCACCGAAGTTCCAGTCGAAGAGGTGCCTGATGCGCTGGCCGTGCTAGATGGCATGTGATCCATCAATACGATGTAGCCATACAAGCCTTCTTCCGCATTTCCACAATTGTCGGACGGGTACCCAGGGCAGCCATCGTTACACTCTGAAACATTCACATTGGTTGCTGTATTAGGTGCGACATTCGAGCACCAGCAGTTTTTGCCTTGGAGAATGCCGAATGCATAATCTGACGTGCACGTAGATGTGCAAGCCCCGATGGACTGAAAGGTATCGTGATCTAGGTAGCACAAGTTAGCAAAGATGCACAGGTCATACCACCACAATCACGACACTTACTCGCATCATTGTCGGATCCTGTATTAACCGAGGAACAGTATTTCACGGAATTTTCAGCTCCGAAGACGGGCGATGCAAGCAACAAAATCCACGAGAAAGCGAATGCGAGGAGCATGTTGGCGGATAACTCTGCACTCTCCGGATCGGGTATGTATTGTGTCGAAAAAGTAAACAATCGATAATGGTCAGGTTGGTGTAACAAAAGGCGTCGACGGCTTATTTCCCCGTCCTCCTTCAATAGTGCTTTTTTTTTCTTTTTTTTTTTTTTTTTTTTTTCCCTCCCTCTTTCACTGATCCAAGTGCCTAGTTCAAATGATCACCGGTCGGGCGGCAGTATCAACGGATGATGAAACGTCAGAAGCTCGCGAGGCTAAGGGGGGATAATTTCATCGGTCGCCGGATCGACTTGTCAGAGAACCTATGATAGTCCCAAGCCGGAAGCGTTGGATAAAAAGGAAAGACCGGGTTGTATAAGCGGTAGGGATCCGATCCAAACTAAATGGGTTGGTGATAATTCCTAAAATGTCGATCAGCCATGAACAATGACATACTGAGAAAATAGCCGATAAACAGCTGAGAGGTGAAAAAGAAAAAGGATAAACTGCAACAACGTACCTGAGTGATACGGCCAAAACAGCCAACAGATGATTTGTTGCTGGTCCAGGTGAGGATGCCCAAAGTGATTTCCGAGCCTACAACTGGACGAGGACCCGGTTTGGGAGAGAGAGAAAAGCGTCGAAAAACCAGGCTCAGAGAGATTCTCGCATCATCACCCTACGAGGGGATCGCGAGAGTTGGTCAGCAAATCAACAGGCTGACCGTCAACAGAGCACCAAAAGACCAGCAGACGATGGACGACGACGAGCGAAACAGACAGTGAGAGAAGAGAAAACAGAGAGAAAAGACGAGGGGAAAGAAAAGAGAAGATCGAGATAACAGTGGAGGAGTGAATGTATGTATGGGTGTGTATGTAATTACAGTATTATAGTATGGTACAATTGAGCTAATCTCAATTGAGTTAGAGGAGTAATTTTATGGTTACTAGCGGTATTAACCGAATCAGCGGCATTGCTCGGGTGAAACACTCTACTTTAAGACTACAGAGTACGGAGTACGACACAGGATGTCAACTCAACTGAAATGATTGCATTCTGACACCTGGACATGGCGAGCTTAGCAGATTGATTATGATGATCCAGTATTTCATGACTATGGTTGTTGGTGTGTTCTGAACGGAGTATTGACCATATGACACTGACTGACTGATCGGAATGATGCCCTATTTTTGTCTGCGCAGGGGGTCCTTTACTTGGTCTATTCATATTAACTACTCCGTATTCTGGACAGAACCATATATAGATCCCATCACCACTGCAACTCATCTTACTCCAGAGTCCAGATTCTAGACTCTCTTCCCAAATAAACAGAGGACATCCTCCACACATTCTCGACCGCGTCACATTTCCGCTCTGACGCGGCAAACGACCCCTGTTATATGTGTCGGTACAAGTATATAAAACCAAACCAAACCGTATTGATCGGATTTCGGCCCATGGTTCGTTAATTACAGTTTCCGAGCGATTCAGAGTCTGAGACAAAAACACGCCCACCTGCCCGAAACTACTGATTGGCTAAGCCACATACCATTCCAAATCTTACATACCGTACGTACTCTGTACTCTCTACCTATTCTTTATCAGTACCGAGTAGATCGTACAGGTACTTGCCTATCTACCTGTACCTGTACCTGTACCTGTACCTGTACCTGTACCTGTACCTGTGCCTACACAGAGCAGAGTACTTGTACATAGGATATTGTTTTGTTTGCCGTAAGGACATTCACATGAAATCCAAGGCTGTGCCCGACGCACAGAGCACCGCGTAGTCAGTGGGGTGGCAAAGTGCGTTGGCAGAATACAAGCCCATCATCCGGTACGTACCATGGTACCTTTCCAGAGCTCTCTATGGTACGGAAACAGGTACATACGGAGTAGAAGACTAGGCTCGGCCGAAGCGGATCTCTGACAGCCGTTTCCATGGTTATGTCTGTATAGTCTCGCTGTACTCCGTACCTGGATTTATGTACTCTGTAGAAGAGAAAAGAATACACATGTACGGAGTACTCCGTCTTCTGTTCGAAAATCTATCTGTGAGGGCGCAATCTAGGATTTGGAGTGCACAGTAGTACTCTGTACTCTGTAGGGTACAAGGCTCGCTGTATATCTCCGTTTATGTGTGTCTCGCCGATCCGATTAGGTATGGCACTGTACATGATAGGCACCTGATAAGTGCCTAATCTAGGATGTGCTACGTTCATTCGTGGAGAGCTAGAGAGCTGGAATGCATGAACCAGCCATCTATGGGGATCTGTAGGAACCCTTCGGTTCGTATGGAATACGGCAACCACTCCAGTTCTGGGGATTCGATCAATAGCCGTATTCGGGATATGCCAACACCAGTCCTAATTTGCTCTACGGAGTACAGAATACTGTGTCAAAGACTTGTCCTTAGAGTATTTACAGAGGACAATGACGCTATGTGGCTGGTGGATCTAACTTCAGACACGGCGCCACACCCGAAATTAAAGGAATATCCAACCTTCGCCACAACGCAAAGGAAAACCAACAGATCGTGATCCTCATCCAATTTGTGTGGCTGGACTACTTACTCCGGAGTAAGAAATCGATCTATCCATGCCGATCTATGATCTGAGTCGTCCGTTGTCTACTATATAACTAGTAGATGTACAGTACCAAAATATTGGAAAAACTAGACCATCAATCTATGGGAAATAGCACCTTGCTCGATTCTGGTTCAGTTAATGATATGCTTGAAATTTTCCGGTTAATCATCGTTCTAAGCACGGAGTATGGTACGTACAAGTACAAGTACAGGTACAGTACATATTACACGACAGATCCATGGAACGGGGGTGGATGCAATTTCCCGTTCCTGAATCCTCTACTCTGTATAGATCTGAAAGAGGATCTAAAGGAGAGGGATAATCGACCTATCATGCTGAGAGTATTTTTATATGCACTTTGTGTCTCCGAGGAATCTGCGTCTTTCGATCCTCCTTATGAGGTCATTCTTACTGGTATTACCGCGCCATTCCCGATCTAGACATATTGATACGGAAAACAATACCATTAATACGGCCACAGCCATTATGTTCCGATTCGGCCAATCACATGTTTGTAAAAATGTCTTGGCTTGTTTCAGACATGAATAGCTTTCTGTAGGTGTATTCCTTCCAATGCACTTTTCTATTCTTTTTCTCAGTCTGAGACCCCCGTTTGCCACTGCTTTATGCATGCACCATGTATTTACAGGGATGGATCCAATGGTGTCCAGTTGTATCGTTCGCCGAGTCATCTACCTTTTGCCGTTTACAGACGGTGCACCGCTACCCTGAATCGAATAAAAGCAAAGAATCCATTCAATCTAAAACTGTCATATCTCATCAATTTTTCAACAAACATCATAAGACCATCTACCACCGTCCCATCCGCGGCAGTCGCCAGCGACTGTCCTCATACACCGTTTCCTGGGGCTGGGCCACTCCGTGCCCGCTATACGGCCACGGTCGAGGCTGTTCCATCACGGGCTGGCCATACTTACTAAAAACCGGGGGTGGTGCCGCCGGTGCCGGGGGAAGGGCATACCCGGCGTGCTCACGGCCGATTTCGTGGATCCTTTGACGCCGTGCCTGTCGGATTTCTTCAGACATGTCAACGAGGCCAGAGACGTCCTCCTATAATTTCGTTAGCTTGGCCAAGACGTTTAATAATCTGGGGTAGTGGGACGCACATAATGAAGGTAGGCAAAGATGTAGTAAAACTGGTCCGTCTCTTCATACTCATACCCAGCCCGCTCAATCGCTTCTCGCACCACGAGGTCCTTGGTGATTTCGGTCCAGAGCCGGTCTTTTTGCGCTGGGGCCTGGTGTTTTGGTTTCGTCCCGAGGTATGGTGTTGGCTTCTCATCCTCGGACGATTCCTCGGAAGAGCTCTCCTCAGGGAGATATTTGAGCTTGCGACCTGCGGGCTGCGGCCAGCCCATTTCGCTCATGCTGGTACCTCTCCCGCGTCGCGATTTAGGAGCGACGAGGGCCCCGGCCTTGGGAGGTACAAAATCGGCGGCAGGATAGTGGGCTTTTCGGCGACTGTATAGGTCCACTTCCAGGTCATCTCGGGCGTTGCGGGCGTCCTTCATACGGCGGCCATAGTCCCGAGATACGTCCCTGTCGGCAGATCGGGCTCTGGGTTGAATTGCCTTGGCCTTGGATTTCTTTTTCTTGCTGGAGGTCTCGACTGGTGGCCAGTTGGCGTAAGGATCAAAAGGTTCGATGAACATATCATCCTTGGGGCGGCCGCCCTTCTTGCTCTTCGACCGAGGGAAGTCAGGACTTTGTGCGCGAGTTGGCTTAACCATTTCATACTCTGAAGACAGTGAGTAGCTCTTCTGGGAATAAGCGATTAACGGGATCATACCAGTGTCAATAAACTTTTGTCGTCTCTTGCGAGACATCGAAGGCGCTCTGAGATTCGGAGACCCAGACGAATCATCCTTACGGTGCTTGGCCTTGTTGCCCTTGCTGCGTCCCCTTCGCTCGCTCTTGCGGACAACAATCTCGTCGTCACTGTCGTCACTGGTAGTCTCGCTCTCGCTCTCAGTCTCAGTCTCGCTTTCAGTCTCATCGCGACGGTGGGACTTCATCTTCGGAACCGACGGATAGCGAACAGTCTCCTTTCCACGCTTGCTGGCCTTGCGAGTAACCCGTTCATATTCAGGCTCCACGGGCATCTTGCCCTTCTTCTTCTTCCGCTCATGCATAACCTCTTCTTCACTACTATCCTCGTCATCCACAGGCATAGGCGCGACCATAGGCCGTCCACCCCTCCGCACAGGAACAGCATATTCCTCCTCTTCCTCAGAAGAAGTCTCGGTCTCACTAGCCTCAACATACTTCTCCTTCTTCCCCTTGGCCTTCTTCCCGCCCTTCTTCTTCTCCTTGTAAACCACCTCATCATCCTCTTCGATCTCCCTCCGTCGACTCTTCGACTTCGACTTCGGCCTCTTAACATGCTTCACCCTAACCTCCTCATCATCCTCCTCCGACTCCTCCTCCGAAACAGGCGCACTCTTACTCTTCTGTCCCTTCTTTCCCTTCTTCCCTCCCACATCCCCCTTCCCCCGTCGGAACGCAAACCCCTCCATATCCATCGCAGGCCCATACCTCACCCCCAACGGCATGGGAGGCGGCACAGGCGGCTGCGGCTGAGAGGGCGCTCTGTCCCGCACGCGAAGACGCTCGAATTCTTCTACGGGCGGGGGCGCGGCGACGGGGATGCGGGATTTGCTCTTGCCGCGCTTGCGGACGTAGTATTCTTCATCGTCGGCGGGGACGGCAGGGCGGGTTGGGCGTTTTTGGCGGCGGGGGGCTTCGTAGATTTCTTCTTCTTCGGAGTAGTAGTCGCGGGGGGCGCGGCGGGGCATTTTGGTGGTGATTTTGTGGTTGTGCTCGTGCTCGGGGTGTTGGAGGACCCTGGTCTCTGGTGGGATGAAAAACCGGTGAATCGTTAGCTAGGTTGCCGGTGTTATGGGAGAAGACCCTTACTGTAACAAGGGATATCCAACTAGACAGAGTCTAGCAGCGTAGGAAAGAAAAACGACAATTCAGTCCTCAGGCCTTGTCAAGCAAGAAAAGGAGAGAGTTGAAGAAAAACAGAATTCTCGCACAAAACTCAGACGATCGGCCAACCCCGCGGCTGATGTCACGTTCAGACGGAATCAAAACAGAGTCTGACCTTCTGAATCACAATGAGTATCTGGCAGAGAATGCGGAAGAATATACGAAAAACTGTCTTATATGTCGCGTTCTGACACTTTTATACTTATCAATGTTTGTCAATAGCTAAGTCTCGGAGCAGTTTGCCTGAGCCATGGTTCCCCGACCGATCAGTCCCATACATTGGCCATTGGGTACGGATTCGGGCAGATATACTTGGATCTTCAAATTTATTGGTTAAAATTTCATTTCGCTCATTCTCATTAACGAATCATCATTACCATAACTGCCATAGATATATAAATTCCGGCACGTCCCGTGTACACAGCCCACGTCCTCACCAGCAAGCACTTCTACCGAGTCGTGTAACCTCCGTTCGCGAAGAGTGTTTGGCCCGTGATCCATCCGCCCTCCGTGCACAGGAATCTGATTATTGGGGCGATGTCGGTGACTTCGGTGAGACGGCCTTCTAGGCCGTTGGATTTGTGGAATTCGACGGCTTCGGGGGATTCCTGGGGGTAGAAGAAGGCTGGCACGTTGTGTTAGTTATGCGCCGTATACGCGAGACATAGGGTGGACTTACGGGTGTCCATGGGACCGGGGGCGACGTTGTTGACGCTGATGCGACGGGGTTGGAGTTCCTTGCACACGCCGCTGCAATGGTCAGTATATGCATAGCATGATGAACTGTTCGCTTGGCGACGTACCGAGTAAAGTGCTCAACTGGAGCCTTGCTACCAGCATAGGAGGTATAGAAACCGGTAAAAGCACCCAGCAGCGCAGTTACAACCGAAATGATCTTTCCACCATCCGAAACATGTTTGGCAGCTTCTTTCAGGATAAAGAACGCAGCCTTGGAATTGATCCTGTGCAATCCCAGTCAGCACCCAACGCAGGCCAAACATCAGAAAGACAGAGGAAACATACGCAAACATCTCATCATACTCCCCTTCACTAATCTCCGTAATAGGCTTCTTCAACACCTTGCCCACATTATTCACAACAATATCAATCTTCCCAAAGTCCTTCAGCACATCCTGGAACAGTTTCTCCACGGCACCAGCGCTCGTTAGATCGGCCTGGTAAAAAGCCACCTTGACAGAGGAGTGTTTTTGCTTGAGCTCCGACTCGAGCTGGGCGGCGTCGTTCTTGCTGCTGGGCGAGTTGTAGTGGAGGGCGAGGGATGCGCCGGTGTTGGCTAGTTCGCGGGCGGTTGCGGCGCCGAGGTTCTTCGCGCCGCCGGTGATGAGAGCGACTTGGCCTTGGAGAGACATTGCTGTGATGTATTGGGAAGAGATAAGAGACGAATTGTGAAGGTTGATGTGATAAGAGTGGTGAGGATGAAGTGGAAGACCCCCGTCCACCTGGAGGGTTTCTCTTATTTATGTTCAGAATCACGCTGTCCATTCCTGAAACCCCCCCCCCTGAAGAGACCCCAAGGAGAGAGATCATTGTCGAAGATCGGTGCATGTGCATCTCCAAGTATACCACCTACCTGAATAGTATATCACTTTCGAAGTATGCAAATCCCAATCCATGGACACGGGAGTGGAGAAGCTCAGAATGCGTTATCCCGATCTGGTAAATAGTGGGGCGCCACTTATTAGCGGAGTGTCGATGATGCCGTGACTGTAAAAGTGGTAACTGTTTTTGGTATGGTAGAAATAAAATACCATCAGCTGCATTTATTAGCTTCAAAAGTGTTAACTTGAATGGGTATTTTGCATTATTGGAGCATACAGAGGAGTCAATGCTCAATGTGATCTCGTACTCCGGGCCCATCCTACACTCCATATATACAAAGGGACCCTGTGTTTCTGTCCAGGATTCCTATTTCCCCCAAATATTTTCACACAATTGTCGCTCAAATCGAGATCCGCTAAAGTCCGAAACCCTCATGCTAACCCCGAAGTTACAATAGAATGGACCAAACGCCGACGCCCTTCGATCCTAGCTTCCCTCGTCTCTCAAACCTTCCCCCTCGTCGAGTCACGGTTACGAAGCACCAAGAAAATGCCCCGGATTAGGATCCGGCAGCGGCTGCCCATGGACAAATGTCGCCCCTGGAAAATACAACGTCGAACCGTTCAGAAACGCACCATTCCGATCGATCCAAACCACAATCCTCTGCAACAACCCTCCCAGCCCAAGCCCATCGAGTCCGCCCCGAATATTCACAATCTGATGCAGACCCTGCATGTGCACACCGTATGTGCCCACGTTACCAAACATGGCCTCATAGCTGGCCATTTTGGCTATTGCACCGACTAAGGCGTCGTTTATCGTCCCGTGTTGTTTGGCGAGGGACTGGTTGATGGCCTGTACGGCTTCGCCACGCATACTGAGGAGGTTGAGTCTAAGTTCGGTGGTGTTGTGTTGCACGGACGCGTAGTGTGATGCTGCGATCAACATGATTACCAGGAAAAGACTCGGTTCGGTCATCACGAGGGGAAACCATCGTGTGCGAAGCAGGCCGCGGTTTCCGGGCTGGTCTAGTTCAGGGATGTCGACGGCCATGCTTACTAGGTCTTTTGCTCTTGTCAGCTTCGATGGGCAAGTTGTACATGGGGGTGCTGCGACATACAGTGATCCACGAGCCATGGGAGGAGCGGCTTGAACTCGATGGGATATGATCGGAATGGATCGACACGTAGACCACCTATCATCATTGGTATAGAGGGCAGCATGAAGGAAGCAGCAGTAGTAGTTTGGCCTGTATATTGGGCTTGAGCTGTATGATTCTCCTCTTCACCCTCCGGCACTATCAACGGTTGTGGTGGTTGTACATTGTTCATCAACCCTGAGCCTGAGCAATCCAGCTCGATTCGTAATGGGAGGTACTCCTCCCTCTTCCTTTTCCGGTCCTTGTTCGCTGCAGTATGAGCCTGCCATTGACGGCGAGCGACATGCGATCGAACGGTGGACTTTTTAGCGAGCTGCAGAGCGTCGCCAGGTTCTTTGATGTTGATGAAAATGTGGTCCATATTGAAAAGCCCTAGAGCGTATGCGGTCTCTTTTTTTTTTTTTTTTTTTTTTTTTGCCTTTCCGTTGGTCTCTTCCCCCGAGGTCAGTACGTAAAGTAGGCTGAAAATCTTCCGATGGTCTAAATCCGTCCGCCCGGCTAATTCAACGAGTGCACTTCAGTCCTCGACAGGAAAAGCTAATTCCTTTGCAGTCAGTCTACAGAGCCAGGAGAAAGCACAGTATCCATGGCTTATCCAGCTGCCATAGATTCCGAACGTACCGAGTACATAATAAAGGGGTCAAGATGGGGGCGAGCTGAAAGAACTTCATTCCATGCCTATTTCGGGTACGCGCTAACCACATTAGATCGGCATTGGTACTATTTCGGGAAACGGTGGGCTCAGCCCTAGCATCATTTACATGCATACGGAAAGTAGCACGGAGCGTCGGAGTAACAGGACTGGTTACTAGGATACTGTAGAGACAATCAAAGTGTGCTTTGTTAAGACTTAAAACATACGCATGCTACCCAAATGTAAGCCGCGTTTGTCCCTTTTCTGTCTTGTTGCTGCTACGGCTGTTGCGACCACCTCGGCTACGGGCATTAGTATTCGAGAGAGGGTTCGACGGACGTGGCAGCGAGACAGAGGCTCTCGCTGTTTCTCTTTCCTGCATTTCCAGCTCTTTTGCAAAATGCCAATCGTCATGTTCAGTCCTGTCATCTTCCGAAATCGGTTGGTTGCAGTTGTCACAGAGATAGAAACCAGGCAGAACGTCGTCTGGCGAGTTTAAAGAACCCTCGGGCCCGGAATTCGGCACGCCATCGCGAATTGCCTGCGGAGCTGCTTCTGTCGAGTTCGTTGACCCCGAAGCTTTAGGTTGCGGTTGCTCGTTTGAGGGGACTTCAGAATCAGCAGCTGAGGGGCTAGCGAAAAAGCGCCTGATGCCGTTTTCTTCAACTTTTCTTCGTTTCACATTGAGGGGTTGCTCCTCTGCCATATCCCCTGTTTCGACATCCCTCATGGAATAGCCCGCATTCGTCTTGGCTTGCTCCCCACGGAGCAGAAACCCATCAATAGCACGGTTTTTGGTGACCCCGTCTTCGAATGCGCCAACGCTCAACGACAGGTTCGCACATGGCCATGCGCTAGCATCCTCAATAACCTGCCGTAGCAAGGTGTTGCCAAGGTCAAACAGAGTAGCCTCATCAACAGGCTTCGCGCCAGGAATCGGGATCTGACGAGAGCGGACCTGAGCACCCTGTTTATGGTGCAGAGTGACGGTCTTTGGACGGCGTCTGTTTTCAAGCACGCCATCTTCAACAAGGCGGTTGTAGATATCAGCTGCAAAAATGCGTAGCCACTTCTCTGCCTGCTCTACAGAGTTGATACTTGGTCTGAATGACTTTGCGGATAACATGGACTTCATTTGGGTCCGTGAATTGACCTCACTTCTGTCCTCGCCGCGAATAATGCCGTAGAGCCAGTTGGCCGTACCATCATCTAGCTTGGATCGAAACTGCTCGAGTGATGCGCTCAGCAGGTCACTAAGCTGCTCCGTTCCAAAATGAGCAACAACCTGGTCTCCCAGCTTGCCACCCAGCATTCGGATCTTGGTGAATTTGAACCCGCCCAGGAAATTTTGAACGGCACGATTTCGAACCACGGTTTGTTTATTGGGCTTGTTACAGCCGCTCCCTAACTTGGCCATCATTTTGTTTCTAGCGACACCAGCAGAGCAAGTATAACTGAGATGGTTCCAAACAGCGGTGCGAACAGACCGTATTATCTCAGAGCCTATCAGCATTGCAATATCATCCCAATCTGGATCATCGACTTCGGTTTCGTTTACGTCCAAATCGACCAGGAAGTCCTCAGCGTTCCATTCCAGCGCTGTTATCGGGGGACAAGGTAACGGTGCTCCCCAGTCTTCACCAAGGGATCCAGCCTGTAACTCAGGGTACCTCTGCAACAAAGCACCAAATACCAACGGCGATAGGTCGATGAACACTTCGTCAATACTCGCTTTTTCAACACTGGGGAGCTGCGTCTGAACCTTGAAGGGTGGTGCTGACGTCTCGGTCCCAGCGCCGTTTTCACTGGTCACAGCCGCATGCCACCTAGACACCTCGTCCTTCATCACCGCAAGAACCTTGCGCGATTCAGCCCGGTACGGATCCAAGGACACCTTATCCATCCCAATATTCTTAAACGCGTCCTCCCTATACGCCCACTTCCCGCCCTCGCCTTCTCTAAACGTCGCAACATGCTGTAGCACAACAACCGGACAGAGCTTCTTCGCCTCAGCCGCTGAAATCATTCTAGTTATACCAGAGTCCCGAGCCGGATAATTAACAGCGATCAACGAATCCCACTGGCGAACCGCGAGGGGTGTCTCCCGCGGCGTCCCCAAACGGACCATTTCGCATTGCGCGTAGAAGGCATCGAGATCAATGTGCGCGATGACACGGAGCGGTGTTGCCGTTGAGCTCTGTTGTAGAAGCTTTAGTTGTTTGTAGGCGTAGCGCGAAGGACGAGGATGGTCTATCGAGGGTTCGGGGTTGTCTTCCAGCGGCGGCGATGGTCTCGGGGAGGTAGTAGGCGAACGCGACATACTGGCGAGCAGAATCGGGCCCGCATGGTTTTATAAAGGCATGAGCTTGGCGGATTTTCTTGGAAGTGCGTTGTTCGACTTGCGGATTTTTACTGAAGGGTGCAAAAGTCGAGATCGAACTCGGCGAAAGCCACACGCCGACCATGGTTCGGCCAAAAACGGTTAGCTCAGCAGTGTACGGAGTAACTAACTAGTTAGTTAGTTCTACAGTCGTATCTACATTTTGAAACCCGTGACTTTTGAGGCTTGAGAAAATTCATGTTCGAGCTTGCTAAGATACTCCAAGATGCATATCGAAGCTATGGAATCCATAGTCACAAAATGCTGAGAACAGGGTGTAGCTTGCTCATTAGCGCATTGGCGCAATCCCGGTACCCGGTAACCAAATCCATCTTCTGGCCTGCTTTCTGGAATGCAGAACGAAAAAAGAAACCTCCACTTGGTTGCTAAGAATAATGATACCTTGTGTCCAACAAATCGAACCCACGTAGCAACTGCGAGAATATCTTGGATCCGAGCGGAAGGCAGCACGTCGTCGACCTTCCCATTTGAATCATGAGACCGTCCCTGTAACATAATGCAGGGTATCATGCTGTATCCACGGAGTACTCCGTGTACTATGGATGGGTCCGTTAATATGGAGTACTTTGCGAGAATCATATGGAGATAACGAATGCTGACGGGGCTTTCGACTATGGCCCAGGACAAATATGCATTCTATTTCTTTCTTTGTAGCTTCCTTGCTCGTGACTGGTGTCGGTTTGGTGCATACGGCAGCAGGCTGCAGCTTCTCAGCCAGCCATTCATTATTACCCATAGCATTAGGGCGGGTAGACGATGGAGTAAGATCAAGCGCTTCGCTCATATTGAGCCAAGCAGAACAGCAGCAGCAGCAGGGTTTCCATGTACGATGATGGTGACGCTGTCAAGTACGACGAGTAAGATCGATGTACGGAGTAATGCAGGAATTCCCCCCGGTACAGACCGGGCTAGAATGACAGACCATGCAAAAGAAGCGAGGCCACCTGGAAGAATTTCATTGAGCGAGGAAAACGACGTGATGATAGAAGATGGAAACCTTGGACGCTTTGATCATGTCTGTCATCATCGTCATGATTCCTCCAGCCACAGACGGCCACCGCAACTGAAAGAAAAGAGGTTTTCCAGACTGTCCACCTGGAACGGGGACGTAGGTGAGCGATCGTGTATTTCGGAAAATAATTGGATGATGGACGGTGGATGGATGCCCAACCGTACCATGTCCCAAACAGGTAAAAGTTAGTCAGCTTAAGCGGCCAAAACACAGACACACGCATTCATGCCCAACCGAATACAAAATCTTCATTGGCCCCGAGTTTTGACGCGAGTAAAGCGGTTCTTTGGTTTCTTTTTCATGCAGGTAGCCTTACACAGTGCCATTTGGCCCCGTTAGTGGCAAAAGTTCGTCTGCTGAGAGAGTGTGTGGAAATCGGGAAATCGGCGTCTCATCCTGTCTCATCCTCCTACCCAGTGATGCGTGATGTGATCTCACACCCTCCATGAATGATTGTCAGATTTCGAGTCTGTTGTTCACGGATTGGTCCGGGGATTTGGCCACCGTTAAAGGATGTGCACACCGTACTCGGGAGTATCAAAGTGCATATGTACTACTTCTGCTCCGTACATGGTACGGAGTAAGTACCACTCCGTCTTCCTTAGCCTAGTGGTTCCGCGTATCCATATTGCGTATGGAGTAACTCCAGCGAATAGTAACGTCTGCCAATGATGTTGAAGCTTTAGACAGTGAGGCTACCCATCCTAGTGGAGGGTTTTCTCTCTTGATCGCAGCGCAATACCGCGGTGATCTTCACGAGTCTGCCTGTCGGTCTGGACATTCAGTCATAGCCGTCTTCAGAAATCATGCCTGACTCTGACTCTTGTGCAGATATGGGTGGATGGTGTTCCTTTTTTGACTGCATCCGATCTGTATGTACTCCGTACAGACACAGTACGTTGCGTTAGTATCCACCATACATAGAATTTCTCTTCCCTCCTTGAACGTGATTTTTATTTTTATTTTTTTCCTCTCAGACCAGAGATCATACCACTTTGTCCTCGTAAGAAAAGAAGAAAAAAATATAGAAAATAAAAATAAAATAGAAAATAAAAAATCCCATAGTGGCAGCGGACCTTTTTCAGAAGAGCCCAAGAAAGAGACCGGCCCAACCGCCTGTCCGGCCAATCAGCACAGGCCTACCCACAGCCTTTGGTTTTGCCCCCTCTCACTCTCTTCTTATCTGCTTTTCCCCCGGTCTCTCTCTCCCTCCTCTCTCTCTTTTCCTTTCTCTTTCTTCTCTTCTATATTACTCTTTTTCTCCATCATCTCTCCCGCATCTTTTCGTCTTCTTCACTTATCCCCTATTTATTCTCTTGTTTGCGTTCTATTCGCAGAAGAATATTATCCGTGTGTACGAGTGTGAAAGTGCTGGAGAATAAGAACAGTTTTCATCCGAAAATAGGAACAGTTCTACCCATACGATCTAGGATCTTTCCCTCGTTCTCTCGCTCCTAAGATCCTTCATCGTTTCTTTGCTCGCCCTGAGCCGTCGATCGTGATTTCAATTGATTGATTCCTTGGACAACCCGCTGTTCACCGTCTGTGCGGCCCATACTGGCAGATTTTTCTGTTGCTAGGAAATACCACCCGGAAAAGGACACTTGCTCTGGACCCTTGCTATACCACCGTGGACAACACCCTCCCGAGGACTATTCTATTGCTGGTCGGAGATAAGATCAGATTAGCCCGTCTTTTGGATCCGGATACTTTGTTTTTCTTTCGCCTGTCTTCGTTTTCTGCATTTTGTGCTTGTTTCGAGGACCAGAAAAGGAGAACAAATCTCGGATTAGCCTTCATATCAGCCTTGGAGTTCCCTGGACGCAGTCAATAGATCTATTATTCTGTTCTTGCTTCTTCAAAACAAACCGGTCGTCATTTCTCCATACTTTGGAACCGTGGTTGTGGACCTCCCGTTCCGGATTTCATTGTTGCCACTTGGATCCGCTGTGGCTTAATACCTTACCACCGGAGACTTTACCCTTCTGGATTATCAAGATGTCTGGGCGTCAAAATGAATACTTCATCCCTGGGGATGGTATCAGCCGGGAAGTCATTCAAGCAGACATTTGTCGCTACCTTGGAAATGATGCGCTCGTAAGACCTGGAAATCACAATGTCCGTCCTCCATATCCTCATTTCATAAAAGACAGCTAGATCCCCAGGATGGTATACTGACTTGATTGAACAGGGCTGTCAAGGCTACTTCATCCGGGCTTATCGGAATCTCACATCTGTAAGTTACTCGCAGGAACCCGCATGCTCCTTTTTTCTTCCTATCAAAAATTGAATACTAATGCATGCTTTCGTGTAGGAAATGATTGCTGACCTCAAAGCGGACTCTTCTCGCTGGGAGGCAGATGTAATGCGCCGGAAAGATCAAGGCCACCCACGGGGTCACTACTACCATAATGATTATCATATGCAGCAAGAATACCCTCTGCCTCACCAAGGTCCTAATGTGCTTCCGCCAACTTACGGGCATGGTGCGTCTGTTCCTCCGGCGCCAAGTTATGGTACTTCTGTTCCTCCGGCAAGCTATGGTACATCTGCGCCAATCCATGAGGCGCGCTCATCAACTGGTCCATCTCCACCTCCCACCTACAGTGCTCCTCCACCCCAACAATACATGGAATCGTATGCTACAAACCCATACGGGCAGGCGCAGACTCCTCCTTATTCCACACATTCTACTCCGACGTCGTATCCTGCTACCCACTCCAACCACTCCAACCACTCCACTCACTCCACCACCCACTCACATTCGCCTTTCGCGCCTGGTCAGAATCAGTTCCCTTCGCAGCAGCAAATTCCTCCCTTCACCACGTCAGCTCAACCTGCAGTTTCTGCTGAGATCCACCCGTCATACAAGTACACAAGTTCCGGTTACGGCTATGATGGTGGATGGAACAATGCTCCCAGAACATATCCCGGGCCTGGCTATGAGACCGAGACGGAGTATTCCCCTATTACCACTGGAGTGAACTACCCGGCTACCACAGCCGCTGACCCTCGCATGCCTGGAATGGGATTAAGATACACTCCGGAGTCGACATATTCGGACCGCAATAGGCCACAGCCGGCAAGAGATAACCGTGCCCGGTAAAGGATTCGTACTTCCATGGACCTCATAGTTTGACGTTCCGGGAAAGTTGATTTTTTTTTTTTTTTTTTTTTTTCTTTGATTCTTTCTTTTTATAATTCTTCGTTTGAACAAAAATGTCAAAAGAGCAATTCTTTTATACCCCGTTGCCCAGGAGTACCATGGCCGGACCGTGAGAAGAGGCTCCTTTGGGACTCCATGTACGCCTGGGAAACCAATAAATCGCAATGTGCCACTTGGATACGGATGTCCTTGAATCTGTTTTTGATCTACTATTGTTGACAATCCATGTTCTTGGCCACTACCAAGGGATACTGCGTCTATTTGCCCCGATATTATGGTCTCCATTCCTATAATTACGATTGTCCTCGAAGGTTTATTGTGTGTGATGGATTATGAATTTGTGGTCTTTCTCTTCAAAACTTTGCGATTTCTGGATAGTTCGATTATACTCTCTTCCGTCTGTTTCTACGGTGTACTGGCTTTTTTCCTTATGCTGCGCATCTCATTTCTGTCTTGTTTTGCTCTGGGTCGAGAGGAGTTATTCTGGATATTTCACTACAATTCTGAAATTGCTCGGAGGCATCCCGCTGATTTAATGTGCATCAGCCAGTGCTCCGATAATACAATCGTCCTGCCTACAGATTCCATGTAGATAAGCATATCTGGCGTTATCGTTTTCCTGGGAGACAGGTTATAGATTTATTGAAGTTGGCTTAATCGATATCTTGTCCACTCGACTAAAGACGTATCTTCTTCATGTCCTTCCTTGATTCAAAACATGAGTCATTGATGCAAAGAGTCATCAGATAACTAGCTCATACCGTGGCTTACCTTGTTGGGTATAACATGACGCTTTGCGGCATCCTGGAGACGACTCAACAGTGAGTCGAAGGATCTTCCTAGACCATTCATAATACAAGGACTAATTATCGGGGTGGTCTTTGTAGCGGCTCGATTATATCTTGTCCAGAAGCATTCATTGACCTTTGTTGCTGCTTTAGCAGTTCAATCCAAATATAATGCAAGTGCAAAGCCTAACATATTGCATCAATTTTCCTCAGTTGCCAGGTTTTCTTCCCTCACCTACCATTTTGAGTCATTCACAACTTCTTCAACGATGGACGTGAACATATCCATTATGTGCCCCTCTTCTTTCGCCATCTTGTCTATCTGGCTTTTACAAAGGATTCTTCTCTTGTCATACATTCCAGAACCTCGAGATACACCTTGGAGTATTGCCCCAGAGTCGAAATGGCCAGCGTGATAGGTTTTCCCCTGTTTGACGACGGGAACTTCAACATCCTTATAAACCCCGATATGTACAATCTACATGCGTCGGTTCTGGGAAGCAAATCGCGCTTCTTTGAGGCCGCTTGTGCCAGGATCAATGAGCCTGGACAGCTAGGCGCGACCCGGTTGGTACTTGCCCCATCAACATTGCATGACAAAGGTATCTTCACATTTCAAGTAAGTCTCTATATTCAAGGCTCTCGGGCATTGTGAATGGAACAATATAATAACGAGGATACAAATGCAGACATTCGAGAGCTACAACCGGCAACTTGAAAAAGCGATGTCACGTATCGGTATCGTTTGGCCCGAGACACTTCGCAAACGCTGGGCAAGCATGTTCAGGATAATCTACAATATGGATCCCTTACTCCAGAGTGTGGATTCACAGTCAATAGTCCTGGAAGCCAAGGATCTCGTGCAAATGGCAGATGATATACGGGTTAGCTCGGAGGTCATGAGAGCCCTAGAGACTGCGCTCTTGCGCCTCGATCGGTTGATCTACCATTCCATTTTCTGGCACCCGGCCATTTGGGCTAACCTGGGAATACGAATGCGCTCCGCCGTGATCTACCAAGAAGCCGTGATTCATCTCGTGGGTACATGGAAAGCCTTGAACGCAACGACTATCAATCTCCTCGAACCCTACACTCGTGACCTCTGTCTGAAGAAACACCAAGAGCTCGTTCTGAGAAAGAAGACCGTCGAAAGCCGCATCCTCTGTCACTACCCCGAATCTTTGCACTGCCGCACAGGCGGTAACCTAAGCTGTGCGTCCTACGCAAACAACATCTACATGTGGATGGCCATCTGTTTCTTCCGCCAGTGGTTCAGCCACTCGATCGTGCAGCGCCGTAACTACGTCGCTGACGATGGAGGTGCAGCTCTCTATCGCAAGATCGGGGCTGCGGATGTTTACCTCACGTCTCAGGAAATGAATTACTTCAATCTGAAGTTTCCAATGAGTACCAGGGGGCGTGCTATGTTTGAGGCGAAGGTGCGGGAGTTGAAGGAAGAAATAAGGTCTTTTGTCGATGAGCTTCTCGTCAACAATAGTAGATACACCTTTGATGAACTTCCTCATCTGACCTGCTGTCGCGTTGATGAGGAGGATCTGCCTTGGAATAACGAGGAAGAGGAAGATGACCTCGCAAGCGAAAGCGATGGACAAGGTGAAGCTTTTGTGAAAGTCGACGAAGGCAAGATGTGTTTTGCAACGCAGGAAGCTGTCAACTATAGTAGCGGCAGCACCACGCAATCTGCTCATAGTCACATCCCGGACTTCAACAACATGGATATATATCCAGGCACTCTGGGGTACCCAACTCCATCAGACAATCTCTATCAACCTGGACACCTCCATTTGGTGCCTAATGTCAATTATGGCAATACCGAGAGTTTCTTGACAAGCCAAACGAATCCTTCATTTATGGATTCCCAGTTTGGCTGGTTGATGAATCCGTGATTCATGTCCGCGTTGGGGCCCGGGAGGGGCACTTCGAGTGTTACGCCTTTTCAATTGGGTTGAAAGGGCTTTAAACAAACATGGTAATACGTTTGGTTGTGTTTATGGAGAGAATTGTTTTGTTGAATATTCGACGTTCTAGCCAATCCCGGTGGCTGACATTTGCCGAAACATGGTTGGTACGGCGCATCCGAGGCACTCCACGATGTTCAATGTCTAGTCATTGTAACTGGCTGGGCATAACAGGTTCAGTGTACAGTCGAAAAGGCACCCGGTACTTCCTTATTTGGAAGGTTTTATGTTTTTCGTATTTGGTTTCTGTTTGCTTTATTTTATCCATGGAGCCATTGGGCAGTTGAACGTCTGTAGCTATGGATGGCTATGGGCATTCGCTTTGTTATGTCTTTTACAGTCAGATATTGAATTGGAAATGTAATTTGTTTTTGAATAGAATGTGATTCGTCTGGTTTATGATAAATCCCTATCGAGGCCCATGTACAAATACATAGCAGCGCTTGCAGCTTGCCTACCGTCCCCGCGGAGACTGCAAATTGTGCCCCCACAAGTAGCACCGTAGGGACATGATAGACATGCCCTAATAGAAGAATAAAGTCGAGAACACGAAAGGAAGAAGGATTTGATATCGTAAGTGACGACAATGCTCGATTCCCAGGGTTTGGTCTCTCAAAGACTCCGAGTTAAATACACAGTAAAAGCAAATCCGGATATAACTTCACACGACAATGCACACATCTCCTTCATTCCCTTTTTATTTATTGTCTTTACTGGTCATCGTAGCCTTGCGGGATCGATCGGGGTCCTTGCGGGACTAAATTTTGCAGAAACGGAATATGTTAGCACCCATTCGGAAACGCACAACCATGATCATGAATGACTCGAATAAAGGAAGCACCGGGCACAGGTATCAAGAAGAGAAGAAAAGGTCGTCCTTACTGGGATATGTCAGAGGAATAGGCTGCGGGTCAACATCACCGAAGAACCGACGGATCGGAGGGAGGGCGACCAGCGAAACCGGGCCGGAGCAACCAAGGACCATGGCGTAGAAGATAGCGGGCTTCTCGTGCGAGGCCCAGCGGAGGTAACGGAGAGGACTCGACCAGAAATGAGGGTTCGACATTGTGACCGGTTGTATGGGGAGATTTCGGAATTCGAAGGTTCCTTTTTTTTCCCCCGGCTTCTTTCGCGGGAATTCGAGGAAACGGAGAGTATGTGTGATCAATTGAGTTGAAGCAGATCACACGCGATAAATTATCCCACCGGAGCGAGCGTTGTTGAGGGGGACAGCAGCAGGGCGAAGTTTGCGACGGAGAGGGGAAGATTGGGAACGGAGGTTTGGAGGTGGAAATGGGAAAGTGACGACAGGCGCAGGCGGTCTTGGCGCTCCGTCTCGCAACACGTCGCCCGTTCTAGTATCGATACAGCTGTCGTCGACAACTACTCTCTCTCTTTTTATTGAAATTCGTTTTCTGTTTTATACCCACCCCTCGCTGCGCAAGATATTGCAAGATGCGGTGGTGTCTTTCTTTTCTTCTGTTCTGCTTTTTGGCGGTTGTCCACGCCTTGAGTAGCTCGGGCAATCGTTTAGTGGTGATTCTCGAGGAAGCGGCTGAGAAGGAGCTCTATTCCAGCTTCTGGAGCGACCTGCAAGGTGAGTTTTGTGGAATATTGGGTTGGAATTGATGCTGATAATATTGTGATAGCTCGCGGATACACAATCTCGTTCGAATCGCCCAAGAACAGCAAATTCTCTCTGTTCCAACATGGCGAGAAGGCTTACGACCACCTACTTATCCTCCCTCCCAAATCGAAAGGTTGGACGACTTTACCGAATCATGGAATTAAAGATAACTCGTATCTAATTGAATCGTGGTCGCAGGCTTTGGACCTTCCTTGAGCGCCAAGAACATCATCGACTTCATGAACAAAGACGGCAACGTCCTCCTCGCCCTCTCCGGCAAGACTACAACACCAAGCGCCATCAGCTCGCTATTGCTGGAATTCGACCTCCACCTGTCTAACGACCGTTCGTCCATCGTTCTCGACCACTTCAACTACGACACTGTCTCCGCATCGGAAAAGCACGACGTCCTGCTTCTCCAAAGACCGGGCCAGTTGAGACCCGACACTAAGGCCTTCTTTGACGGCGAAGGCGTCCTAGCTCTCCCTAGGGCTATCCCGCAGACTCTCGGAGACTCCAGCAACATCGTCACTCCTATCCTACGGGCTCCGGTTACCTCGTACAGCTACAACCCCAAGGAGGAATCGTTCACTCCGGAAGATGTCTCGGCAACTGGCTCTCAGCTGGCTCTTGTTTCGGCCATGCAAGCCAGAAACTCAGCTCGCTTTGCTGTTCTGGGATCTGTGGAAAGCTTGGAGGATAAGTGGTTCTCGGCTAGTGTCAAGGCGCCTAAGGACAAGAAGGAAGCCAAGACGGCCAACCAGGAGTTTGCGAAGCAATTGACATCGTGGACCTTCAAGGAGACCGGTGTGCTGAAGGTTGGAAAGATCGAGCACCACCTTGCTGAGGAAGGAGAGATCACTTCCGAGCAGTTGAACCCCTCTCTCTACCGTATCAAGAACGAGACTGTAAGTTGTGCTCTCTATCTATGTGATTGGCAATACTGATGGTGAATCTTTTGCAGGTCTTTAGCATCGAGGTCTCCGAGTACGTTAACGACAGATACGTTCCCTTCGAGGTTCCCGGCGAGGATGCTCTGCAGCTCGAATTCACCATGCTCTCGCCTTTCCACCGCCTCACTCTCCAACCGTCCCTCCGAACGGAAACCAGCACTGTGTACAGCACGCGCTTCACCATTCCTGACCAGCATGGAATCTTCTCCTTCCGTGTCAACTACAAGCGTCCCTTCTTCACCAACATCGAGGAGAAGCACGAAGTTACCGTCCGCCATTACGCGCACGACGAGTACCCCCGCAGCTGGAGAATTAGCGGCGGATGGGTCTGGATCGGAGGTCTCTGGTCTGTGATTGGCGGATTCCTTCTCTTTGTTGTTGTATGGCTCTACTCTGAGCCATCTCCTGCTGCGGCTAAGAACAAGAAGACGCAGTAAGCTATGTAACATCCAGTATAAAGTACATGTTTAAAATGAAAATCTTGTGCCAAAGCGAACGAGCTGGTATCATATATCAAGTCTTTGGTCCTTTTCGGGGAAACCGTATGTAAGTAGAGCACCTGAGGGGAATATATTTGTTATGTACAATCCCTGCGTAATAAAACCCTGATATCGTACACGCATCTCTATAATACCGTCAACTATCCCAGTGAAAACTCCAACCCATGCCAGAAAACACAAGATATATCAAGTGCAACAAAAAAAAGAAGAAAAAAGAAAAACCACTGTCGGAAATCGAATCCCCTCGCTTATAAACCCCTCGTCTTCTCCGGATCCATCTGGACTTCATCCCCGCTGATTTCTTTGACCGTCTCGAACGCCGGCTTACCGGCGTACATCTGCTGGGGCTTGTTGGATTTCCCGCCTTCGATTTCTTTTGACAGGGCGATCGGTTGGTTTCCACGGAATCGTTTGCGCATATCGATCATCCCACGTCTGTGATAATAGCATTGAGTTAGAGATCCGGCTTTCTTTGTATTATCGTTCAACTCATGACCGGGTGTCTCTAACGTACTTGCACTCGCTGAAACCTTTCCGCAACTGTTGACATTTCGTGGGCAATTCTTCGGCCAATGGCGAACTCAGACATTCTCTCGGACTATGGCGCTGGACCATGATGCAATCGGATTCTTGGAGGCATTGCGCCAGGGCGTCTCCTATCAATCAATCACGAGGACATGTTAGAGTGCTGATCGGGTCATGTTTGCGGTCATCCGGCAATGGTGGGTAGGCAGATCTTCCTCTCAAAGACACTGATTTCCAGGGAGGGGTGGAATGACGTACTGATATCTCTGCAGGAACTGGGCATTGTGTTGGTATAGTGCTGACTTGTTCTTGGATAGCGGTGTTTCTCCCAAACGGAAACATAATCATTGGTTCTGCGGCAAAATGTGCCTTTCCCCGGATTAGATAATCATAAATCACATGGGACAAAGACTGTTACCCAGTTACATCATGGAAAATGCCTGCGGTCAAGCTTCAACTTCGCTGTCCTTGTTTTGCTTGGTCGCATTATGGTGATTGACTATATTAATTGCTCTGCGAATCTCGTCTAGTTTGGCTAAAAGAGTGCGCGACGCCTACTTCTCGAAACCCTCGCCATGGCGCGAGTACCAGTGATTGGCAGACTGTATTGGTCTGAATATCTCGCTCTCATTGGGTCTTTTATTTTGATGTTTTCAGGATGGATCATTCATCTTATCACATTCTGTCTTCGTGAGTAGGCCATGTCGCGTTTTGCGCCTGGATTGTGTCTTTGGGAGCATTTGTTATGGTTTCTCCTGAGGCATTGAGAAAAGGGGCTGATTAGAAGACTACAGCTGATCCGGTCATTCGCTTCTTCTACAATCGATCGAAACGAATCTTCACGGCCCTTGTTGCTCCCGAGAAAGACACACGCGACAAAAAGAACAACTTTGCCACTTCAATTGCGCAGGCCTCGGACTTTGCGGATATCTGCGCACTGTTCGGTTACGAAGCCGAGGAACACATCGTCCAGACCAATGATGGATATCTACTGGGCCTCCATCGCTTAGCGTATCGGAAAGGAGAAGAAGGGACCAGGGTAAATCAGGGCGAAGGGAGTACCCGCAAGAAGGTCGCCTATCTGCACCATGGACTTCTCATGTGCAGCGAGGTTTGGGTCTGCCTGACGGACGAGCAACGATGCCTACCCTTCCAACTGGTAGAAAGAGGATATGATGTGTGGCTGGGAAATAACCGGGGAAACAAGTATTCGAAAAAGTCGGTCAAGCACTCACCGTTAGCGAATGAGTTCTGGGATTTCTCGATCGATCAGTTCGCCTTTTACGATGTCCCCGACAGTATCGAGTATGTTCTTAAGGTGACGGAACAGCCTTCGCTGTCGTATATTGGATTTTCGCAAGGAACCGCACAGGCGTTTGCTGCTCTTTCTATCCACCCGACGCTGAACCAGAAATGCGACGTCTTCGTGGCGCTGGCGCCCGCAATGGCGCCCTCGGGTCTGTCGAACCGCATCGTGGACTCTTTGATGAAAGCCTCTCCAATCTTTCTGTTCCTCCTCTTCGGTCGACGCAGCGTTCTTAGCTCTACAACAATGTGGCAAAGCATCCTCTACCCACCGCTCTTCGTCTGGATCATGGATTCGTCGCTATCAGTACTCTTCAACTGGAGATGCAAGAACATCCACCTATATCAGAAACTAGCCGCATATTTCCACCTTTTCTCCTTCACCAGCACGAAGTCAGTGGTTCACTGGTTCCAAATCATCCGGAACCGCAGTTTCCAATTCTACGACGACGAACTTCAGTCTCCTTTGAGTCTTGTGGCCACGGCGCGGTTCTACAAGCCCGTCAAATACCCCATCAAGAACATCAAGACACCGATCGTTCTGCTCTACGGAGATAGCGACAGTCTCGTTGATATCGATTCAATGCTTAATGGACTGCCGAGGGGAACTGTTGCGAAACCGATTCCCACATACGAACATCTCGACTTTTTGTGGGCCAATGATGTTGACAAGCAAGTTTTTGGTGATGTCTTTGAGGCACTCGAGCGGCACAGTATCCGCAGTGGTGTATCGTCTAACGGACCCATTGAAGTGAAGGCCCGTAGTCATGCTAATCCTGATATCAATGGCCATTCTGACAAGGGTGTTAAGGCCACTCACTGATCTATGCTCCTATCCGCTTCTAGGCATTTGTCCATAATTTACTGATATTTCTTGCTTTTTCCGGATTTCGGGATTATTGGAATTCTACTTGGGATTCCCTGGAAATGTACATACGTCGGGACCCGGTGTTAGATACTGCATGATACTTACTGCTCTTGTGGTTATTGAATAGATCTACGGTGTACCTAGTACTTACTCGCGTGGTACACAAGCCATGCCGCGTAAATCATATCAGAACATGTCGTGATATTCGGGTATATCTTGCCTCCTCTCCGTAGGCTATATATAGATATCTAAAGTCATATTTCGCTTAGCGACAGCTACCCAACAAGGACCTCGGAGCCGGAATATAATAGCTATACCCATGTGACTTTGACCTCTGACCTTTTCTTCTTAACCGAGCTCAACTAACACCCTAGCACTAACCTATTGATAGCGATAGTCGATATATCCCGTAGGAGCTCGGACACATTGGGCATCAAGCATCAACCACAGCCGTGGACGGCGCACAGTGCGCAACCGGCCCGTCCCCCCTCCCTTGCTGTTGTTGTACGGAGTACGAAATTTCAATAGCGCATTGGCTGTGGGAGTGCTTGTCTTTGGTATTTGTATTTATCTCTCAGTTACTCAGTTCTGCAGGATTACGAATCGGAATGTCAATTGGGTCTGGAACTCAGTGGAATGCTGGGGTATGTATCTCAACCACAACCACAACCACTACCACAACCACACCCCAGACCGGTTGGCATGTGGTCGCAGGGTAGGGATGTTTGGTAGATAGCATCAAACATAAATGTTCACTCGTATCTGTACCCGTACCAAAGGTTCCATCCTCGTCCAACCTGGGGATGCGCATGCAATTTGTCGATAGTTGGGCTACCGCTTCCCCGAAGAAATAAATGAAAAATAAAAAGAGAAAAAAGAACGAACCGAAAGATCCAGACGCATCCATGCTTGGCTAGGATGAATTTCGACTGGACTGGGTAAATGTACCGATGGGCCTACAGGATGGATTGCAGAGTTGATAGGTAACAGAGCCCCGGTGACGTATAAACGGTATCCAATGGTCAATGACTTGCACATGTTTCAAGGCCTGATTCAAGGTCTAACTCGGGTGTGTGTAGAAGGGAAGAAGAAAAAAGCAAAGGAGAGAGAATAGAGCATATGGATCTGGGCTGTACAACCGCTAAGCGATGGTTATGTAGGTGGTATTGCATCAGAAATGGTACTGCAGATGATGTCTCGACCCGGGAAGACAGAGTACTTCACATCTGCCCTGTTTCTTTCCATCGGACTGACTCTCGACTCTCTTAAATGCGAATAGCCCGTATCGAGTGAGGGAGACAAAGAGAAAGATTCTCTGTTCATCGTGATTTAGTCTACTTACCTGGAGAAAAGGAACTGTTGCGGTAAGTGACGCTTTATTTCCTTCTCTGCTCCGTTCTTTTTATATTCCCATCGTATTCCCATCGTACTTCCTCGTTTTCGTTTTGAAATGAGTGGTCAATCCTCCCGCTCAAGCCAGCGTATGGGCAAAATGTCGGTCTTTTCCCGGAGAGCTCCCTCCAACGAGATAGGAGCTGGAATATTCCCGGAAAAAAGCCAAGAGCGATGTCCATTCCATCACGATAGTCACATCATTATCATGGAGAAGAAAAGCATTCCCCTGAACCCCCGATGGGCACATTGCCAACTGGTCACACTTCCTGCTGCAGCACGCAAAGCGGACTAACCCGGGCGATCTCCAAGCACCAGCAGGACCGACAACATTCTTTCTCTGATTGGGAAAACTCCGTGGCTCTTCGCGCGTTTTTGCTGGCCGTTAAGGTTTGCTCGCGGATATTGGATCGCCCGTCTGTGTCCGCACAAAATTCGACGCTTCTCACCGCCGCCCAACGACCGTCGTGCCCAGTCCTATCCCAGTTCCCTTCGTCCTCACCATCACGAGGGGGTACTATTGTCGTCTTCTTTTTCTTTTTCTTTTGCTTATTTTTGTTGCTGTCCCTGAATTGGACTGTGCTCTTCTTTGTGAGTGTATTGTGGTGGCTTTCTCCTGCAGACCGACTCCCAAACCTGATTCAGTTTTAGCCTCCGCGGAACTTGGCCCGATCTGTTGACATCAATCTGTCGAGAGAGCAATCGCTCCTTCCCGTCGAAACAACCAACCACCACCACCATTTTGCCTCCCGTCGCTGTCTTGAACCAATTGACCCTTTTCCCCGACCGATAAAGGCGTTGTTCGCGGCCTCTGTCGACTCAAATTCCTCCGAGGGGATCGTCAGCCCTGAAGACCGATGTAACGATCGCGTGTCGTTGCCCTTGCTTTACCGGCGGCATTCTTCCCCCTCCGGGATATCGAGATACACACATAATCGATCCTTCGTTGATCGCGACATTGCATTGCATATCGGAACAGGCGATATACAATCGGATTGGCGCGCGGTTCCGGTGGAATCATACACTTTCTCGAGAGACGTCAATTCCATTACGGTCACTGGTCAATTCGCAGTCGAAGTCATACCTCGGCATACTTCCTCGGAATAATACACCCACATTGTTCACTACACTCCGACATTTTTTTCCTTTCCTGGGCTTCTGGTTTCTCTTTTCTGAGTCGAAAAATCACCGCTGCTATTCTCAATGAGGCCGCAGTAAGTCGATGAACTCCGGGACCCTTCAATGGTCGCATACTTGTTACAGGATAGACTCTAATCATTGGATTTATATCAGACGGGAATATCATATTGTTGTACTAGGTGCTGGTAGGCATTGACTGGCTCGTCTCAAGAAAAAGGAAAGTGACGCCCTGCTAATGTCACTATTTCTGCGCTATAGGTGGTGTTGGGAAAAGTTGTCTTACTGGTTCGTATATCCTTGTCGTTTGTAGCCCTCATTTACATCTTTGTCTTTGCTGTTACTTATGAAGTGGCCTATTCTCATTGTGCCCATTGCTTTCGCATGCTAATTCTTCTTGCAGCTCAATTCGTCCAAAATGTCTGGATTGAAAGTTATGATCCCACGATTGAGGATTCCTATCGTAAACAGATGGAAGTAGATGTAAGTGTTGACTATCGCTCCTTTCCGTCCTGTGTTGCTAACTTCATACAACAGGGACGACAATGTATACTGGAGATGTATGCACCGTGACCCACTTCCCGTGGAAGTGACAGTCGTTATCCACCTGTGTACATATCACTAACTGACGTCTTCTCCCCACAGCCTTGACACTGCAGGGACGGAACAATTCAGTAAGTTTGTCACTCGTGTTGACCTGATTAGATGTCCACTAACACGCCTTACAGCTGCTATGAGGTAAAAATCCTGTTTCACTTACTCTTGCGTCGACATGTGGTAATGTGACACCAATACTGACATTGCACAGAGAGTTATACATGAAGCAAGGTCAAGGCTTTCTGCTCGTATTTTCAATCACCAGCATGTCATCCCTACACGAGCTCTCAGAACTGCGAGAGCAAATCACCCGAATTAAAGACGATGAAAACGTCCCTATCGTCATCGTCGGGAATAAATCTGACCTCGAGGAAGATCGCGCAGTTCCCCGTGCTCGCGCATTTGCACTTTCCCAGACCTGGGGAAACGCCCCTTACTATGAAACTTCGGCTCGTAGACGAGCCAACGTCAACGAAGTCTTTGTTGACCTCTGCCGGCAAATCATCAGAAAGGACACAGAAGGGAACGGAAAGTCTTCCGATGCATTAAGATCACGGGATGGCCCGAATCGTCATGACCGAAAGCGCGATAAGAAGCGCCAAACGGGACGCCGGTCACCCTGTGTGATCCTATAGAGGTTGCTCGAAGCGACTACCACCATATCCACACCTATACAACAACCACATCCTCCACCATCGTTCATCCGTTTAAACCATATACATATCCTGATATCTCATTTCAATCGCTTCGCCACGTTGGCACACATCATCACCGGCATACAGTCATACACCCATACATCTACAAACCAACCCCCTAATCGTTACTTTCACTTCACTAATATCCATCGATCGAACCTTGTCCATACTCGCTTATATCATACGCATCACCCTCATACAATCATATCATACGCCGTCTACGTTTTACCATTTAACCGTCTACCTACCAATTTACCTCAATATGATAGATTTATGTTCATTCTGATTCTGACGTTCCTTTGTTCCGTTGCTGTTTTGGAAGAATATATGTTTTTATTTACTACACGCCCGAACCTGATCTGTCCTGCTTATTTTATGTCTATGGAATGGGAAAAGTTCTTGTTCGTGTTCTCGTTTCGTTCTACTATCTGTGATGTAAATCTAGAAAAAACGATTGTATCAATCAATGTAAGTTGAATTGGTAATATCTACTGTCACATCTACCTGTACAGAGTACCATATGAATCATCACATCCGGAAGACCCCAAACCGCGTCTGTACATCCTCAACTCTACCACCCAGCGCAGCCGCCAGACTCAATCCCAACACGCGTCTTGTCTGCGCCGGAGGAATGACACCGTCGTCCCAGAGCCTTGCAGAGGAGAAGATCGCTTCCGATTCACGGTCAATACGCGCCTTCAGTTCCGGGTCTGCGGTGCGTCCGACGGCTTCCATCACGGCGGATAATTGCTCGGAACCCATGACACCGATTTTGGCGTTGGGCCACATGAAGAGAAGGCGAGGTGAGTAGGCGCGGCCGCTGAGTTAAGTTAATATATGTATGTATAAACGAGCTCAGACTGGGGTTGGTGACACTTACCACATTCCATAGTTTCCAGCACCCGCACTCGAACCAAAGACAACAGTGAACTTGGGAACATCGGCACAAGCAACTGCAGTCACCAATTTGGCGCCGTTCTTTGCGATACCGCCCTTCTCTGCATCGGCACCGACCATGAAGCCAGAGATATTCTGGAGGAAGAGTAAGGGGATCTTTCGTTGAGCACATAGTTCAATGAAATGGGCTCCTTTCAGTGACGACTCAGAGAAAAGGATACCGTTGTTGGCGACGATGCCAACCTGGTGTCCGTAGATTCTGGCAAATCCAGTAATGAGCGTGCTGCCGTAGTCGCGCTTGAACTCTGCGAATTCACTTCCGTCGACGATGCGAGCGATTACCTCGTGAACTGGGATCTGTCGACGGAGGTTTGTTCCGACAATACCATCGAGCTCATTCGGGTCGTAGAGTGGTTCCTTGATTGCTATGCCCTTGAATAGCTTTGACGGGACGCTGGTTTGCGGATAGTTGAGGTTCGCTACCGATCTCCGAGCCAATACAAGGGCATGCGCGTCGTCGACAGCCAAGTAATCCGTCACGCCCGAGACCGAACTATGAAGCTGACCACCTCCTAGATTCTCTGCGGAGACCTCTTCACCTGTTGCGGCTTTGACCAGAGGAGGTCCAGCTAGGAAAATAGTCCCTTGGTTTTCAACGATGATCGTCTCATCGCTCATAGCCGGAACATAGGCGCCTCCAGCCGTACATGGACCCATGACAACGGATATTTGGGGGATACCCAACGAGCTCATTCGCGCCTGGTTGAAGAAAATACGTCCAAAGTGCTCTTTGTCCGGGAACACGTCCGCCTGGTGGGGTAGGTTGGCACCTCCGGAATCAACGAGATAGAGACATGGGAGTTTATTCTCTTGGGCAATGGCTTGCGCGCGTAGGTGCTTCTTCACCGTGATAGGATAGTATGTTCCTCCCTTGACGGTGCTGTCGTTCGCCACAATCATGCAGGTAATACCCTCCACAGTTCCGATTCCCGTAATTATTCCTCCCGCAGGGACATCCTCCCCGTACATCTCGTGACCTGCCAGAGGAGATAATTCCAAGAAAGACGTGCCGGGGTCGATCAAAGAAGTAACCCGATCTCGTGGCAGCATTTTCCCACGGGCAATGTGTTTATCCTTTGCTTTCTGTGGTCCCCCCTGTGCAATTGTACCGTGTAGGTTAGACATTTTGCTGACTAGCTCTTTCATCTGTTGCTCGTTTTCACGGAAGTCGGACGACGAGGTGTCCACGGCGGTAGGCAGGACGGAGATTGCAGAGGCATGGTGCGGATGTGTGTAACCGGCAATTGTTCTTCTGGCAGTTCGTTGGATAGTTGTTGCTCTTGGAGCTCGAGATAGGAGTAGCCGTTGCGAATGAGGGAGAAGCACTGTTGCTCTGGAGCTAAAGCTCCGAAGAAGCGGAGAGGGAGCACGCATTGCGGAGATAGGAATGGGGTGTTTTGTTAGTTAAGACACATCCAGAGCCAGCTGAAAAATGCCCTTCTTACTGTTCAAATTCGGATGAAGACAGTAAGGACACAGAAGCGGATATAAAGAGTGAAAGACCAAATTACTGTAGGAGCTCATCCCCGGATTGCGGGGAAGGCGATGATTACCGCGTTTAGCCGCGGCATTCTGCATAGACGCCATAAATGCTCTTTTCCTTTTATGCTTTTCCGCCTAATATTCAACATCTACTCTATCCTTGTTCTTCATTATGGCCGCGGTATCAAGTCTCCCTTTTGCTCTCCGGGGCTCCTCCAGAGTCCTATCTAGATCGCGGAAGCCGCTCCTCCACCGCATCCCCGCAATTCGGCCGCTGTCAACCAAGCATCCGAAAGGCTTCGTTGCACCGACGGAGGATGAGTTGCAAGAGCTCCGGGAACGAGTTCAAGAGTTTACCAGTGGGTGCTCACAGTGCTGAAAGGCTATGGTTTGGTATCTCCTGCTGATAATGGCACAATCCAGGGCGTGAGATTCCCGAAGATGTTGCGACTCGGACAGACGCAGAGAATGAATTTCCGGCAGAGATGTGGAAGAAATTGGGTAATGCTGGGTATGTATATAGAGCATTTTATGGGCAATGTGATGCTGACTCTATCGTCAGATTCCTAGGAGTAACCGCAAACGAAGAATATGGCGGACTCGGGATGGGCTACCAGGCTCACTGCGTGGTGATGGAAGAGATTAGCAGAGCATCAGGTACTTGCTTCCCGCGGTCAGCTTTAAAATACCTGTTTCTGATGGTATCCAGGAAGCATTGCCCTATCCTACGCCGCCCACTCCCAACTCTGCGTGAACCAACTATCTTTAAACGGAACTACCGAACAGAAAGAACGATATCTACCTGGTCTCCTTTCAGGCGAGAAGGTCGGTGCGCTTGCCATGTCTGAGCACTCAGCTGGTTCCGATGTTGTCAGTATGAAAACGTCTGCAAAAGAAGTTGATGGTGGCTGGGTGTTGAATGGCACCAAGATGTGGATTACCAATGTGAGTTCCAATTGAACTCTACCTTGATATCTTGACCATTGCTAATGTGCCTTTGTAATTCCCAGGGTCCCGATGCGGACTATGTCGTCGTATACGCTAAGACAGAGCCGGAAAAAGGATCGAAAGGCATTACCGCGTTCGTGGTAGAAACGACTTCCGAGGGATTCTCATGCGCGCAGAAGCTTGATAAGTTGGGTATGCGTGGCTCCAACACAGGAGAGCTCGTCTTTGACAACGTCTTCGTGCCCAAAGAGAACATCTTGGGTGAGATCAACCGGGGCGTCAAGGTGCTGATGGAGGGCCTTGACCTTGAGCGTCTCGTCTTGAGCGCCGGACCTTTGGGGTAAGTGAAGCCAAACACGTCCACCCCTTTGTCGAAACCGATATGCTGACAGATTATCCAGTATCATGCAAGCATCCCTTGACCTCGTCCTCCCCTATACCCACCAACGCAAGCAATTCGGATCCCCCATCGCACACAACCAGCTTATCCAGGGTAAACTGGCAGACATGTACACCAAGCTCTCTGCATCGCACGCATACACATACACCACAGCACGACAGATCGACAACAGTGCTTCGTCTCCAGAATTCAAAATCCGAACCCAGGACTGCGCGGGTGCTATTCTGTACGCTGCAGAGAGAGCTACGGAATGTGCCCTGGATGCTATTCAACTCATGGGTGGCACTGGTTATATCAATGAAGTTCCTGCTGGAAGATTGCTTCGGGATGCGAAGTTATATGAGATCGGTGCTGGGACGAGTGAGATTAGGCGTATGGTTATTGGGCGTGCATTCCATAGAGAATACTCCTAGTCGTTTTATTTTGTTGTAAACCTGAAGAGCCGAAAGGATATGACGGATAGATAATATTAAATCATGTCTAGCAAATGTCGTCTATATTACAATTTTGATCATTAAATGCCTTCTTTCCTTTCTCTTCAACATAGCCCTCTCAAGATGGATCCATATGTTAGATCACTATTTCTGACTTCTCGTTTGTCTAGCCGACCTCCGTACAGGCCCAGATGCTGGCGCTGGCTGTGTGTCTTGGTCAGCCGCCACGCGTTTCGACTTGCGTCCTTTAGTATCCTGAGCAGACTGGTCCTCGTCAATGGAGATAGATGCCTTGCGCTTTCTACCCTTCACAGGCGACGAAGCGGGAGGCGGGGGTCCTGTCGAAGTATTACTGTTATTTTCGTTATTAGGTGGGGCGGACTGTTGCGAATGATCATTGTTTGCCGGTAAGTCGTTTACCGAGGTCGGATTCATAGTCTTGTCATCTTGCACAGAGGGCGGAGAGACGGATTTCTCCAGAGTCGTATTCGAGGCATAACCTCCAGACCCACTGTCTCCCGGAGTTCGGTCAGTGCTGACATCCCTTGACGTCTCATCTTCCACCATGAGATCTTTAACTGGACCCGAAGGCGCAAATTCCGGAACAGAATTATCAAGATAATCAAGTACTTTCTGTTGTCTCCATGCCCGGGAACGGCCGAACGAGGGATGGGAGTTCTTGAAAACTTCCCGCCAGTTTTTGAGTAATGCGACCTTTTCCCCTTCGCCTGGTGCCATGACCTGAACCGGGTTCTTTTCGTGCTCTGGTCGTTTCCAGACGACGCTCTGGAAAGATGTCGGGTTTGGCGCCTGGGATGAAACGACTCGAGTAGTACCCCCTCCTCCAGTTTGTATATCGTTGCTTTGTTTCCGTCTCCGTATCGTCTGGGGACCTTGACCGGCTGGTTTCCGGTTGGCTAGTTCCGCTGCACGTTGTCGTCGCTTAACCGTCGGGTCCTCGTCGTAATAGTCGTCGGAAAGTTCGTCCCAGTCGCTGTAGTACTCGTCTACATCGAACGTCGGGTCTTCAAAGAAAACGGCATCGTAAGTTGCTGTCGCGGCCAGGTCGTCCTGTATCATTGGTAGTCAGCACATCAACTCTTGGTGAAAATCGCAAGTCTGTGATATAAGGGAAAGGCACAGTAGAACTAACAGCTGCATCAGGTTCAGGCTCTTCGATCCAGAAGATGTCGTCAAACTCGTCGTAGTATTCGTCGTCAGACATGACGAGCGCTCTTTATAGCAGCAAATTGACAACTCAAGAATCCCGTTCGATATCGCGAGATAATAAACGCAAAGTATTGATCACCTTTTCAATAAGGAGATCAATATAACGCTGTTCGATAAAGCGCGTGGCCCGAGGATCGTCCGTCAGAAAAAGGATCGTGCCTACACACGCAGACAGTAAGAGACCCGGAAAATCAATATAAACGGCGTAAAAAGGGGAAGCCAGTATAAGCCAATCTAAGCCAATCTAAGCCAATCTCGACGTAGAGCGAATGTATTTGATCCGTGCTGGCTGCTGTGGTGCTGTGCAGAGGGAAGAAAGACGCGAAAAAAAACGGGGCCGAAAGTTTCGGTCGATCGCGAGTCACGTGTATTTCCCCGCAGTTTCGCTTTCCGTCGGCTAAAGAGCATTGAATAGCTATTGCCGGGGTTGCTTCAGGATGTTCTTTGAACTTCCCTGGGATTGTTTCTTGAGACTTCATCGCAGTTGTCGATTTATATGATATGCTTATTTGCTGAGATACCCATCATCGAGCCTTGTTCATGACTTCTATCTAGCATTATCTACAATGCCACTCTCACCGTTTCTCCGCATTACTCCCCGCCTGGGGCCGACTGTAGCTCGGAGGTCGAAGAGAGCTGCTTCCACGCTTTCGTCGAGTGCAGCAGAGTCACGATCCTCACTCGATTCAATTCTCATCGCAAATAGAGGTGAAATAGCTTTGTATGTTTGCATACAGATAGGTATCACCAATCAATTGACCATTGCTGATTAACTTGATGCTAGACGAGTCGGACAAACTGCTTCACAGCATGGCATTCGAGTTACTACGCTATACACAGACCCGGATAGTCGATCCCAGCATGCGTTGAGCTCCCCTTTTGCGTTCAATTTGGGATCCGTTTCGGCCTACCTCGATGGAGATCGGATTATAGAAATTGCGAAGAGAGAGGGTTGTCAAGGGATACATCCTGGTTACGGCTTCGTGAGTACGAACTAAAACGAGGAGATGTGTTTATGAGGCTTATAAAAGCAACGGTGGTATAGCTTAGCGAGAACTCTGCATTTGCACGGAAATGTACGGAAGCTGGGTTGGTGTTCATTGGCCCTCCGTGGAAAGCTATCGAAGACATGGGGGACAAGAGGTAAGCCATACCATTTTACTCAGATATTCTTCAAGAATCATGTACTAATAGTGGCAGTCGGTCTAAGGAGATCATGACGGCTGCTAATGTACCCTGTGTACCTGGCTACCATGGCCAAAATCAAGACCCCAACTTCCTCGAAGCCGAAGCGGACAAAATCAAATACCCTGTGCTCATAAAGGCCATCAAGGGCGGCGGTGGCAAAGGCATGCGCATCGCCTCGTCAAAGTCGGAATTCCAGGCTCGGCTACAATCAGCAAAATCCGAGGCCATGAACTCGTTCGGCGATGACCACGTCTTGGTGGAGAAGTATATCACCACACCGCGACACATTGAAGTCCAAGTCTTCGCAGACAAGCACGGTAACTGCGTCGCCCTCGGAGAAAGAGATTGCAGTATCCAACGTAGACATCAGAAGATCCTCGAAGAGTCCCCTGCTCCTGACCTTCCTGATGCGACAAGAAAAGATATCTGGGCTAAAGCAAGATCTGCTGCCTTGGCCGTTGGCTATGAAGGCGCTGGCACGGTTGAGTTTATCTTCGACAACGATACTGGAGAATTCTTCTTTATGGAAATGAACACCCGACTTCAGGTCGAGCACCCCGTTACTGAGATGGTTACTGGCCAGGACCTGGTTTACTGGCAAATCAAAGTGGCCGAGGGTACAAAGCTCCCATTAACCCAGGACGAGGTGGAAGCCCAAATGGCCAGCCGTGGACATGCCATTGAAGCTAGAATTTATGCAGAGAATCCTGACCAGGGGTTTATTCCTGATTCGGGGCGTCTGGTCCACGTCCGCACACCAGCAATCACAGAGGATACTCGAATCGATGCAGGCTTCGTCGCCGGGGATGAGGTGTCGGCACACTATGATCCTATGATCGCAAAGCTGATTGTGCGGGGTGCAACACGAGAAGAGGCAATCCGCAAGCTCTCAGCTGCACTGGAGGAATACGAAATTGCCGGTCCTATTACCAACATCGAGTTCTTGAAGGCTGTCTGCAAAAACGACGATTTCATTGCAGGTCAGGTTGAAACGGGTTTCATCGAGAAACACCGGGAGGGATTGTTCGCCAAGGGTACCATTGGAGACGAGGTGCTCGCACAAGTCGCATTGGCCTGTTTATACCCCGACACCGCTGACAGCTCGCGAAAGCTGGCTAACTTTGAAGGGTCTGCGGTGGGATTCAGTCCAAGTTACCAGCAACGGCAGTTCACCTTCGAAGACACGCATTCCGGGTCTAAGGACGGCACAACATTCGATGTGCGAATCCAACAGACAAGCGACAACCTATTCAGTGTGAAGGTTGGGGACCGAGTATTCGAGCCAGTGTTCAGCCATCGCAACCCCGACTCGCCAGTGATCACCTCATTCTTTCCCCACACACGTCTAGACACCACGGTGATCCGGGATGAAGACTCTATTATCGTATTCCAACAAGGTACCCAGTATCGATTGACGCTACCACGGGCGAAATGGATGGAGAAGGCATTGGGAATGAAGGATGTGTCCAACAGTGTGTTGGCACCAATGCCGTGCAAAATTCTGCGTGTGGAGGTACAGGCGGGCGACGCGGTAGAGAAAGACCAACCGTTGGTGGTTATTGAGAGCATGAAGATGGAGACAGTCATCCGTAGCCCACAGCGGGGGACGATTTCACGGGTGGTGCATCAAAAAGGAGTAAGTCAAGACGAAATCATTTCCCTTTACCCCCGGTTGGACCACTACCTTTCCCGCTTCCTGCGCGAATTATTTGAAATGGTGTCCGTAAGGTTGGATCCATTGAAGACGACGAGGAATTAGTCTGTTCTGGGCTGCGTTGGCCGAGCCGGTCGCTGTCAGCCGAAATCGGGAATGAGAAATTTTTGTGGTCCGAGTCGGGTAACCTTCACCTTTTGCGGGGTGTGGGGAAAAGGCACGGACCCGGCCCGATTAAGCTTCCATGGATGTTCTTCTGGCTTTCCAGGCCGAATTCGGCTATCTCCGCCTCCTGCCATTTTAGATTCACCACTCACCCGACTCACCCCCCCACACACTAAAAAAAGTCTTTTGAGCTAACACATGCCTTGCAGGACCAATGCAAGAGCGGGACTCCCCTCGTCGAATTCGCGGATGAAGACGGTGGCTAGAAAAGAGCGGACAATGTGGTGTTTCTGGAAAAAGGAAAGTCGGAGGAGAGCTGCGACTTACGGGAGGACAGACCGGAGAGTGAAGCGTTTTAGTGGAGCATCCTGTATCAGTGCAGAAGTGATGAGTCAATTGAATGGTCTCATTGGGCGATTGTCGTCACTTGCTGGAGAACCGGTCTAAGTTTGAAGCAGCTGATGCATGTAACCTCGGTGCCCCGTGCTCTGTACGGAGTGCCGCATACAAATATTTTGCACGGAATTCTCATATTATTTGTAGATACTTGCTTCAATGGAATTCGGGATTATTATCATGTTGTACAGGTACTCCGTACTACCCCGGGATTCTCACTACATCATGTATGGATCTTGTCCGCAGGTGAAATTGATACAGCTGAATCTGCCCCACACACCACATCCTATCATTGCGGCTCCAATATGGGGATGGACAAGTCCAGAGTAAGCGGCATGCAGAGTACGAGTCTGGCTTACCAGGGTCAGCGATAGGTGGCAAAGCAATCCCAGGAACTGAACTCATACCCCTGGATATCCTTAGATAGCTATTTTTATTCTGACTCTTGTTCTGGATAGGCTGTTAGTTATATCCTTGTACCGGAATGCAGATGATACCATCCGGCAAAGAATTACTATCTAATGAATCCCCTCAGGTCACATGGGCAATCCAGCTGCAGGTCGCTTGGGCCCAGGCCAGCGAGTGACATCACGGGGCCCGCCGCACGCTCCAATGGTACTGACAGCTGCCCACTCTTTCTCGGGGCCAGCTCTCCCCAATATTCACCGCAACTGTGGGTATCTATACAAACATGTATTACACTTCTGAATAATCACCAAAAAGCAATCATGTCAATTGACCCGGGTCAGAATTTTCACCGGCCTAGAGCTTATAAATAACCGTTTCTATGCAATTCACATCCTGCTTCTTCGTGCTCATTCCAACTATACGCTCTCATTTTTACGTATTCTAGTGCCCCTTGTTCTTTGTTTGCAATTCCTCCTTATACCCTTCTCTCCCCTCGTACTCTCTTCCAGAATAATCCAATTCCTCTCTAACAACCGTCTTCACAATGTTCAGGCCAACCATTGCCCGTCAGGCCCTCAAGGCCCTCAAAACCTCTGCGCGTCCCTCCGCATTCGCTGCATCCTCTTCCTCCCTCCGCTCGTCCTTCGTCCGTCCACTCTCCTCCTCCATCCCCCGTACCAAAGACAACAAGAAGGATCCCAAGAATGGCTTCCTGGAATCCGCTACAACCAAAGCCCCCCAGGGTGCCTCTGGTGAGCAGGAGGGTAAATACGCTCGTACCGACGAGGATATCGTGATCCCGTATCCTGATGATGCCCATATGCCGGCCCAGCCTATCGTGCAGGGTCGTGGGGGGATGCACTTCAAGCGGACGCTGGCTCAATTCTCCCTCGAGAACAAGGTTACTGTGGTTACTGGTGGTGCTCGTGGTTTGGGGTTGGTTATGGCCCAAGCTATTGTTGCCTCGGGGTCTGATATTGCCATTGTTGATTTGAACAGTATGTTTATGGCCGATGTTGAGACAGGCAATGCTAATACCTGGCAGAGGAGGAGGCGGAGGCTCAAGCTAAGGAGCTGGTGGACACATTCCGGAGAGAGAACCCTGGCTTGGAGCAGTACGTGAACCCGCACTGCTTGATTCGTTGATATGGACTTGTAAGCTGACTAGTTTGCCAGAATGCCCAAGGTCACTGCGCACTACTCCGACGTTGCCAACCCGGATTCCGTCAGCGCATCGCTCCAGGAGATCATTGACCAGCACGGTCGAATTGACAGCTTGGTCACCTCCGCCGGTTTCACGGAGAACTTCGATGCCATCTCGTACCCCTACGACCGTATGCAAAAGCTATGGGGTGTCGTCGTGGACGGTACCTACCTGTTCTCGATTGGTGTTGCCAAGCACCTGATGGAGCGTAATGCTTCGGGGAGCATTGTGATGATTGGTAGCATGTCTAGCTCCATTGTCAACATTCCTCAGCCCCAGGCTCCGTACAACGCTGCCAAGGCTGCTGTTCGTCATCTTGCTTCGTCTTTTGGTGTTGAATGGGCGGGTTCCAACATCCGAGTGAACTGCATCAGCCCTGGATACATGCTGACTGCTCTGTACGTGTCGTGCCTTCTATATGTTTTCGATTTGAATAGAGTACTAACATGTAACAGCACCCGCAAGATCTTGGATGAGAACCCCGACCTCCGCGAGAAGTGGACTTCGCTCATTCCCCTCGGCAAGATGGGAGACCCCGAAGACCTCATGGGTGCGGTTATCTTCCTCCTGAGTGACGCATCCCGTTACATGACCGGTGCTGAGATCCGCGTCGACGGTGGCTACACCTTGACTTAAGGGTCGATATTCTTCCTCTTTCGATGGCGTTCAATAAATACCCCTGATGCCCTGAGGATAGGGCTGGTTTCACGGAAGCGATATAGAGCGGTTGATGTGTTATGCAGTTTTTCGTTTAATATTTGGTCTTTCGGTAGAAAAAAAGTTATAATGCGTGACGTCATTGTTATTTGAAAGTCCAGACTCTTCATGTGACGATGGAACGGACTTTAGCCTCATTTTAAATTTCTTACCCCGGAGATCCCCGGTTTGAGATCTCCACGTTTACCGAAGCACTTTTCTGCAGCGTAGTTGGTAACCAGGTACAACCCACTGCGTACCCCAATGCACTTTGTACACCACAATGATATTTCCCCCGTAGAACAACCCGCGGGTAACATCCATGGCAATTATTTCCGCACCATGTACACTCGTTCTACACAACAAATATGCCTATGATCTCAATCGATGACCAGCCATGACGGGCAACGGGACTCCGTTTGACGCGTCCCTTTGTTCACGCGCTGGAACTGCACTCCAGCCGCAATGGAAATTTTCCCCTCGTATTCCCATTATAGACTGGTCTAGAAAGGAGGTTGCATTCACTTATTCGTCCCCCAGCCCAGCGCTGAGCTGAGCTGAGTGAGCCCCGCGAAATCATGTAGAGTCATCTTCCTAGAAAATAGATCTCCCTCTGATCATCCACTTCTGCTCTACTCTGCACAGTAGACACAAAAATGGACCTCCCCAAAGGCCTCGTGACCACATCCACCAGAATCCCCTCCCACCTCGAAGATCCCAATGTGATAGACGCCCTTGGTATCGCACGGCTATGGAAAGGTAAAGCCCACCCTCCCACTCTCTATTGACAACAGACTTTGTTTGTTTGTTTTTTTCTTTTTCTCTTTTTTTCTTTTCTTTTCTTTTTCCAAATACTAAGATCTGCAGTCTATCACACAAACCCCGCAGTCCACAATAACGACTCAGGTCACCGCCTGGAGAACTTTTTCTGGAGAGTCTGGGGCAACGAGCGTCTGCGGTGTTCATTGCGAGGAGAGACGTTGGCCACGCTGTTTGTCAATATTGCTGAGTCGCAAGCGCAGAAACTCTCGTCTTCTTCTATTGTGAAGCTAAAGCCGTTGGGAAAGGTATTATTACTTTTTCATTTCTTCAGGAGATCTGGCTGACGAAATGAAATCCCCCATCTAGATGTCCAGCGAACTTACAATATCCAAAGTCAGCGCCCAACTCCCGCCAACACCACCAACTGAGGAAAATGAGTCCGACAACATATCCAGAAATCACAATTCGAGGTCGAATTCAGATCCAATTCCAAATGAAAATACAAATACCCGCAATTCACTCCCACCTATTCTCAAAAAGCCAAAATCAGTAAACGGCAACGAATCTTCTCAGAAAAAAGCACGGTTACTTCTCACCGGCATTGGTGGCCAGCATGTCACCCGCAAGCCATCTAACCCGTTGACACCAATCTCTCCTCCGCCGTTTGCCGCTGTTTCGAAGGAAGATCAAAATAGTACTACAGCAACAACCACAACAACTGATGATAATATTGCTACTGATACTAATACTACCACCACCAACACGACTGTCGCGACTACCAGAGGCCAGTACCAACCTCAGAAAAGGCCGCATTTCGTCGCGAGCAAAACAAGCAAGCGCAGACCCGTTCTTGGGCGGCGCAAGACCTCGCAGACTGCTGTTACGAGATATGAGGTGAAGGGTGATTGTTTTGCACAGGGGAATGCAAGTACATATACCAATACAAGCACATGCACGACCACGAACACGAACACGAAAACAACTGTTGGTTTTAGCCGGAATGATGATGATGACTTGAAGGGGCAGAAGCCGGCTACCACGGCTGATGAGGAAGAGGTAAAAGATTGCGAAAAGACGACACAAAAAGAGTCCTCGGATTCGGAATCTCCTGTTCCTCCTGATCAGGAGAACCAGGAAAGCAAGCAGGACGAGGGCACAGAAAGCCCTAATGAACCGCAACCGCCAGACGGTACGACCTCTAACACCACGATCTTCATCTTCCATCTTCTAACATGATTACCAGACCCCAATCTCAAAAACCTCCCACCCAACCTCGTCTCCAACCTCAAACTCCTCCTCACCCAACAAAAACCAACCCCTACCACTGCCACCACTACCACCACCAAACCCAACAACCCCAAAACACGTCCAAAACAAATCCCATACCCCAGCACCACAGCTAACATCACCACCAACCGCCTCAACAACCACGAACGAGACCACCGCCGCCTAAAATCAACAACCTACATACACCAATTCCAGCACCAGCTCCAACAACATCAACAACCAGCGAAACTCGTCGACGACCACTTCCGCGTGCGCTTTGTAGAGGAACTCCGGCGTGAAGAAAAATTTTTGAATGCGGTGAATTCGTTACCGGAGGAGGAGAGGAGTGCTGTGCTGGAGGGGCATAGTGGGAGGTCAAAGGCTCCGAGACTTCCGAGGACGTCGTGGGTTGAGGTTCCTGGTGGGGATGCGGGTGTCAAACAAGAGGGGAGTGTTGAGACTATAGAGACAATGCAGCAGGAGCGTCCGGAAGCCGATACCAACGACAATGACGACGGATGGTCGTCTACGGGTGAAGACGGCGGTGGATGGACGGCCGATGATGCGCAGGATCACTACTCTGATACGCAGGTAGATGCTGTTTCATTCAGGTTTGAAGGCATGTCCTATACTTCGTCCTGGCGGGCAGCGTGTCGACTGCAGGTTCCGGGGCAGTTGACGGTGATGCTTCGTGCTGAGCAGTACGGGTATCGAGGGGATACAGAAGTAGTGGATAGTACTTAGTCTCTTGCCATATTAATAAATGCATTGATCTCGATAATCTAGGGTCCAGCCCGACATCCTCGTTCATGTAGAAAACGCCACCATATAAAATACAACCCGTGTCCACCAAAGTAAGATACAGACCCATTACGTCCCCAATCTCTTTTCAATCCCAAACTCCCCATCTCGTCATACAAAATCTCCTGCATATCCCGAACAAGCAAATCACTCATCACCCCCCTTCTCAACATCCCCATTCCCACCAGCACCACCAGAACCATCAGCCCTAGCCTTCCACCACCTCACCCCAAACCAAACCATACTAACCCCCCAAACCCCCCAACAAACCAAATCCACCCAAACAGCCCTCCACATCTTCCCCTCATACCCCTCAGCATGATGCCCCGTGGCCAAAAACACCTTCCCAAAAATCCCAAAACAAACCAACCACAGCAAACACACCACCCCCTCCCACGCAAACAGACAAATCCCAACAACCCCATTCTCAGCACAATAAAACGGCGTCGTCTTCTTCTTCTTCGTAATACCCAGATGAATCAAGTACAGCAATGCCGTAAGCGAAGACAAAACACCAACGACAACAGCGTACAGCCACCGTCCGTCGATTCCCTTGTTCGACGAAGTACCCGAGAGATCCTGTCCGTAGAGACCGACGATAGCGAGGCCGAGGGCGAACTGGAGGAGGCGGAGGAGGATGTCGAGGATTGTTTTGAGGGGGTTGCGGGTGCTGGTGTTGGTGCCGCTGGCGTTGTCGAGGGAGAACATTTCGGTGGTTGTTCCGGTTTTGTCGGTGGTAGGGGAAACGGTGCCGTCGGCGTTCTTCTTGGCTTTTTGCTTTTTGGCTTGGGAGACGCCGATTTTGAAGACTTTGAAGAGGAGGAACCACATTTATTGTTCTTTGGTGGTGTTTGGTAGTTGTGTAGGTAGGTATGCAAGTGCAAAAATGGAAGTTGGGAGGAATTGACTTGGTCGACTTGACTCGAAAAGCGAAAGCGAAAGCGAAGTAGAGAGGAAAGAACGATGAGACGATAGCGCTCAGCGCTGCTTCTCTATTTATTAAGTAGTGTGGTCGAGGAGGGAAAGAACGAAGAGGCGATGAATGGGTATAGAACGACAATGGCGACCACAATAGACCTCTATCAATAGTCAAAGAATGAATAGAACAATAGAATATGTATTGAATAAGTGAATGCAAAGAAAGCGTTTCCGGGGAAAGAAAGACTGAGCTGATTCATTTTAATTCATTGTCTGTCGGAGGGTGTATATATACACAAAGGACGTCTCTAGCCAAGGACGGAATTACCATTGTTTCTAATTCTGGTCCTACTTATTCTGAATCAAAGATTCGTCCTGTCCAGTAGTTCGATAATAGCCTGCTCAAGGTGAAACGGATGTTCTTCGCGCGCGCCAAATTGGCGCCGGGCTTGTTTGGCAGTTCAGCAATCAATTTTAAGACTACGAAACATTCAATGGTTGGACAGGATAATTTTAGCTACACAGAATATCCATCTCAGCGGGTAATAGTCATTCAAATTTTCAATTTCTCTGTCCAGTACGTACATAGCACACCACCAATAATACTCATGTAGCCCTTGTTTTCCGCCAAAATAGGCCAGGGCCTAGCCAGAACCTCCGTTATTCTCGTAATAACATCCAATGTCAAGTCGTTTCATATCCCTGCAAATGCATTCCAAAAGTACTGGCACCAACCCGGTCACTTCGCGCCTAACCCAGATATGTTCAAGTGCCTAATGCTGACATGATATTCATAATAATATCGAAGTTTGAGTGGGGATTTTGTTCATGTAGTGAATCATGAACTTCGAAATTAAGAAGTGAAGAAAGATACAGGAAGAGGGAAGGGGAGTCGTAGGAAGGGGTGCGAGAGAATAGAGAAGAAACAAAACAAAGGGCTAATTGTATGCTGGATAAAAGGGCATAAAACCGACGTAACGGGCGCATAACACATGAAACAAAAGAACATAAAAAGGAAAATAAAAGAAGCAGAAAGCAGAAAGCAAATGCAAAAATAGCTTCGACCCCATCGACAGATCGAGCACCATTGGCCAGGTCCAGCCCGCGCGAGCAATGAACGCGCAGCGGACAATCTGTGGGTCGTCGGTGCCATTGTCATGGTGGTCGATTCGTTTCTGGATCCATTGCACCAGGCGGAACCGTGGAGTTCGCGGGTATCCCGGGTTGATTCTCTGGGGGTAATGGCGGCTTGAAAGAAGCGGGTGGCGGGCCCGGAACGGAAACCGGCTCCTCATCATAATCATTATAATCATCTTCATGGCCGCCTCCTGACCCTCCAGCAGATGAATGGTCGACAGACGCACGATCGTAGCCGGGCTGAGCCGCAGTATTCTTTGTTGCATTCTTGGTGGCTTTCTTATTCTTCCGCCCCTTCATTTTGGCCTTCTCGAGCAGTCTCTTTTTCTCCGCCAATCGCTTCCGCTCCTTGCGATCCTTAATCTCATATTGCCGAATCAAAGCCTCTGGTGGACGACCAAAAATACTCTCGTATTCACAAAACTCGCAAATCCAGAGATCTTCGATGCTCGGAGGGTGGTGAAGGTTGGCATATTGCTGCTGGATTTTTCGTTGGCGTGCAGCCAGCGCATAGATACTGCCCGGGGACCGTTTCTTCTTCCTGCCAGCGTTGGCCGGTTCGGAAACGGACCCTTCATGAGGTTGTTGCTGCGCCTGCGACGGCTGCTGATATTGCTGATTGGCCTGTGCAGTCATACTTGGGCTTGTTTGCGTGCCTTGCGTGGAAAAACTTCGGGGATTATGTGCCATCGCGGAAAGAGGCGAGGTGGGCGAGCGGAGCTGCGTGGGATAGGTGCTTTGTGCCTGCATTGCCATGCCCTTGGAGGAATCCGATTCACAAGTGAAGGTAAACTGGGTCTTGGTAGGCGTCGTGGCATTGGTTTGCTGGTCGAGCAAGCTGACATTACCAAGGCCTCTTGGCGGAGAAGAGACTGCGGCAGCGTTTGCGATGGCAGCCGAAATGATACCTTGGTCTGAATTCCCGGCGGGGTCACCTAGCAGATGGGAGGAACATGTGAGTTACACTATCCACGCCAAAAGAAAAGAACGGGGGAGAACGGGAGTATCTGTTGTTCCTGAGAAGGACAACAGTCCGCCCTGACGAGTTGGAAACCGACCATTTGCAAAACCAATTTGAGTTTGGACTGACAACGGAATTTTTCCACTGCCACTGCGAGGCACTTGGCGCCCAAGGCGGCCTCTGCCTGAACCGGAGATCCCGCTCCCAACCGGAGACGCTGGATTGCCCGCACCATAATAGGTCAAAGTATCAGCTGTCATTGCGGAAGGCGTCGACGGGGCCGATGTCGCGAGACCCATAGCAGAGAATTCGGGAGACAAGCTAGAATGGCTATTGCCCATGCTTCCCGGTGTTGGGATCTTGCGTTTCTTCTTGTTGTTGGTGTTCTCGAAAGCATCATACCCGTCAGGACCTGCTGAAGCAGACTTGATCTGGCGAGCCCCTTCCCCGTGAACCGGAAGCCTCTGGGGGTGAGAGCTCGAAGCTGATGGAGACAGAGAAGCCCCGCGGAAACCGGCACTCCGCCGCACCACAACAGGACCATCCTCATCAGCGCTGTCACAGTCACAGTCACAACTTACGTCATCCTCATAAAAGTGATGCCACGAGTTGCAGTCTGGACATTCGTGCTCCACGGACTCCTGTACATAGACCTTTGAGTCATTCTCAATATCCCCGCTATCTGTCGGCACGCCGTGGGAGACTTGGGTTGCAGCGGGCGCCGGGGGGTAAAGAATCGAGTCGGCGGCATCGAGGGATAGACGTGAGCGCAAGGTCCGTTTGGGAAGGGGTCGGATTAATCGGTCTGGATAGACGGGCGAAGGTGTATCCGCGGCCGGATTGAATGCCCCATCTATAGAGGGGTGATGTCGATCAGTAACCGAGGCACGACCAGAGTAGAAGCAAGCACTTGCTTCCTGCCCTTGCTGTGGGAAAGGAAAGGCAACATACTTAACGTAGCTACAGTCATGATGCTGGCTGCCAGCTGTGATCTTTCCATGCACAATCACAGCTGAAGGCCAGTCGACTGGTGAAGATTATCGAGTCACTCTTTTTTTACTTCTTTGCCTTCTTTTCTTTTGAGTAGTCGTTTTCACGCGTGAAAGTTGAGCGAACGTGGTATGGATGCATCAAAGGATAGAAGGAATCCGGGGAAGGAATCCTAGGTCCGAACTGTCTTGAGCCACAGTCAGTGCCATGTTGTCCATGCCCACCACCAACGCCCGCGAAAGTATAGAGTAGACGCAAATTAAAAATAGCCAGGTGGCCTGCTTTGCCAACAAGGCACATCTAAAGCACAACTCCGGATCCAGAGACTTGGACTTACACACACAACGGGAACCGAGAATCCGCCCGTCTCCATGCAGAGTCTGAGAATGGAGAAAAGGAGAGGCACGCTACAATCTCAGAATGAGACGAGGCGTAAGAAATGCAAGGAATGCAAATGCTGCGAGAATAACAACAGGCGAGAAAAAGAGCAACGCCTGGAGAAAGGAAGCAAATGCGAGAGGTGGGGGGAGGGGGGGGGGGAAGGTGGTTTGTAATTATCTGGAGAGAGAGTTGGATGTGGAGGGGACGAGAGCCCCAATGTGGAAAGTCAAGATGCCACCGCACTAGTCCCGATTTGGTAGTTCTGATGACCGCTCAACACACACCAGAGACAACAATTGTTCTCTACTCCGTACAGGCGAGAGATTATAGGGAGGAAGATAGAAGAGCTATTGAATAGAGGAGATGCTTTACAGTAGCTACACTTCACTACTCAACTTAAGATTCTGGTACCTGCAGTAACCCTCGGGAAGCTGCCCTGTGTGGATCATCTGGAGAGGGCTTTATGCGCAAGTGGCAGTCAATCTGCATATCCCTGTATGTATGTCCTCCATATACCTGGATACCTGGGTGTCTTTGTCCTGGTTGTGTAAGTGATGTCCACCCCGACCACTGGACGGCTACCGGGCGACACGCCCGTCAGGAACGCGAAATAGCTAGGCGAAGCGGATTGTACCACCACAGCAGGCCTCATACAGCTCGAGGTATCGTTGAAATATATATCAACTGAATCTGATTTCCAACTGAAATCCATCCACAGTTTTGGCTGGTTTTGGCTGTCTGACGCCGTGTTTACCGGGTAGCGACAAGACACCGTCAACTGTTGCTCCGTCTCTGCATGATACAACCTTGCAGGAGGGCCGTCACGTAAGCCATCGATTGGCACAGCTTCGATCGCCCGAATATCATTTCGTCATTCGCGATATAGAGGGGAAAAGGAACGAGGGAGGTTCAGTCGCGTCGGTTGCGCGAAGAAGCGGGGTTTTGTCAGCGCAGCAGGGAACGTACCTATTGCTATCCAAAAGAGTCAGTATTTGGAACATAAAAGATAATTTCATGTCAATTAAAGTACAAACCATGATTATTTTTATCTTCTTTGCGTCGTGAGCAGTAAAAGGAGGCAAAGCGATTGCTGGATGCGGCGAGTGGGAGTGGTAATTGGGGAAATACCCGCAACGAGAAATCCGCGCCAGTCGGTCCGCTTCGCTCTCAGTCCGTTCCTCGTCCTCTGCTGCTGCTCTCGCATTCTTCTTCCTCTTCTCCTCTGCTCCCCCACTCTTCATCTCTCTTCCCTATATACGTTATCCTGCCAGACTATGTAGTCCTCGGCTTTGTGCCATGAGCTTGTTTTCGCTGTTTTGAGCTCTGCTTGTTCTCTCCTATCGCAATTGCCTGCTTTTTCTCTTTTGCACTCGCTGCAAAAGCTCGTCTCTCCACCGCGTGCGACAGAACCTGCTCGCGAGCAGTGTCTACGTGATTCCTGTCATTGTTTCTATTCGTTCTTATAATTAATCACTCTCGTCGACTGCAGAGTCCTCTCCTATCCTTATTACGTTCCCTCCCCGTCATGACGCCTCGTCGCTCTTCTCGAGCCCGCACCTCCCAACCCTCGCCAGCCGTTCTCCAACATACCAACTCCTCTAGCTCTTCATCCTCCATGACTCGAGAAAGAAGCACCCGTTCGAATCACAAAATCTCCTCTCCTCGGAGATCCTCCACCCAGCGGTCCCAGTCCACCGACGATGTTGATCCGAAAAATGATTTCCCACAGACGCGGCAGCGCCGCGCCCGAGGAGACGAAGAAAAAGACCCGCTGAGACCTGGGGAGGGTGAGGAAGAGGAAGAAGAAGGGGACGAAGAGGAGGAAGAAGAGGTCACCCGGTGTCTTTGTGGACAACAAGAATACCCGGGCCTGCCGCCTTCCCGTCGAGAGACCTTCGGTCGCAATGGTAGGGACGAGAGGCCCTCGCATCTGCCAAATGATGGATCAGACTTAATGTCTGATGACATTGGCAGTATGTTCATCCAATGTGATGCCTGCAAGGTCTGGCAACATGGCGGTTGTGTGGGAATCATGGATGAGGCCATGAGTCCTGATGAATACTACTGCGAAGAGTGTCGGAAAGACCTCCATCAAATTAGAAATGAACCAAATGGGTGAGTACCCGTCTTTCAATGTTTCATTTTCTTCTGGCTTTCTTTGGTTTCTTTGTTGGCCTTGAAGGGCTGGTGGCCTTTCTTCTGCATATTGGCTCGCTTGGACGCCTCTGCTGCTCTCTTCATGAAGTTCAACTGCTGCTGTTCAGTACTTCGTGTAGTACTCTACGCAGCACTTCCATCATCACTTGCAACAATGTGGACATCTCGCTTACGATCTTGCAGACAGTATTCCTCCTCGTATCTTCCTGTCGCGCCCCCCTCGTCCCCGCCTGCCTCTTCTCGAGACTCTTCCAGAGACAATAGCTCCAGACGGTCGAAGGACTCCAAGTCTCGACAGAACGAAGCCTCAAACATCAAACGCCGTTCGACGATGAACAGTCGCGATGCTGCATATGACGAAGAGGAACAGCTTCGACGTGCGATCGAGGAGAGCAAGGAAGAAAACAAATCGACGACCGATGAGGTCGCAACCCGCAGAGGCAAGAGAAGTCGAAGTGATAGCGAAGCGTAAGTTGACAATTGGTGCAATGAGCTGGACGTTTTGCTAGAGTGGTACCAAGTGCTGACATGCTTTCTTCCTACGTCCAGCTTTAAACAAGTGCTCAAACGACCACGTACTAGCTCCCCGTCTCCAACCGCCGCTTCTAAACAGAGTAATTCCGTATCACAGCCCGCATCTGAGGATGAGTCGAAAACAAAGGCTATCACGAATGGCGCCAAGAAGCAAAAGACGGTATCACGGAACCAGCGCGAAAAAGAAACCAAAGAACCAGAGGAGCCTGAGCCTGAACGTCCAGATACTGCCAATCGCCGAAAAGGACGGACAGATCGAAACGATGGTGGGTTTCAATCTCATAACCTGAAAGAACACATCCGATTTTAGAAGAGGGACTAACGCAACTGAAACGCAGAGTCAGATCATGAGGTTGGTTCTCCAGCGAAAGCCGTGGTTAATGAACCCGAGGCTTCGCAACCCAGTCCAGGCACGCCAGCTCCTTCTGCAGCACCAGAACCAGCGCCTTCTCGTCCATCCACGCGCAAATCCGGGAGGCCACCTGCGCGTCGCGGAGGTCGCGTGGGACGCAACCAATATACACGAGATCGGGACATGAACGGGAATGGACTTGACATTGGCTTAACAAATTCCCCGCGGCGGGGTGCATCACATGATAATGGCGCAGACTCGCCGCGGCCGCATGTTAACGGCGGCGAGTCAGGGAAACCAAGTCGTCCACGGTATATGCATCCACAACGGACGACGATGAACGAGATGAAGCGTCGTGTGGCTGGAATCTTGGAGTTTATCTCCCGCATGCAGGTCGAGATGGCGGTTGCGGGGGAGAGTTCCAGCCTGGCGGGCAACGGCGATCGGCCAAACGGCGCCGCAGGTACAGCGGACCTAGGAGAGAGCGGCATACCACCATCGACCGCCACCAGTGAGGGCGGGGAATCCGGGGCAGCAACAGACGGCGAAATTCAACCATCAAAGGAGAAGGAGTTCAAGGAACTCAGCAGCGTTGAGATGATGGATGTGCTCACGCGTCATCTCATGAAATGGCAACAGGAGTATGGCAGATTTGGAGAGAGATGACCTTCACCTACCCAAGTCTACCTTTCCTTCCCTGTCTCTCTTCTCTTTCACCTCACACCCCTCCGCCTCTAAAAAGTCCGCCTTCACCCCTTCTCTCTTATATATCATGCATCCGAAGGGAAGTTTTCTTTTTGCTGGATATACACGATACACGATACCCTGTTTTGCTACCACTGCATCCCATATGGGAGATATATGTATACTACGTCCGTACACTTACGCTTTTGGAACTGGTCGTCTTGCTTTTTACATTCATCATGGGATATCATTATGGGCTTTGGCGTCTGAGATTTGGTTTGCTTCGCTTTTCATTGCAATGCAATTGTTCGTTTTCTTTTCTCGTTTGTTTGCAAAAATGGCTGCGTTGGGGAGTTTTTCTGGTTCATATTGGTATGGTCGGGTGGTTTGGTTAGTTGGTTATGTTCTTGCAAATATTAATGTGATATCTTGCCTTGCTTGGTGTTGTTCGGTCGCTCATAGATATTGCTTATGTTTGTAGACGATTAAATGAATCATTATTATTCAATTCGTAATTAGTTTCGATCGAAAAAAGTATCGAACCTGAATTGTATTCAATAAGATCAAGGACTTAAGTTCGTTGTACATAACTATATATATATTTACGAAACCTTGCCCAAATCACTTCTACGAAGGTCGGTCGAACTTGATCGCGACGAGTAAATACATAAACTTACAGTATTCATTTTGGTATTGGTCAATTGGTCAATTGATTTGTTTATTTTTTGATGGACTATTTGTACATCGATAAAATCAAATCACCATGATGAATTGGCTTAAGCATACATAGTCAGCTCACAGCTGTTCATGCACAGTCCAGTGGCCCGATGGAGATTTCAAATTCAATTCAGCAAAGACCATCTCTGCATGAACGAGTACGTGTCCTCATCCGTGCACGTTTACAAACATGTGTAAACAAACAACACTCGACCACTACGACTTTAGCCTACAAAGAAAAAAAAAAGTAGAGACTAAACAATATGATCATTAGGTAGCTAGATACAAAGACGGCCAAGTTTGATACAAGAGATATTAACGTAACAATTCTCCAAAGGCAGGCCGATCTCATCACGCATGATCCTCCATCCGAAAATACAAGCATCGTAAACAGTCATTGGTAAATGAACTTGGGTTTAATATTATTTTCCATCACAAAAGGAATGACAAAGGAAAAATGCTGTAACACAAGAACGGGTCAGCAAGGGATACGATCCGAGGAATGTGGAACGGCTCGGGACGGGAAGCTTAACCAAACGTACCTTGTTCATCATATTAACCTGACCCATGGTTGGGCGACAGGCTTACAGACGGGAAGCGTGGATGACCTTGTAGTCGACGACGAGCTCACGGCCAGCGTCGTTGATGACAACAGCGCGGACGGAGCCACGGCCCTCACCGTAGGCCTTGCGGATACGGTTGAAGAGGTCACCCTGGGGAACGACCTGGAGACCCTGGCGGACGTCACCAGACTCGGTCATGGCAACGATGGTCTGGTCCTCGTAGATGTCCAGGATGCGGTAGGTCTTGTAGACCGGGCCGAGCATGGTCTGGACAACGACGGAGGGCGAGGGGTTGTCGATGAAGCTCGACTCCTCCTGGAGCTTGCGGGTGAAGAGGTCAACACCCAGGTAGCGGTGCTGGCCAGTCTGAGGGGAGACCGAGATACGGATGACCTGGCAAGGACGACCCTGCAGGATCAAGATGTCGCCAAGGCGGATGTAGTTGCAGGGAATGGGGACATGCTCGCCAGCGGGCTTGTTGCCACCGCGCTCAATGGCACGGATCTCACCACCGGCGGCAGGGGCTGCTGGGCGACGGTTGTCAGCAACAACCAACTCTTGACTGGGGCTTGGGCTTAGGCTTGGAGAGCTGGGATGAGAGTGAGAGTGGTGGTGATGTTCATGGTGCTCATGATGGAAGGGATGCATAATGCGGTCGGCAGCACGCTCGACACCGCGACGGAAGGAGTGGTAGTTACCGTCGTCGTCGTAGTAACCCATCTTGGACTGAGGGTGGTTTTGGATAGCGGTTTGAGGTTGGTAAACCTGAAGAGCAGAAGAAGCCGGAGATTGGCTGGGGGTGTACGAGACTCGGGAAGGCGACGAAGAGACGACGCTTTGAGACTCGAAAGGTTGAGGGTAGGAAGGGGTCAACTCTTGAGAAGGGTAAGAGTTGGAAGAGCTGATGACGGAGGCAGCAGGGCTGGTCCGGCGACGATATTCAGTCTCAACAAAGTCAAGCTGGTTATCAAAAGGTTGTTCAGGCTCGGGGTGGTGAGGAGCGTGGACAAGAGCAGGAGTATGAGAAGGAGTAGGTTCCTCGATGTACCTGGGGGAGGGAAGAGGTTAATATATGTTTAGACGGGACGCGGAGATATAAATAGTGGGCCCCAAAATAAACAAAACAACAAACCCATTGACCGACTGTGATTGGCCCGAGCTTATGACACGTAACCGGGCGTAAAATTGGCCCGATTTACGGGAAAAAAACAAGCCAATTCACCGAACAGGTCACTTCAGCTGGCCATCGCACCGCCATACATGACAAAACAAGAAATACAGCTGAATACACAGGGGAAAAAAAAAAAAAAAAAAAGAAAAAAGAAAAAAAAAAGAAAAAAAAGAAAGACTCACTGGTGATTCACAAACTCTTGCGGAACTTCTTCCTTGCCGTAAACAGCGGGATCCGGAAGTGCAGGAGCGTCCGTTCGAGTATCTTCCCGGTCGACGAGCGAGTGGTTGTCCTCGTGGTGGTGATGGTGGTGATGCTCAACGGGATAAGCAACAGGTTCCGGCTCGTTCACAGGAGCAGGAGCAGGCTGTTGATGGTTTGCAGCGTCACTCCGGTACGACGACGGGAAGACACTGAAGGGAATGGGAACTCGGGCGTCAAAGTCCAGATTGGCGACTCTGCGGGGCGTCTTTTCTCAAAAGCCTTTCGGAGCACGTAAGAACTCGAAAGGCGAGAAAAGACTATCTGTTTTGAGATAGGAAAAAAAAAAAAAAAAAAAGTAGATCTTAAAGATCCGAAGAATGTGAGGTTTGAGATTGGGGGAGATTGGAGGAATGTGAGATGAGGATGGAAAAGAACAGATTGAAGGCGAGGACTGAGGCTGCTGAAATACCCGTTTGGTGTTTACGTGTTTGTTTACGACTTTGCCAATTTGGGAATCCAACCTCGTTCTTTTGAGTCGGTTTCTGTATGATACCGAGTACAGAGTACAGAGTACGTACTTACGGTGAATAATGGCCACCAACCATTATTATTGCTCAGCCAGCCAGCTCTCGCAGCTACTCCATACATCCAGCTACAGCTGAGCTGCGCAGCTCTCCACAGGTACTTACTCCGTACAGTACAGTAAAAATACAGTATTCACATGGAAGTAAAAGTACATGGCTGGCCAACCGCCGATCAACAGCCGAGCAGCATCCATGGAAATCCCCATGGCAACCCACGGGCCACTCGGATCGGACCAGATCGACCCAAGATGTTTGTATGGTGATTCCGCCGGTACTTCTCCGCTGGAACGACCACTTTATTATCGGTATACAGGTACTATGTACGGGGTACTCCGTTCTCATACATGTACTCTGTACAATTCTTATATATACTTGCAGTGTACAGGTCAATTGCACAGGACAGGTGTTCAATTGTTAGCAGAGAAATGGCCACCGGTTTGCCACCGCTCCGGCCAATCACCGCACCCTGCACCCTGCTGTATGTCTCATGCTAATCACTTCTAGACCGTATCATACCGTACCTTACGGTATCGTACGTAACATGTGGCTGGGCGGTGATGGGGGGCGGTGGCTGGCTAATATCAACCGAGGCTATCATCTCTAGCTGTGAATAGTCCCGATTATTGGGTTTGATCGAATACTAGTGAATATCGAGTGATTATCAAAATAAACAACCTGGTATCTCAACAACCCGCCCATCCGATTTCCTTCATTTTGCCCGTGTATCGTGAACCTTAACCCTTTTCGCCCCGTGTCCTCTTCCGCTTGTACTAGTACAAAAGTACTGTAACAAAAAAAAAAAAAAAAAAAAAAAAAA